AAAGTGAGTTGACTGTGTATACGATCACAAGATTTGTTTGGATGAAAAAGGCCCTTCAGCCCATCTGTTCTCATCCCTCCAATACCCCCAACACCAAGTCCTTCCATCACAACATCAAACTGCTTTTTAAGCCTGGCTTATCTAATCACTGCTCATAGCTCATTCCTCTATACACTGAAGATCATCCTTGTTGCCCTCCTCTGCACATTTGTCTTCAAATTACATGGTCATGACACTTCACAGCAAATCATGTGAAGGGCATTGAAAGGTCCTCCCAATGAGAAAGGTGCTATATGAAATTCAAGGATTAAGGTGATGTACCACACACATAAGCAGAATTCACTTTGAAGGAATTGGGAGTACAGTTGGAGCTTGCTACGGATTTGATCTCAGGCTCTGCTTCACCTCTGCGGGTGCCAACTGGCAAGAACACTTTGTGGTGTGCCAATGCTAAGTATTCGCAAAAAGAAACAGCCACAACTGGAATGCAATACCTCCTGCACAACTAGTAGGTGGAGATCACATTTCTGTATTTATTTAATTTTTTTTGTCATTAATACAGTGCTGGTGTGGTTACATAATGATACACCTTAATATAATAATATAGTATCAAGTAAACACTTTATCTTATCTGTCAAGAGCTGTCTCATTCGACATTTGACCAGGAGTCCAGTAAACCACTAAATGCCCTTTGGTGTTTTACTTTGCATGCAAAGGAAACTAACTGACTCATTCAGAAACCTATTGAAGTCCCCACTTTGATGATAATAATGTGGGAGGGAAATTGTTCCGTGCTGGAGTAGCAAGGATTTCATCAGGAAGTTAAAATGTAAAAGCCTTTCCCTCATTATTTTTTCTCCACTCTAACTGCAGCGCTGATAAACGGTGATGAAAATAACTATTTACTTGAATGAAGCGAGATTCTGATAAAAAACAGAGAGTAATGTTGCTGCCTGGATCAATTTTGCAACAAGAGCAAATTACATTTCAAGACCTACTTTGCTGCTGAGAACATACGACAATTAAGTGCATCAGTCAGTTTACTTTAATTGCTTTACTCATTATTATAGTCCATTAATGCAATTGAAATTAGATTTTTATAGACTTTGCCAGCATGCTGCAATCAAAATCATTGCCTTTTTGACTTTGGGCCCTGGTTTAAAAACCTTAAATGTGCAGAATTAAATGGCACAAATACCATATCAGGGAACTCAATATTGGCTTGATTTGTTTCCAAAGGTCAGGGAATTTGTGCTGTGTGAAGACCCAGATATGTTTCTGCTAATGGGTAAGGTTACTGAGTGTGTGCACCTTAGGTGGGATTTTCTAATTCTCAGTGCATTGCTGATAGTTTTACAACAGTTGGAATTTCAGGCGTACATTCCAGTCTATTTTCTACAAGTCAAGCTCACTTACTCACTCACTCACTCACTCACTCACTCACTCACTCACTCACTCACTCACTCACTCACTCACTCACTCACTCACTCACTCACTGCGCTATCTCCATAAAATCACTGTAAATAATTACTGGCTTTTAGTAAGTGAGGAACCTAAGGAAGGTAGAAGTCTCTGAGTCCCTGAATCCCAAGCACTTTGAGACATCTTCCCCACATGAAAGGCACTATAAACATGTAAATTGTATTGTACTGCATTGATTGAACAACCTAGATATCAATTAGAAGTAACCCACCCGCTACCTGCAACAATTAGATTGTTCATAGCAATTATTTTCAAAAACTCAGGGAATGAGAGGTTAATGTTTGCTTTCTCATCTATACAAAGAATATACATTTTCACAAGTATGTTTTTACAGTGTGGTTTTAGGATCAGGACGTGGGGTAAGGAGTATTTTGGCTCAGGATGTAGGGGGCTAAGCAGTATTTTGTGGACCTGTTAAAAGATGACTATTGTGGGCGATGCTGGAGTTAACTGCTGAAGTGAGGGATTCAAACACATGAGTTTGGATTCAAACATCTCCCAAACAAATGGAGCGGATGGAACATGACGAATTCTTGCAGACGAGCTGGCACAGTACAGGGCCCAGATGTGGAGTGAATTCCATGCTGCACCAGTGATGAAGTGGGAGGAAGAAGCAGTGACTACGAGACAAGTCAGTAGAGAGACTTGACACCCCCCCACAAGCATGTTGGACAGATCGAAATGCTAAGTGCAACTTAATTGATGGTCATTGAAAATGAAGTTTAAGAAAATATGAAAGAATTCAAAGTTTAAAAGCTTTTCCCATACATTAGCAATTAGCTGCAATGAGTAATGGAATAGGACCACGGGGAGTGGGGGAAGTTGCTTGATTGTTTAAATATCTATTCAAAGTTTAAATCGTAAAGTTTAACCTTAAGCTTTATTCCTGTGCTACATGGAGACCCCCTCCCACTTCTCCATGGCTTGGTATCCAAACCTGTTACTGTCAGAGCTCCGAGACACGATGCTGCATGAAAACTGCTGTATAAGTGCAAGTTGGTGTTCTGTTTTGTAGAGATGTAATACAAGTTTTGACTGTGATGAACATCTACAGGTTTCACTCTGGAGATTTGGTGTGAATAATCTTCCTATAAATCAGTGCTTCCTTCGTTTGTACTGTGTGTTGCTGGCTTCAGCACAGTGTGACCCAAACATCAGTGCAGACTACCACTCTGAAGCATGTTGTACCATACAGCTATGCCGTTTACTGCTGCCAAAATGTTTCTGATATAAGCCAAGTTATGAGAACATTTTGGGAGATGACAGATTTAAAACTAAAGTAACCTGCGTTTAATTTTATTGAATACAGTCATGCAGTCATGTATGTAATTTATATATACTGTATATTTTTCTTGTGCATGCATAAATATCAAGCTGTTTCTCAGGTTTGCAATGATTGGATAAATACTTGAGGAAACGTAACATAATAATAATCTTTGCATTTGATATAGTGCTATATCACATAGTTGAGATGTCTCAAAGCTGCACATGATTTACTCTGAATTGCAGTGACTCTGTTTGTAGATGAAGAAAGCAGCCAATTTGCACACAGCAATGTTCCACAAACAGCCATGAAGTGAATGACCAATTTTTTCTAGAGTATTGTTGGCTAGGTCACTGGGAGAAACTTCTTCCCTTTTCGAATAGTGCCATGGGATCTTTAATGTCTACCTGAACAGGCTGGCAGGGTCTCAAATTAACAAATATTAAAGGTATGGAAAAAGATTGAATGGGAACAGCGAAGGAACTAGAAGCATCATAGTGTTGAATTGCTTGCTTTTGCTTTGTAAACTTTCTATGATTCATCGACCTGACATTTACAAGGAAAAACCTGTGCAAATAAGAGCAGGAAAAAAGACTGAATAGACACCAGAATGAAAAACATTTTGCACCATTTTCTGCCCAGTTCTGCCTTAATCCAAGCTAACTGCCTCGTGGCACAAAATGGTGGCTTTTTCACTGTTCAGCTAATTCTCAAGGGCTAATAGGAAACCTACAAGTAATGTAGAAAAAGAGTCTAGCCTGGGAGTGATACAGAGAGTCAACGCTGAATGGAATGGTAGCAGTGCATTTATTACCTGAATAGATGAATACAGACCACATCATTAAATACAGCCTGGAGAAGTTAGCTACCTGCAGATTCTCTCTACTTAATTCACTCTCTACTCCTTATACCAGATCCAGCATGTCCCATACATTCCGTAACATGCCTGGTGTGGTTCACATTCATGCTCCAGTATTATAATTACAGCTGAATCTTCAATAATATGTGCACTCCTGTATATATATATAATTATGGATATTAATAGCAACCGCACAAAAAATGTTTTTACTTCATGAAAAATATACTGTTGTATTATGTTTTGTTTTGTCATCTTCGGGACTATCGGAGTCCTGTAGTTCAGTGGTTATAGCACTCGCCTCGCAAGCGAGAGACCTGGGTTTGATTCCCGTCAGAGCAAAATGTTGGGCAAGTTTCCTTACTCCACATGCCTCTGTTTACCTAGGAGTACGTAGGAACCCAGTTGTTAGTCGATTGATGGATCGCTTTTCCAGCAGTAGTAATTCCTTCAAACAAAAATTAATAAAAAGTTGGTCACTTCAATCCATGGCTGTTGGTGGGACACTGCTGTGTGCAATTGGCTGCTGCGTTTCGCCCACAAAATATACAATCAATTCACCTTACAGTATATTCTGTGAAGAATTTTGAGACGTCTCGAAGACGTGATAAAGTACAATATCAAATTCAAGGATTATTATTATTTCCTCATTAGTTGCTTTCCTTATTTTACTCGGTGCCATTCTCCCATTGAATTCTACCATTAGTATTGCTGCATGGGTATTTTATACAGTTCACACACAAGCCTTCCTGTTTCACTCACAAACATGTAGACATGTAGAGCACTACTGATGTCCTATTATCAGATGACTCAAGCAACAAGTAGTGTTGGTTACACATTAGCAGCTCAGTAGTGATCAGCCTTAGTGCCTTTACACTCATTTGTCTGAATATAGAACTTATGCTCCATTAAAAAATGGCAAGTGATTAGAGAGAAAAGGAGCAGGGGACAGAGATAAAGTGAGATATGAGTAGGTGAGATCAATATTGTTATGACTGAGCATTACAGCTTCTCATTCTATGCATCACTGATTCATAGGCCTGAAAATGGCAGACCTCCCATAGCAATCAATGCAAATATGCACTCACTGTATCAGATTTTTATAACTGTATTGGGATCATTTCAGTTCCTAGTACAGCATGACAAATTGCACCATAAACTGTGTAAATACTATATATTTTCAGAATTTTGTACAATAAATAACAAATTGCATTCAAGTAGTGCCTTTTGGGAAGACGTTCCAAGAGTTTGCACCTGAGCTGAGGTGGAGGGATGGAGGGCAAGGGAGGTGGTTGGGGGAAGGTGACTGAAGGCATAGTCGAAGAAGAAGCTTGAGATACCCAAGGTTAGGGGTATGATTATCGGTGAAGGCTTACATGACGAGTCTTATTTTTCTAGATATCAATGAATGCCAGCTACAAGGTGTATGTCCCCATGGAGAATGCCTGAATACCTTGGGCAGCTACAGGTGCAGATGCAAGCCTGGATTTGTAGCAGATCCTGCCTGTAACCGTAAGTAAAAGTTTAAGAGCACAGTTTAAATATCGATCCTGTACCAAAAGAAATGTTAACACCAATGCACTTCTCATGCTTGGAATGGGAAAGCCTTGAAAACAATAGTTTTTCATTCAGAAATATTTTTTCCCCAAAGATACCAATGACCTATGGAACATCCGTGAAAAAAAAGTATCTTTTAGTTAAAGAACATCTTGTAATTTGATGCTGGTGACATAGACGTGGAAGACACGTGGAACCTGAAAGCTGCGTCCCACAAATACCGTGTTTTTTTGCAGGAACAGCTCGGCTTCTGACCATTACACAGAACCAACTGCATTGTCTGTGCTGTCGTGATCCATAGATACACATTGGTGTTAATTTGCACTGATTGCGATCTCGAGTGAATTTTGTGTTCTATGCTTATAATGGAAGCTATCAAACACTGCGTGACAGTCCTTCTTGTGAATCAAAACTTTTTTATTTCAACATTATAGAAACTAAATGTTTTGTGCATAAAGCGATAAATTCTCTGCCTGTATAATGGAGTCTAAAATGTTGTGATTTCTATTAGGAATTTTCAATAAGGAATCCTGGTCAATTTCCAGCTACACCCCCCTACCCCCTCTCCCACCCCAGCAACTCTGACCTGGAAGTAGCTTGAGCTTGAGCCATAACACTGCACAAACACAAGTAAGAAACACAAGATAAACAGAGATTGCACTGTTGGGGTCAAAAGTGTATCTTTCACAACAGGATTCACAAAGCAATTGTATATATTGAATCCTGTTGGTAACTAGGTGTGCACCTCATTAATCCTTATGATGCACAACCAGTTATTGTGAAAGCCACATTATTGAGCCAGACTATTTACCTCATGTGCTTCTTGCTTTTGTGTGGTGTTATGGCTTTCTATATAAACATGAACAACTGAGCTTTAAAACAGCCAAAAGGAAAGGGTTGATTTTAGGTTAACTTGATTTTTTTCCCCACCCCTATCAAATTATGCGATGCCATTAATGCTGAAAGGTATTGTTTGAATGCTAACCAAGAATCAAGGTGTTTTATAAACTGTGTCACAGCTGCTGTTAGTTACTGGAGTAACTCAATTAGCTCAAACAGTTTTCAATGCCAGATAAGTGGGTGTAAACAAATTAATATTTTAACAATGTGGTTGAGCAAAATTAGAATCCTTGTGAAAAACAATTACATGGAGAGTATGTTACTGTCTTCTCTCAGCATATGTGAACGTTCTTCTGACAAAGGTGGCAAGTTTTTTTTCTGGGTGTTTGATGAAATTGCTGTTTCAGGTGTTTGAGTTGATCTGTTACTAAGACATTCGACAAACTTGTGCACCAGTCACGACAGACACTTCCTAGATCCCGTTGCAGCTCCAGCTATGTACACGGCTACAGCACTGAGCCCTGTGTTGGGCTATTTGCATTCACTCGTTCTCGTTTTGATTTGCAAGAAAAAAAATCAACATTTATGTGCTAGGTATTCCAGGCCAAAGGAGGCACCAGCATCCAATTTAAATACCCAATTGTTTTTGCTATTTAGGCTTAAAAGTGTTTTCCTACACTTGGATGGCTTGTCCTTGCCTTGCAGCCATTTTGATATCAGTGTCGGTGATTTGGCTCGGGTTGGAGACCTGTGACTTCATCTATGAACTGTTAACTTGGGGGGCCATTCTTCCAGCTTCCTTTTGGCTTCCTGCACCAATATTAATTTCATCTGGAGCTCAAAATGTATACAACAATTATTTGAAGGAGCGATGGTAATCAGATGGGCAAAAGGTCACACTGGTAGGATTGACAGAGCTGGTTTCTTCTCCCCCTCCCCCTCCAAATCACCACCAGGGACAAGCTTGGTACATTTTAGAATACAGTATGGCTGGCGTATTTTAAACACAGGACTAGACTAAAATGCACACCATACCAAAGTTAGTTTAAGCACTACACAGATAAGAAAGAGTGCCAATCTAACAGTACATAAAAGGTCTGCACATGGTAGTCAGTCTAATACCGTTACAACTAACAGAAAAGAAATTGGAATGAGGAATAAAATTGCCCCCTTATTGCCTGCAAAACCTGAATGATTTAGATTGTTCTGTGAGCATGTCAAGGTTGTTAAAATAATGTGACAATACAACATTTTTTAAAAAAAGTGAGTGTGGATTTTTATATAGAGCACTTAGCAATCTTGCACTGCTCTCAACCCTGAGGCTGCTACTGTACTAATTCAGGTGCATGGAGAAACACTTCCAGCTTATGCATTTTCTGTTGGGGCCATGCTGGCTTTCCCTTTGCTCCGGTTTAAAGCTAAATATTTGCTAACTTAAGATCTATGCATTTCATGACTTTGGCTCTGACTTAGTACAAAAGGTGCTTCAAGCCTTTCTGTGCTGGTATACACACATACACACGCACACATTCACACACACATGCACACAATGGTGTCTTAACGTATATTGTTTTCACTTTGTTTGCTGTTTTTTTTCCTATCCTTTTCAGCTGGTGATGGAATTTTAATATTTAAAAAAAAGATAATTTCTGGCAACCTCCCTCCCTTTTTTCTTTTCTGCTGCAGCTGAAAATCTTTTAACTGAAGAGAAAGGGCCCTGTTACCGATTTGTCAGTGCAGGGAAGCAGTGCCTGCATCCTCTGTCTGTGCAGCTCAGCAAGCAGATGTGCTGTTGCAGCGTTGGCAAGGCTTGGGGCCCAAACTGTGAAAAGTGTCCCATTCTGGGAACAGGTAAGGGCAGCAGACAACAGCATATAACATTTGCTTCATGGAATCCGTTTACTGCTCCTCTGTCTTTCTTCGCTGGCTGCTTTGACTACTTTACGCTGGTTTGTACTCAGTGGCAGAAAGCAGGCATTAGAAAGTATTACCAGAACTCACACAAATCAATTGGGGTTTGAGGCTGGGGAAGTGAGGAGGAAAGACAATTGGTCCACATTATGAATGACTAATGCGGATGCTCCTAAAGGCAGCTCTGTCTTTTTGTTTTCTACTCACTAAAGTTAGCAGCTAAGAAAACCCCTGCTTTGCGAAGAAAACATCACACGTTTTTATAGACTCTCTTTCTGCGGGACACAATGTAGCCTAGAAAGAACATGTTTCAATAAAATTGCAGCTGACATGGCCTTATCCAAAGTTGTGGTAAAATAACAAATCAGTCTTGTTCTGGAATAGCCAAACAGGTGATTATCAGTTTGCTGTTTCTATTGAAGAGAGTTGATGGAAATTCTTTCAGATTTAGGATCGTTTTTGCATGTTAAAACCTTACAAAGGAAAAGATGTTGAGATGTTTGACCACTGTTGGGGATAGATTTTATCTGGGTCTAGATTTATTCTATTTATGTTGCAGTTTAGAGCGTCCAGCATTTGGCAATTGTTGATTTCAGAAAGAAAAACTTTTCTTAAAAGAAAATCGGCTTCAAAATTAAGCCTGGATTGAAGAATTTGTCAAATTCTGGATGCAGTGAAATGCTGCATAGATTGAGTGATTCAGATCGTATAGATGCATTCAGTTAGACCTTCAAATGAAGGAGACGGGAATAGAAGGCTATGGGAGTGAGTAAGAAGTGGGTGGAGGTTCATATGATGTATAAAAATCAAGACGGACTGGTTGGACAAACTGAGATCTGTTAGGCTGTGATCACTAAAAATAGGATCTTTCCATTACGTCCTTGTGATTGGAGATCCTGTTAGAAACATTTGACAAAAAGATCACTATTTTTAGTGGTCATGTCATGAATAGACCCCACTATCTATCCATAGGCATGTGTGTTGAATGTAGGCTGGCTGAGGAGACTGTGGGGTCTGATCTCACTCACAGAGAAACAAAATCACTGTTTTAGCAGTCACAGTATGACCAACCCTGCAACTTCAAATCCGTACAAGTATTCGGTTACACAACAATAACTTCAGGAGAAACTCGAACATTATATTTGGAAATAATAAAATGGCGAAAATACAGCTCCCAGAAGAGCCTTCTGTATTAGTTACAGCTTGCACTAAAATATAAAGAGTAAACTGGGAAAAGAAATGCTCAGTGGACTATATATCACTCTACTTTAACTCAGTTTTGGTATCTGCCTGGTTTATTTGGTATCAATCTCACCTCTGAGTCAAAAGGTTGGAGTTCAAGCCCCACGTCGAGATTTTGAACTCACAATCCAGGCTGACACTCGGAGGAGCACTGCATTGTCAGAGGTGCCGTTTTATGAAAGAAACATTAATCTGAATCCCTTCTGCCTGTTCAGGTGAACATTAAATATCTCATGGCAATCTTTGAAAAGAGAAGGGTGTTGGCCAACAATCCCCCAATTAAAATTGCTCATTCACTTCATAGCTGTTTGTGAGATGTTGCTGTACGTAAATTAGCTGCTGTGTTCGTTGATAAAATACGCAATCACTCATCTTTCTAGTAACTCTTGTGAAATGCTTTGAGACGTCTTTCTGATGGGAAAGCGCAATAGCAAATTTAAGGATTATTATTGTTCTGTCAATTTAGTCAATAGACTTTGGGAGCAATCTCCTTATAAACCTGTCTAAAATACATAATTATGGATAATTCCTTAACCTTTCTAATCAAATGACATGAGAGATATACGTTTACCACAGATATACTTGAGGTACTTATGGTCAAATCTTATTCCCATTATTTGTCTTCTCTCTGGCGCTGCTGTTTTCACACTGGGTCAGGTGAGGCTTTCATGTCCGGGACTGGGATAGGCACAAGATATAGTCAAAGATCCCATCATTGCAAACTCAACGGAACCACTCCAACTTCTCCCTGTAAAATCACAGGAGCAGGCTAGGCTGTGAGGTCCCAAAGATTCCTTATTATAAGGTAAACAATTTCAATCATAAGAGAGTTTGTATAAAGAAGGTCCTTCGGCCCATTTGATCTAATCCTTCCGGAATTCCCACCCTATTGTCTTCCCATCACAGAATCAAGCTGTTTTGAGTGTCCTGGACTAAACTGTCCCAAGGTTGGATTGAGGCTCAGGCCACCCAAAGCACCTCCTCCGATTAAAGCCAGAGGCGCTTTCCCGAGCAGCCTAATATAGAACGAGATGGATCTCAAATACAGTGAGGATTTCCCAAAAGGGCTGAAAGTACATCATGATGTATTTCCAGAGAGGATAAGTTAAATGAAAAGTGCTTCCTTCAGACTGTATTCCCCAGTAAATACAAATTACACATAGTGAATATGCAACACAATAATAAGCTCTTCGTGGATCAGAACGCCATGTCCTTGGAGGTTGAATGTTAATTATCAAGAAGTGTAGCCGTGATTCCCATTGGTGTTACTGAGGACAATCAGCAGTGGCTATGAATTAAGAAATGTAGCCAAGCTCCACTTCCAGGTTGCTCTATTAGAGAGCCATAAAACCATGACCATGTTTCATGGGAAAATTCCAGAGCTGCAATAAAAATATTTCAGGTAATAATTGGCAGATGAGAAAACCTTATTGTTGCAAGTCTCCATCACACTGCCAGGATTAGGTAGAATGCTTTTATGGTGGGGGAGGGTGGTTCTAAATGTGACGATTTCTAACAGGATTCCTTAATAAGGACTTATTTAGTCAGACCGTCCGACACAAAGCCTCATTAAGATCAATGGAGCTGCCTCAGTTTTTCTTTCTAACTGGAGTGACTAATTTGCTGAAGTATACGGACAGATGCATTAGAAATATAAATTCCTCACTCACAGTACACAGAAGTATGTCACTCCAAACTGCGAGAACTCTCTTCTCGCATAATTTTCATAAGGATAAAAGCTCCTGTGGAGCTTGTCTGACTTGTGTCAGGAGCCCCTACTTGCAGCTCAGAATTCTCATCAAGAAATCATTTATCAAGAAAAATCTTTTGATGTCAAACCCATAATAATAATAATGATTATTGTATTAGTATTATAATTTTTTGTCCTAGTGGAGTGACATTTTACACGAATGTTATGGATGAAGAAAGCTTTTCGACCCATCTGATCTCATCCTTTCAGAATACCCAACACTACTGTCCTCCGAGCACATCATCAAGTTGCTTTTTAAAATGTTATACACCTCTTTGTATTCCTCTCTGAGACACCTTCTTAATTTGCAGGGCTCCATGCACCACTAATTTCATGCTGCTCAATAATTAAACACATTCCCCATCCACCTTCATTCTCTGTTGTCACCTTCAGGCGAATTCAATGTTGTTGGGACCCTTGGATATTGTGTTGTGGTCCCATTGAGGCAGAATGACTTCAGTTTGTTTCCTCTTCTGCTACGTTCGAAGGTTGATAATTGGAATTTGAGTTCCCATCCCTGATATTGTTAAGCACTTTGAGACATCCTCCTGATTTGAAAGATGCTACATAAATGCAAATTGTATTGTAGTGGGCACCATTTGAGTGTGGGGATTCCTTCAGCCTGGATCATTGAGGCTCATGGGGGAGGGGGTGGATGATAGATATGCTTAGCAATAGGTTCCATCACTTTGTTCAACTGTCTTGGTGCATCCGAAAGTATTGTTTACTTATCAAGCATCATGACATGAAGTGGCATTTGGTAATATGCATGGAGCATCACAAATTAAAGACTTGTCTTAAAGTGGACTTAATGGAGGCATATAACGTTTTATAGATGATTCCATACCTTCAGATGCACCAAGACGATAGAAGAAGAGATGGACGACTTTGACCTCACTAATATAGAGAAGATTGCAACATATGTAGTGAATACAGTGTACATGATTGCAGGAAGTGCATGTGAAAGGAATCAGTAGTTAGGCCATCTGGAAAGTCCACATTCACGGTCTGAAATTCAAAACATGGGAAGAAATAAAGCGTTGTATGTGTGTAATAAACATGCCCCCACCCAGGGAGGAGAAAGGAAGATGCACCTGATCCATTCAACTTACCTGATCATAATGAATAAACACCTGCAAATAAAATTGAATTATTTTGGGGATCTCATGACTGCGGTCAAGAAAGAAACATTTCGACAATGCAAGTAAATGTTTTCTAATGGTTTGAATCACTTTAGTTCTAAAAGTTCCACAATATCAGAAAGTGCAAAGAACCCATTCATGTAATATTTAATGCTTGTTAATGTCAGAGTTTAAAGACATGTAGACTTTTACAAGGTTGGAGATATCGAATGAAATTTAAAACACGCTGAGCTTCATTTTTGCATTGCCCACAACAGCTGCCTTCAAGGAAATCTGCCCTGGAGGAATGGGCTATCACGTCAGCCAGACCGTCAAGAAGGTGACTGTTCAGCCTGAGCCAGGTGTTAAAGTCCCTGGTTTTGTACCGATTAAAAACAAGATTATACTCTCTAAGCCCTTACCTACTCCAGCTCAAGTACCACCGGAACAGGCACCAGTGGAAGCCTTCTCTGAAAGGACAGAACAGCCTGAGGTTGTCATACAAGAAGGTAAGAAAATAAGGCATAATGTTTACTGTGCTCGCTTTACCATCAAACCGGAGGTCAAAGCTCCATCAGGATCTTAACCATGAAATTAATATCCAATTAAAGCGCTTTGATGTGAAAGTCACTATATCAAGTGCAAGGATTATTTATTATTTTTGTTTTAATGTAAGAACATGCAGAATTTTGGAAAAATCTTCAATTCACACTTAATTTGGAAGCCGGTTTTGCACATTCTTAAAAAAGAACTAGTTTCCAAAATTATGCACTTCCCTTGTAAATTCTAAGTCAATGTTTTTTTTGATCGAGAAGAAGGGAGAAATTATTTCCACTGGCCAGTGAATTAGTGACTAGAAGGCACTGATTTAAGGTAATCAGCAAAGGGGGAGATTATGAGGAAATTTTTATACAAAGCTTTGTTTGGATTGGGAATGCCCTGGCGGATTTGATGGTTGAGGCACGATCCATATTTGCTTTTAGGCGAGAACAAGATAAATATCTGAAAATGAGTCATTTGCAGAGTTATGGGGATCAGGCAGGTAAATTGGGGTGAATTGATCGCTCTTTCAAAGAGCCAGTACAGACAGGATTCGCCGAATGGCCTTCTTCTGTGCTGTAAATTTCTATAGTTCAAGGTTAAAACCATGAAGAATTTCGGACTTCAGGGTTAACTGTCAAAGTACATTTATTGACAACAATGAGACGTATCCCTCCAGAAAAAGCAAGCTGCCCTTGAGGTGCTGATCGTACTATGGACACTTCAGGCATACCTAATAGATGAGGGTTTCTTTCCCAGTGAGATGAATGGAAAACTGAGTTCATTCATAATTCTGTGTGTGGATGTTTTCCATCACTCGGCGTTGTTCACTGGGCTTTTGAAAATACATGCAGCAACAATCTGATTGAAATTCTTTCCAACCAAGAGCACAGAGTTGAAAATACCTGCAGTGCCATTCACGCCTCACAAATCTGAGCAGAGAGGAGGATCTCTTAACTTACACCACATCAGCAAGCGTGACCTTCAGGCATCAGCAGCCTGTTTGACACTTGCGCACGGTAACTTTAAAGATTGTGCAGCAATTCTGTATGAAAATGTTGCAAAATTAAAAAAAATACTCAAAAATCATTGAGTAAATCTTCTTGTGATTCTATATCTTGGCTTATATAATGCTTGTTATCAAAACCTTGCAGAAAATCATACATTACAAGCATTCAGTGGAAGAACTAACATACTTCAAAGTAACAAAATGCTTTTGGCCCTGGCACTGGGAACAGTTCAATAGGCTGCCCAATAAATATTGATATCTTAGAAAAAATCCCACTTATTCAGATCAAAGTTGCAACTGCAAATGCCACCCAATGGTAGACATTTGTGCTGAATGCATTACATGTTACTGTTTAGTATTTCCTAACAAATCTGATTTCTGTGCCACATCTCTGTTTTCATATCACTCTTAAAGGAAGGATGCTATTGATCTGACAATTCACAGTACAGCTTTGCACACCCATCATCCCAGTCCTTGCCAGTCTCCACTGGCTGCTTGTCTCCTGTTGAATTGATTTCAAAGTCATCACCCTCATCTATAAATTCAGCCACTCTTTAGCACCTTCTATCCTCTGATTTCCTCCTACCCTACTCATCTGCCTGCCTGCTCACTCTGTTTAGCTATGTGGGCTTGTTGTGCATCCCATTCCCTCTCCGGGCCACCATCAGTGGCTGAGCCTTCAGTTCCTATCCACCTAACCTCTGGATCTACTTCACTTTACCTTTCTGGCATTGCTGAGTAACTTATGGTCAAGTTGAGTGTGAAAGACAAACTTTAACTACAACAGCGGGATTTAATGTGATCATCTCAAGCAGCACGAAGAGCCAAAATGCTTGCCAATTATGATAGGCGTTGCTTCTTCACAAAACCTAAGATGTTCTGATGTGAAAACAGAGGGAAAAATGTCACAGTTTGCACAGCCACTTAGTCATGTGGCTTCATTAAGGAAGAAGTCTACCTCACGTTGTGTTCAAATGCTCCATGGAGCTGCCTTGTCTAGGCAGCTGGAAATGTTGTTTGCTTACAGCAAAGTGGACAGACTTCACGCTGTAGGAAGCAGCATAATAACTTTGGCTTCAGAGCTTTCCAAATGCTTTCGGTATTCATCAGCAACTTAGACGCTACACAATATTTACCCCTTGCTGTGCTTTGAGCAAGGACAATGCTGCAGTTTTCTTGGCAGAATGTCCTCTTGTTAAAAGCACGAAATCCCAAAGTCAGTGGAGACTGCACAAAAACACATCACAATAAAGGTCTTAATTGGGTATATGAGATCCAGCAGGAGAGAACTATTGTTGATTCATTCAACAGTTTATTTGGGGGTAAAATGGGCTTTGGGCTGAGAAAAGAACAAGCCCTTCACCCAGTGCTGAAGCTTAAAGCAATTTAGAAAGCTTGTATTACCACAATAAATAGAGGCTGTGAAAAACATACTGTGGATTTGAATGCTCATTAGATTTATTTGTCCATTTTTATTTTGTCTGCATATTCCTTGTCTCCCCAGAGTATACAGATGAGAATATATCAACAAAAGTGGCATTTCTCTCAGACCCTGGCACGCCCCTCATCCCCTCCAGTCTACCTTTGGAAGCTATGCTTTCAGCCACTATGGCCTGAGACTCTGGAACTCTACCTCAATCTCCACCTTGCCCCCTCCTTGTCTATTTTCCTGTTGTGCATAGGCATTTACTGACTAATCCATCACCACAATTTATAAGAAGCATAGCTTACAAAATACACAGTTATTATACTTTGAGCTCTTTGGAAAATCTTCCCAATATGAAAAGCACTATATAAATGTAAATTGTATTGTATTATGTAAATCCTGTAAATGCTTTGAAATGTCCTCCCTAGGTTGTCCTTTGGAGGTTTTTTTCGAAGTCTTGCCCATCCTCATCATCAGCAATTTAAATGTCTGTGACTTAGTATTAAAAAGCAAAGTGTTGCATCTATAACTTGTGCCATGGTACAAAACTTGTACTAATTCTTGCCTTCCATGTATGTCTTTTTTATTTCAGTGGTTACCTTAATGCCTGAACAGGTAAGTTACCATTTAATTCACAAAGCTTGGGGGGGGGGTATATTCAAATTGATGTGTACCTCACTGTGCTACCATGGGACAGTGTGGAGAGACATGAATCCTTTCATGCCCTTACACCTTCCTATCTCTCTGATCTTGTACTACTCGCCCTCTCTGCTCAGCTAACTCAGGGCTGGTGCATGTTTTCTTGCGCCCTCTGCTCTCTTTATATCCACCTTAAAACCTATCCTGAGATGGTGGAATTGGACATTTACTCTGTTACCAATCTCCGGCATGCCATTGGAAGGAGATGCTGAGTGGAGACCAAGGGAACATAGAGCACACACACAGACACCCAATGAACTGACTGATTTCAGTCATAATAATTGGGAAGTTTTGAATTTCAGACCGTGAATGTGGACATATTTTACGTGATATGCTTTTGTAAAATCTTCAACTTAATTAACTATATATTTTTACCCCTTCTCTTAAGCTCTCTCTTCCCTTCATCCCCCCTCCTCCTACCTTCAGGTCTGCTGGGCTTACATGGAGGAGGAGTCTCCTTGTCCCACTCTGCAGCACTGAACACTTTATACTGCCATACTCTGTTAATGTCAGCTGGAAAGTTTGCAGCAAAACCTCCTGTGCCCTCAAGAATAGCCCATGTCAAGTCTTTGAACTCTAAGCTGACAATCCACTGCAGTGCTGGGAGGTGCCGTATTGTTGCATCACAGTCCTTTGGATGATACGTTAAACAGAGGTTCTGTCCTTCTGTTTAGGTGGATGTTAAAGATCCCATAACACCATTCGAAAAGGAGAATGGAGTTCCTCCCAGTGTCCTGGCAAATAATCCCCCAAATACAAATTGGACACACACTTCAGTACTGTTTGTAGGTGATTTCTGTGCGCAAATTAATTGCCTCATACACCTACCAATACACAGTCACTTTACTTCACAGTAAAATGCTGTGAAATGCTTTGAGTTGTTCTCCCAATGTGGAAGGCGCTATATCAAATGTAAGGATTATTATTCTTATAAAAGTTTGCTTTTCTTTAAATCTAGGAAATAGAAGAGAAAACGAATGCAGAAGGTGGTCAGCTCCAGCTATCGCCTAGCATTACCACTAAACAAATAGAGCCTGGCTTCCCTGGTATGTATTCTTTTTATACCACAGCTCCTATCACTGCATGTTTATTTTTTTCTCCATGTCCAGCTGTAGCAACTCGTGAATATAAATGTGAGTCTATTTTGGATTTATCACATGAACCTAGGACTTTACCATATCTGCTGCTACAATTCCTTTCACTGCTGCTATTTTGGGAAAATAATTTGAGGAACATTCATAGAACAACAACAAGATTACATTTGTATAGGGCCTTTCACGTCGGGAGGACGTCCCAAGGCGCTGGACAGTGTACAGCATTTCGGACTCGAGCTGGGGTTGGGGGGGGAAAGGGGGGGTGGGGAAGGGAGGTGGCCGATGGCATGGTCGAAGACGAGGATCTTGAGGCGGTGCTTGAAGGAGGCTAAGGAGGGGGCGAGGCGGAGTGACTGTGGGATGGAATTCCAGAGGTTGGGGGCAGAGAGGCAGAAGGCTCACCTGCCAGTGGTGGGGTGGGTGGGTCGTGGACGTGGAGCAGGGGGTTAGGAGGTTGCAGAGGTAGGGTGGGGTGAGGCCATGGAGGGCTTTGTAGGTGAGGACCAGGATCTTGACCTGGATCCTCTGAAGGATAGGGAGCCAATGGAGTAGGGTGGGAATGGGGGAGATGTTATTGTTATTGTTCTTTCTGAATTAGTTTGCAGTGTGCAAATTGGCTGCTACATTTGCCTACACTTTATGGTAAAATTCAGGGAAATGCTTGAGATGTCTTGATGATATGATAAGGCGATGTATAAAATGCAAGAATTATTTTTATTTAGTACGTCCTCCTGTGTAATTTGTTGTTGTTGTTATTCATTAATAATTCAGCGGAGAGAAATTATGAAAAACATGTTGCTTCATTCTCTCTTCAAGTTGTTGACAGTGCTCTGAGATGCTATTGTGCGTGAAGGGTGCTATATAAATGCAGGTTGTTGTGTATTCTCACCTTCTGTTGAGAGGATACAACCATCCAGCTTAACACTATTGTGAATGTTATCTATTGGACTTCCTGCTAGCGGGTAGTGGTATTGATTGGCTGGTTAATGGGAAACTGGTGTATCACTGATTGTTTGTTTTCTGTTTGGTTAAAGTATAGTATCATGCTAACTAGCAGTCCAATCCCATGATCCACAAGCCAAAATTGCATTGAGTAGTTGGCTTCTGGGCGCAAGCATTGAGAAGCGTATTGAGACTGGGGAGAAGTTCACCTGGGAACCAGTCAATCTGTTAATTATTATCATGGAGTCCTGTAGCTTAGTGGTTAGAGTACTCGCCTCGCAAGCGACAAGACCCGGGTTCAATTCCCCGCAGTGTGAAACGTTTCCTTACTGCGCACGTCTCTTATTTATCTAGCAGTAAGGAGGAACCTGGTTGTTAGTGGATTGGCAGATTGCTTTTCCGTGGATAATAATCCATCAAAAAAACATTTGGTCAGTCATGGAAACATGACTGTTTCTGGGATATTGCTATGCACAATTGGCTGCCACGTTTCACCCACAATTATAGAGTCAATTCACTTAACAGTATATTCTGTGAAGCACTTTGAAACAACAACAACAAAATTACATTTGTATAGCGCCTTTCACATTGGGAGGATGTCCCGAGGCGTTGGACAGACTAAGAGTTACGAACCCGAGCTGGGAATCGGGGTGGGGGAGGGTGGAGTGCAGTGGATGAAGCAGGGAGATCGAAAGCATGGTCGAAGAGGAGGGTCTTGAGGTGGGATTTTGAAGGTGGGTTTTGAGGGAGAGGGCGAGACGGAGGGACTGCGGGATGGAGTTCCAGAGGGTGCGTGCAGAGTGGCAGAAGGCCCGCCCGCCAATAGTGGGGTGAGCAAGGCGGTGGACGTGAAGCAGGCCGGAGCCCGCTGAGCAGAAGGAGCGAACAGGATGGTAGGGAGTTAGGAGGTCGGAGAGGTAAGGGGGGGCAAGACCATGGAGGGTTTTGAAGATGAAGAAGCTTTGAGACGTCTAGAAGACGTGATAAGACACTATACCAAATGCAAGATTATTATTATTGTTATCATGCTGCCTTTTCCAATTTGAATGTTCATTAGCACTATCGGTGTTAATTAATACATCATAATAATACAAGAACCACAATTGTGTTTAGTTGCTGAGCTGTATTGGAATTTGATATTTCCTTACAGCCATCTCATCCACGTTTGCTTTTGCTAAACTTTCCTTTCACAGCATCTATTACTGGCTCATGAGCTGCCTCTTTTTACAATACAATATAATTTACATTTATATAGGGCCTTTTTTATGTCGGGAGGAAGTCTCAAAGCGCTTGATAATGCCAGCCGGACACCCAAGCTGAGGGTGCCCGGCTGGTATTAGTGGGGAGCGGGGAGAGGACAGATGACTGTAGTCAGAGAAAGTTGGGGGACAGACACAGGATCAGATTTGGGGGGAGGCAGCCACAAATATGTACTCCTAGACTAGGAGCAAGGTATCAGCAGGGCATGGTCAGGTCGTTGGCATGGAAGGGACATGGGCAATGGTGAGAACTGCAAACATTTCTTAATTCCTTTCTGATGTATTTTGTTACTTGCCCTCCCCTCCTCTCTGCTACACAGGGTCCCATGACCACACTTTCATTTCTGATGGATAGTCAGGCTTGAAATGTTATCCTTGTTTCCCATTCAGAAGCTGAGTGACTGTTGTGAGGTTTTCTATTTATTTCCACTGTGTAGTTTTATAAGATGTTTGTTCCTTTTGTCATTATAGAGGTAATAGAGAAAACCTCGCCACCAGGACCGGTTCACATTGCCCCTGAGGTTTCCACTCCAAGCGTCTTGCCCCATCTTATTGCAGCTACTCAAGTTGCAGGTACAGTAAACATAGCAGTTTTAGCATTGGTTAAAGAAACATGGAATTTTTTTATTTCATGCATTTGTCCAAATTGGTTGAAGGACCTTCTTCTGAATTGCAATTTCAGGCAAATATGTACTAAACCTCAACACTGGCATTTTGCTTTTTAACAGTTAAAATGTTAAGCCCGAGAACAGGGCAATTTACAAAGGAAGTTGATATTCATAGTTCCCCAGAATTCAGATAAAACTTGTCATTTATTTTAGTCAGATGGGTGTCTGACACATGCGGAAACCCAGCACCATGCTTAAGAGTATCTAAACTCAACTGGGAGTTCCATGCATCCCACCTACATGTGAAACTCTCAGTCTAGTTTAGCTAATCTTAGCATGGTGATGGGTTTTCAGATAGTCAGCTGACCAAAAACTTGTCACTTGAAGGGGAAAATTTAAGCAGATCTTTTCAGTGCTGAATGGTTTACACAGGAAAGCTGAACATGGGCTTGTATAACTCTGCCAGGTGCCATTTCTTCATTGTGATGGATAGGATTTTGCATCAATTGTAGGAATGCTGTGAGTCATGTCTTAGGAGGACTCTGTTGCCTTTAAAGCACTGAAAATGTTAACAGACCTTTATATCTTTAACGATCCTCATGTATATCTTGCCTGGTGTGTTTCTTTAAAAATAGTCTTGTTTACTTTTGAAGCAAATGGAACATCCGAGTGTTACAGCTTTCAGCATTGTCCTTCCACAACTAAACAGGTGAAGGATGTTTAAAGCTAGCGTGAGCCTATATTAAGAAACAGGATTACTAAAGTAATCAAATTGGTTCTCTAGATATGGTTTCCGATTAAACATCCTCAGCAATGGATATTTAAAGATAAGATAGCATTTTGCAAAGGTCCCTTCTGTATTTAGGTGCATCCTGTGCTTGCAAAGGCTGCTATCTCTCGGCGAGTTAAAAACACCACACAGATATGAGCAGGAGGATTGTATACTGCAGTAACAGGCAGGCAGTCATTGGGTATCCCAACTTGTGCTGAGATAAGAGTCTAGAAATCACAAGAGCGTCTGATATGCATGTAGGAACGTGAGAAAGCATGGAATAAGGAAAGGCCATTCAGCCCATTAAGCAATATTCCTTTACAACCAGGGAAACATATCTCATCAATGCTTTATCCATCCACTCTGTCTCCTTGCAGGTAGTGTTGTATAGATGCCCCGTTTTTCCACCGGGATTGAGAACATTCTCATCAGGTAAAGAGTAGCATAAATGAGTCCTAGCACTGAAAGAAAAATGTCTCAGGACATACATACAGTGTGTCTGCACCATAGAGCTCCACTACATAACACTGACCTGCGAGATTTCTTCTCCAAACTGAGATCCCCTTAGAGTTGAGGTCTCGTGTTGATGTGGTTTACCTGAGGTTCCCTGCAGAAGAGGCACTTCAAATCCCCATGCACTATATACACTACAGTTTTCCCATTGAGAGTTTTCTCAATCCTAGTGAATCACAAACTGCAGAATATGCATACATGTCCTGATTGAATCAATAAATCTTTGGACTCTTTCGCCCTCACCATCACTCCAGACAGCTGTTTGTCTGATTATGAGCTTCTCTTATCCTGTAATTTCTCTGCAGGAGTCTACACAGAACGTTTCTAAGGCAGATTCATATGCTGTTCTTTGAATGTGTTAAAGACCACAACACTGACTACTCTTGTTGTGAATCTGCTCTATAAAGTCACCATTGTGTGTGGGGAAAACACATTCCTTGTAATCTCTAGTATTAGTAGTATCTATTTTTATATCATTTTGGAAATGGCCACATTCCCACTGTTTGCATTTCTCCCTTCACCATCAACGAAAGTTGCAACCAAACATAAAATTTCAGCAAGCATATCTTATTTTGTAAGGATTTAGTCTCATTGGATGAATTTGGATCCTGGACATTTTGAAGGAAACCCTGTCAATCAAAAATGTCACATGTTCTCTTCCTACCCACTTGGCCTGAGTGACTTAGACAGCCACTGTTTCCATCCCCCGCTCTAACCATGGCACTGTGAGGCCACCCGCACAGAATAAAGCACTCAGTTTAACATCTTAACAAGCACATGAACACCAAATTACATAAACACCCCTTTCCCTTACCCTGTGGGGCATTGCTAAAGCAGATTAACTGTTGCATTTGCTATAGTCACTGCACTTAAAAAGTAACTTACTCAAGGGAATTGCCTTGAGAATTATAAGACTGTAACAAAGGCAAGCATTATTCTTAATGCAGAGCGTACATGTTTAAGAGCCTTTTGTGAGGCAATCGTTTAGATAAATTCTGCATTTTAAGAGGTCACCTCTAAGAAGCTTGATGTAGGTCTGAAATTGCGACATACATGTGGGGGGAGGAGGTGGGGGGTTCCTTTTTCACTCGTTCTAAAATATCCTCTGTGCCTCACTCCATTTCTGGGGTTTCCATGGGAGAGTGTAATTACCATGAAATTCTAGCCTTGTGTATGCTTCAGCCAACTTGTGTGGGCCAGTAACTGGTGGCACTATTATTTGCATTCCTCCCGATTGGTGCAACAGCCTGAACAGCATTTCATCTGTTCCTCACAGCAGTTCCCAGAGTAGTTCTGATAAGAACAGCATCGTTTACTACCCTTTGTGCTCTTGCCATTCTTCGGTCGGTTATTAAACTTGGCTCATTTTCAATTTCATCTGTTGAGTGTACTTGTTCCCACTGTAGCACTGACTCAAAATTGACATCTCAAATCAACCCATTTCACTCTTAATCCCGATCACTGCCTTTAATCTTATTCTATCTCAATCTTAATCTAACTCTGTTTTGAGCCATTTTGCACAATTTTATAGCATCTTGGACTTAATACTTTAATCTTAATGTTGATTAGTACCAATCATGACAACTTTTATTCCAGATCAGTTGTAATCTACCTCAATCCAATCCACTGTAATTTTAATCCATTTTAATCGTAATCCTACTCCGTCTTAATACAGCTCAATTTTACCCCACTAGATTGGAATGTGCCTTTATCGTAATTCCCTTTAAACACAACCCAGTTTAAGATTCTGTGATATTCTTATGTAGTAACATATGTATTTTTTATTATTAATAATGTATATATATTGAAATATATTGTCATATGGGCAATTGTTGGAATACTGATCATTTCCTTAAAATTTTACAGTGGGAATTCAGTGGGCACATGATTATATTAGAGTTGGTTTAAATCTAAGACTAAATTTTTCCCACCATTGGCAGGAGAGCCTTCAGCCACTCTGCCCCCAACCTCTGGAATTCCATTCCCCAGTCACTCTGCCTCGCCCCCTCCTTAGCCTCCTTCAAGTCCCGCCTCAAGATTCTCCTCTTCGACCATGCCATCGGCCAACCCCCTTCCCCACCCCCCTTTCCCCCCCGCCGACCCCAGCTCGGGTCTGAAATGCTGTACTCTGTCCAGTGCCTTGGGACGTCCTCCTGACATGAAAGGCGCAATACAAATGTAATGTTGTTGTTGTTGGTTTGACTACTGTAGAAGATCAGTGGTAATGCAACATGGACTCTTATGTGTTATGTGTGCTTCATTGTAGCAGAAGTTGGAATTGCATTATGTTTCAGTTTTATTCCATCTCAGTTTAAAAAGAACACCATATACCTGCATTTTTAGTTTATTGTTCACATGTTTTGTGTTCACAAGCCAAGGAGACAGCAATCCACACAAGTGCAACAGCCATCCTCTCCTTGCTCTCTTACACAATTGCAGATCAGGTCTTAGATCACCTCCTAGTGCTTGCTATCAACAACTGCATGTGCAAATGTTGACAGCATGTTTACTGATCCTAACAAAGCAATGGTGAGGCAGCAATAGTACTATTAGAATGAAAAATACTCCTCGGGTCCCACTCCATCCATGTGAAGCTTTTTCAGATGTTTTTGTACATGAAAAGGTGTTATATATAAATGCAAGTTATTATTGCATGTGTGAAATAACCCGAAGTTCTAGATCCAGTGTCGTTAGGGTCTACCTTACACTGATCACTGTCACATTATATATTTGTTATTAAGTTGTGATGAAAACATTGCTAGTTTAGAGATCAGTGTTAGACCAAATATGTCACTGATTGCCTTGGTGCTGTCTCCTTTATGGATGAACATGGAAATGAAACTTGTAAGACATGTGATAATTGATGAAACAGCGTTTCCAATTTTCCTAAGGTATAATATTAAGCAAGAATGAACAATATCATTGAAAGCATAACGGGTTGATAGTTACTGAATAAATCATTTTTTAAAAAAAAATCCTTTTTACCATGGAACAATTTATTGTATTGATGAAAACCCCGTGGAGGGATAGTGACAGACAGACATGTGGATCTCTGACCATTCGTTTATGTTTCAATTGATTATCTTTCATTCCCAGAGATCAACGAGTGTTCAGTCAATCCTAGAATCTGTGGACCAGGCCGGTGCATCAATCTGCCAGAGGGCTACACGTGTAACTGTGACTCTGGCTATAGTCTCAGCACTCGGGAGACAAGATGTATCGGTGAGGCTTAACATTTTGCAGCCTTTTGTATTATGAAATGGCATTTGCTTTGAACTGTGTCATTTAAGTGTTCGAAGCGAAGGGCCAAGGTAAAGAGCTTCAGAAGAGAACTGGGGAATATAGGAACAGGTGCAGGTTGACATGAACAATTTCCCCATGGGATAATGCATTTCCTTGTGCTGTCAGGTGGGAAGTGAGAAAGCTGGAGGAGACTTTGTTGTATGTGGGCGGGTAGGAGGGAAAGAAGGTCAGAGTTTAATACGTGAAGATGTGAGGTTGGAATAACACTCCGGATAACATTTTTGCTTCATTACCTGAGAATGTGATCCCAGGAGATAACATGGCAAACTGCCTGACAGGTCAAATTGTCCTGGTCTCAGGAAGGAGGAGGTTTGATTGGTTAAATGGCCTTTTATCAGTTTATATTTTCTTAGACTTTTGTGAGGTACAGTCCGACCCTTTTGCTACATAGCTACATGAAATATGTAGCTCAGGGCTGACTGGCTTGCTTTCTACACATGAAGCACAGGAGAACTCCTCTTGCTGGTGCTGGAAACACTCGCAAATGTGGTTGTTGCTGTCTAGTCATCTGGCTTTCTACCACCAGCAGCATTATCAGCTGCTCTGTAACAGGTCGGAGGAAAGCTGTAATGTGGGCGTTGATTTTACGGTCCCAAACCACTGTGTTACAATGGAGTCCAACTGCATAACATAGCTGGTAGATATGAAGTGTAGTTGGGCATTAGGTTGCCTCACTGAATGATAAAGGAAAGACATGTTTGGCTGAGAGGTCCACAAGAGTGAGGAAAGGTATAATTTATTCATTTGATGGTTCTGCTATACAAGAATCCCATCAGGTCACAGAACCCAGATCAAACAGTCCATACACACAATGATTTCCTAATTGAATAGCCAGAATACAATGGCCCGTTTATCCATTCAAATCTCCTGCATTCAAGACAAGCAGCTGGAAAAAGAGATGAGGGCCAAAATTCTGTATTGTGAAAGTAACAACAACTTGCACTTATATTGCGCCCTTTACGGAGGATAGTGACTTGGAGTGCTGATAGCGTAAAGGAATTTGGTGAGAAAATTAAGACATATGCCATTAAACTGCACATGAAATTCCACAGGTTACCTATTTTGGTGTGATGCAGCATCATGTTACTATGTCATGGGGAGTGGGGGGGTGCGGTCAGCGGCCCACAAATCTGGACCATTGCATTTCTGGCTATTCATCAGGAGGCCATCAATTTTTCTTCCCACTCTTTTGCGAACAGACTCACAGCCACTATATTTGGCAGCAGTTACTTGCGAAGGGAGTGTCCCCTGGTGCCCTGGTCAACACAATCCCCCAGATAAAATTGATCTTCCACTTTATGGTTGTTTATGGAACATTGCTGTGTGTAAATTGGCTGCCGCATTCGTCTACAAAACACACAGATACTACACTTTACAGTATATCCTGTGAAACTCTTTGAGATATTCTCCTGATTTCTCCTGAGATGTTCTCAGCTAAAGACCTTTCTTTTCAACCGCGCCTTTGGTCACCTTCCTCCCCCTCCTACTGGCTCAGCCCCGGGATCCATTATTGTGAAGCGCTCTGAGACGACTTCTGGCGTGGAGGATGCTATATAAATCTAAGCTGTTGTTGTTGATTTGAAAGATGCTGTATCAAGTGTAAGGATTATTATTATGTCATTTACGTTCACTGTGATGAATATCAAATTCTAACTTTACCCCAATTACACGGTTGCTGTTATTCAAGGCTGGGGTAATTGATGGTTTGACCTGTTCTAATGAATATGTGGGTGAATGCGTTTTCCAGACCTGGATGAATGTGCAGTGACCCCAAAACCATGTACCAACGCGTTCTGTGAGAACACTGTGGGCAGCTTCCGATGCATTTGTCACCAAGGCTACATGTCAGATGGAGGAAACCAATGCTTCGGTAATGTTCTCAACTACTTTGAATTCCTTGACAGGTGGATCTCATTGGGCGATTTAACATCAACGAAGATTCCAATATCTCTAAACCTTCCAGTCATAGACTCTTCTACCAGTAAAACCTGATTTAATTGAGGAAAAGTGGTAGAAATGTGTCAAAAGCTAACTGATGTTGGGAATTTGTTTTGCTCAGTGTACGTTTTTCAGAAGTTACTTCTGTATTTCTAACAGCTCCTAACACCTGTATGAGTCTAGATAAGAAAGGTCAGCCCCTCTTAAAGGAGAGGAGGAACTCCAGCCTGGCCCAACTCTGCTCACACACCATGCACATCCCAGCAGAAACCAACACATCTAGGAATCACTGGGAAGGAATTCCACCTGGGTCTTGATCTACCTCAATTTATGCAGCATTTCAAGGCATCCAGAATTTGGTAAATTGTTGAATTCATAATTTAACTTAACCTCAGTTTCCTATAGTTCTTAAAAAAAACTTTGAAATTGAGAGTCCGTTTCAGAATTTGCCAAAATCTGGTTGCACTAGACCATCCAAAATCTAGACGCAGGTGTAATTTACCCATAGGTACTAAATATTGTCTGAGCACTCAGATGATAGGCTTACAGACAGAACAGTGTTTTAGCACAATCCAGAAATGTCAATCAATCCTCATGTCTTTCCAAGATATTGATGAGTGCCTGACGCCCATCATCTGTGGAGAAGGACTTTGCATCAACATGTTGGGCTCCTACAAGTGTGAGTACTGTGATGCTGGATATAGGATGGACGGAGGCCAGTGCATAGGTGAGTCTTCATTCAGCTTTATTTCAACCTTCTCATTTATACGTATCTTACGCCTAAAGTAGTGAATTTTTCTCCCCGGATAGTCTAGTGAGTAAAAGCACTGGGTCTTAAAGACAAGGCAATCCCAGATTTGCATCCCAGTTTATGCTAATCTCAGCCAGGGCAGCAGATATGAACCTACAATAGTACTTGATGACCCGGTGGCGGGGCGGGGGGAATCAGCCAAAGTTCCTGCTCCTGATTGCGTTCCAGAACCCTCTGGTGGATAGTATCTGTACAGGGCCAGGATAAGGCTCGGCTACCATGCTGCCTGCTGACCCATTGTATGCTGGCTATCACTGTCCAGGTCCACTCAAGAAGAATGGCCGGCCGCTTGGGCGAGGTGCTGGTGGGCACCTGCAGGATTGTATCCCAGCATGAGTCATGGTTTTGAGGAGAGGAGGGAGAGAAGAGGAGAAAATTAGGAAAAACAATATACGTGCAAGTAATCCAACACCAGTTATGAAATCAAAAGCACAAGTGTGTGGGGAGATTCTGGTGCCAAAACAAACACTGCAGTGGTTGTGTGAAGCCCATCCCCAGATACTCACACCCTGTCATTATTAAGGAACTAAATTATCCTCTCATCTCCTGCTGCCCTTGAAAACCCAAAAGGAAACACTTTGTTAATTGTCAAAGAATGGGCTTGTTTCAAATGAATCCTGTGCCCAGTTTGCTGAATACATTCCATCCTTTATATCAACTGAGTGATGAATCAATCACAAGCTTATATAGCTGGGCCTCTGGAAAATAAAAGGAGTGCGGGTCAAAGTTCAGACAGCTCTGGCTCATTGCACAGGACAGTCCTCACTGCCTGCATTGTGATATTGACCATCTAATGTCAGCCCCAAACAATCAGTAATTCTGTGTGATTGTATGTATTACGCTTAAACACTTGAGCCTATCTCACATGATCACTGGAAATTGTTGCCAAAGATTATGCTTTTTGTAGGGGAATAATGTTATACATTTTAAATTCTGGTTTGTTTTCTGAGCATTGAAACAGCAAACTTGAACAGCTAGGAAAAAGCTATGTTGTCTTCTCCAAAGAAAATGTCAACCCATTTTTTTAGTTATTTGCAGCCATAAAACTAAACTTGAAATTTCTTTTGATTGTTGGCTAGGTTTTAAATATGCCCTTTTTAAATTCACAGACATTGATGAATGCCAGAATTCAAACATATGTCCGTCTGGAACGTGCATTAACAGTCCTGGCACTTATGAGTGCATGCCTTGCCCAGATGGATACAAAAGCAGAAATGGCCAATGTGTAGGTATGTACTGCAGTCAGAATGCAGACTGCTCCTCATACCTAGAATTCAGAATCACTTTTACTTGGAATTTTTAAATAAAAGTTGTTCTTTCCTGTAACTAGTATCTATAAAATCTTGTCAAATGTCAGAATAAAGATACATGGGTACAAATTGTGCACTCCTTTGGCAGGATTGGCTGACAGTGGGATTTACCATTACGGTAATGCTGAACGGGAATTAAGCTCCTCAGTGTGCTACAGACACCCCACAGTGCAGTGCTCTGTGTGGGGGTATGTAGCACACTGAGGAGCTAAGCTAGAAGTGAATATCACTAAAATGTACTAAACTTTGAGATGCAGAGCTTCATCCCAATATAGTACTTACAGTGTGTGGATTATTTTTCCACAGTATGGAACAATATACTTTTCCTTAATATATTGCATATGAATTGCTTTGTATTAAGTGTATATATATATTTAATTAAGGAATCTCAAAGTACTTTGCATTGACTAGTGGGAACTCTGCTCTGACTTGATCTACTTTCAGAGTGGAGTTTATTAAAAGAGAACTGATGTGTTGTGAATGTCTGTTCAAGGCCTTCTGGTTAGAAGGCAAGAGACCCCACTCGGAGTCCCCATTTAAAAAACTCTATGTGAAATGACCATGTTTTACACCTTACAATTGCTATCGTGCATGGTGAGGCCTGTGTCACTGTTGCTCCTAATATCATTGCACTAATAATAGTAATAATCCTTGCATTTAATATAGCGCCTTATCACCCTGTTGAGGTGTCTGAAAGGGCTTTACAGAATATTCTGTAAAGTAAATTGACTGTATTTTGTGGGCACCACCTTGTACCATTGTACTATGCATCCCTACAAAACGATTAGAAACTTGGTTTTATATCGAGTCTAAACTGTTAGTTATGTAAAGAGGAATAGACATCTGGCTCTAAGTTTAAGGAAGTAATTCAGACTGATGGGGGTGCGGGGGTGGGAGGGGGGCATGCGGTGGAGAGGGTGGGTCTGTCGATGTGATCAGTGTTGTTGAAGTACTGTCTTGTAACTCGCTGCCAGATGTCTATTATCCTGTACTTATTACCTGCTTTTAATATCCGAAGAATTTGTTTTTAGAGCAAGTTCCAGACAGTAATTGCCATCATTCTTTCTAATATTGGACAGACTACAAATCCAAGGTCTGGTTAAATTAGATATCTGGTTAATTTTTTTTTAATAAAACGGAAAAAATGTGGATAGTTGCTGTTAAATATAAAAACGCTTTTTCAGCTTGTTTGCCTGATTTTGTTGAGCTTTCCTGTTTTTGTTGTGTTTCCTGTGTTGAAGTAAATAGATCAAAGTGCGAGGGAAGGCAGAGAAATATCATTGAATAATGAGATGGAATTGACAATGTGTCTCAGCCTGGCTCAGTTGGTAACTGAGTTGCCTCTGAATCAGAAGGCTGTGGGTTCAAGCTCCACAAGGGGATTCTGAACCTGGATGAGATTAAAACTGTTAAACTGAGGTCCTGTCTAACTGACCAGTTGGATGTTACAAATCCCATGGCCCTATTTGAATCGAGAAGGTAGTTTCTCCTGATGACCTGGCCAATACTCACCCTATAAAATTAGTCATTCATTTCATGGCTGTTTATGGGGTATTGCTGTGTGCAAATTGGCTGTTGCTTTTGCCTACAAGTTGGGGTTGGAGGGAGAAAAGGGTGGGGGGAATAAGAGGTGACGAAAGAATGGTCCAAAAGAAAGGTCTGAAGACAGGCTTGAAAGGTGGGGTGAGAGGGTCGAGGCAGAGGGACTCTGGGGTGGAGTTCCAGAGAGTAGGAGCAGAATGGCTGATGGTGTGGTGGGCTGGGTGGGGGACATGAAACAGACTGTTCTTCGCTGATGAAGGGAAGGCCAGGGTGGTAAGTAGAGTTGCAGGAGGTCGCAGAGATAAGATGGGCAAGGCCGTGGAAGGATTTAATGTGAGGATGAAGATGCTGACTTATATTGGATTGTATGAGGAGGGAATGGGGGGGAGGGGGTGCATCGGAAGATTAATTTGTAAATATTGAATGACACAACTCTTGGTTTGGATATTCTTAAGCATGATGATGGGTTTCCACCTAAGCAGACACACAAAAATATGATGAAATGTGGAGTAATTTAAATCCGATAGACATCTGATAGAGTTCACCTACAAATACACAGTCATCCACTTCACAGTCAATCTTTTGAGGCACTTTGGGGGCATCCTCCAGCTTTGAAAGGCGCTATAACAAATCAAGTATTATTATTATATCCTGCTGCGGGCAAAGCAGTAAAAAAATGTGTTAAACTCAATAAACTCTGAATACCTGTGTTTGGTGAAATTGACCGAGTCCTGTGGTGCCAACCACTTCCCTTGAAAGGATCCATTTTGTTATGTAATAGTCTGTACTTAATTTTATTTATTCAGACAGAATATCAAATTGCTTTCTCTTCTCCAGAAACTTTCATTTAATCCCACGAGTCGTACCATAAAATACATCCGTCCTCCTTGATAAACGCGAGCCCGCTTTTATTGTGACGGTTCCTGATCTGTGAATTAATGCCTTGAGGTCTTCTAGTTCTGCTGCTAAGTGTCTGGACTAACCAGAAGCCAATATTTACTTTGGCTTTTGGGACCAATTTGCTCCTTCCTTGCTGAAAACATTTCAAAGTGTTCGTGGAATTACAAAAGAGCAATGCATGATTACTGGGATTTATTTTTGACTGTTCAAGATGTGAAATTTCACCAATGTACGAGCACTAAATATTTGGCTCCCACAATGTACAATATGCTTTTATGTGGATTCCCTTTGCTCTGAGTCTTCTATAAGGACTCTACTACTTCTACTTCTTAAGAAGTGCTTTTATAGCAATTCTTTGTTCTACTTCAAACAGTGGATCAGAAACCCTTTACCGTCTCTTTTAGGAACCAAAAGCTACCTATAAAATGGAACATGTCAATCTGTCATCTTATTGTAATACTGAAATAACATTTCATTTACCCCGGTTCATGTCCAAAAAATGTCCTTAATAAGGTGATTGTGTGATCTGCTCTTTATTAATATCCTTCAGCCTCCATTTGGCAGAATTCCTCAGTTGCTGTCCATCAAGCTGTTAGTTAATAAAGAACTGCACTATTTAAAAGGGAAATTTCAAGTGTTTGAAGGAATCCTTAAGATGAGATATTAAACCAAGATCCTGTCTGACTGTTCAGGTGGACGTTAAACATCCAATGACACTACTTCGATAGAGAAGGGAGTTTCTCTCTCGGTGTCCTGGCCAATGATTCCCCAAATAAAATTGGTCACCCATTCTATGGCTGTTTGTGGGATATTGCTGTGTGCAACAAGCGCATTTTACCCACAAAGTACACTTTCATTCCATTTTACAATATATCCTGTGAAGCCCTTTGAGACTCGATGACGCCTTGGGACGTCCTCCTGACGTGAAAGGCGCTTTATAAATGGAATCTTGTTGTTGTTGTTGTTGATGATGTGATAAAGTGATATATCAAATGCAAGGATTATTGATTTATTATTATTTAAATTCCCCTTGCCAGGCAGTATTTTGGTGGTTTGTTCATCAGCCTCCATTTACATAAACGTGTGACATTTCACAGCAAATTCAATATGATAAATTCAAATTTGCTCTGAAATTTTGTAAATTTCGCTCCTACAGTGGTACCAGTAGACCATGTATGTTTTCAGTAAGGAAATCACTTTATTATCAGTGTAAACTCTGCTATCACTATTCAAAAAGAGAGGGATCTCCTGGCTAACAATCTTCCAGATAAAAATGGTCATTCACTTCATGGGTCTTCCTGGGACATTGCTGTGTACAAATTGGCTGCATAGTTCACCTACAAAATACACAGTCGCTGACTGCACTGTAAATCCTGCGAAGCGCTTTGAGATGTCTGCCAAATGTGAAAGGTGCTACATCAAAACCGAGGATTATTATAATCTCTGCAAATCATTTTTGGTGTCTATATTACATAGCAAGCATTCACCCTTTCAATTGAACAAAAGACTGAATTGATTGCCCATATACGTAACCATATATACATATACAGTTGAGAGGACGAACATTACGATTAGCACTCAAAATGTTTTTATAATGTTGAAAAAAACACATAAGTACACAAAGGAGAATGAATCTAGGATTATCTCAGCTCTGATTTTAATCAGATACAGACATCTTAAGACCACTGAACTGTGATTGAAATCAGAGCCCTGGTGTTGAACCCTCCATCACAGCAAGGGTGGAAATACCTTACGAAGATTCCCAGAATAAAATGCCATGCAAATGACTGTTGCGTCAATGGCAATTAAATTGTGAGGTTCGTAAAAATAATGATTTCTAAATAGTGAATCCCAGATGTGTCCCAATCTAACCCTTTGGAAATCTGCCTGGAGCCTGAATTCACTAAAGTTGGAACTGAGATCGGCCATCAAGCAGAGTTCCAGAGGATCAACCAGAGCACATCTGGGAATCACCAGCCACAAACGGTTTTGTGAATTTTGTAATGATTGTAGTTGTAGCTTGTTCAATTTATAATTACAAATGAACACTGTAATAGCTCCCTTCTTCTGTTTCATGCTTCCCCTGCTAAAAAATGAACGACTTCTGCGGGGATCACATTGCCACTGTTGTCATCTCCTGTGCGCATGTGCACTTTGCACAGGAAATGCCGCTAATGTTACTTCCTGCACACGACGAATGCAATCAAAAAGCAATAAGCCCTGCCAAAGCCACTTGGCGAAGAAAGTGATGTCAGCGGTGGGTTCTGCGATTGATACATATGTGCAAGATTTGACATTAATGGTTCTTCCTGTACATAGCATGTATGAAGGAAGTGATGCTGACAGTAACCTGGCAACAAGGACATCAATCATTTCTCCACGCCTCACTTATAGGGCTGTCAGGGAGACATTAGACCTGGCCAATCATTTTATAACAGGGTTTCCCTTTATTCAGTTATTATTGCAGAACCCCTTTAAATGGGGGTCAGAATGATCATTTTATTGATGAAGAAGACTAAATAATAAAATAATCCTTGCATTTGATACCGCACCTTTCATGTTAAAGTGCTTCACAGGATTTTATGTAAATTGTAGTGGCTGTGCATTTGTAACTGAAAACCTATGCACAGGAAGTATTTTGCATTAGCTATAATAATAATCCTTGCATTTGATATAGCTTTGAGATGTCTCAAAGCGCTTCACAAAATATACTGTAAAGTGAATCGACTATTTTGTGGGTGAAAATGGGTTGCTTGTGGGTTTCTGTAGCAGTCTTAATATACTTGCATTTTGTGTCAGAGTTGCTACCTGTCAGCCATTGCTTACCTGGGTACATAAATCATTGAGGGATAGGAATATTCCCACTCAGCTACCTATAACTCTGCGAGCCAAAGCTCTTGAGAGTAGGGTGATCTTAACTGGAAAAGAAGTGGGAAAACTTCCCAGTGCCTCAGTCTGATCCTTTGTGCTGTTTTACTTGTTCCATTGAAATCTCATTATACATTTGAGGCTCCTATTGCCTTGGCCTTTGCCAGTCTGCATGTGTGCTACCCCAGCACAGGGAAGTGGGGTTTGTCTCCCTCCAGGGGATAGATTGCATACTGCATGCAGAACCCACAAACAGAAACTGTGCAAGTTCTTGCCAAAACCGGAGAGATTGAAGCACGACAAGGGGATTCCCGTGTGTCAGACTCCTGTTTGACCAAACAAGGTCTAATCTTTAGGTGGTTTACATTTTTGGAACAAAATACATATTTTTAAACATTTGTTTTTCTTTGTAGAGCAGAGAGCAATGTGGCATTTGCATTTTGATTTAATGCCAAACAATTCAATGCCCTGAGGTTAAAAAAAAGTACAAATTATTGTTTGTCTGTAGTCTATGGAAACCTTGACCCAAGCATAATCTTGGCCAACAGTAAGGAGTTCATTAGGATTTAATTGTATCTCTTTCAGTTTCCCATTACTAAAGTATAACCAGTCACATGCAGGGTTTCTTCCACCGAAATAAAGGCGGAAAGATGCTGCAGGTGTTCCACAATAATCAAAACATACAGAAAAAAATTAGAGGATGTTTTTATTGCTCATTTGCAATAGTGTCAGTCTGGCTCAGTTGGTAGCACTCTGGCCTCTGAGTCAGAAGGTTGTGGGTTCAAGTCCCACGTTGGGACTTCAACTCACATAGTCTGAGATGACACTCCAATGGAATGTATGTTGCATAGATTCAAGTTGGAGGTGCTATCTTTTGGATGAGATGTTATTTGAATGAGATGTTAAACCGAGGCCCAGTCTGCCTGTTCAGGTGTACACTAGAGATCCCCTGAATCTATTTAAAAAGAGAAGGGAGTTTCTCCCAGTGTCCTGGCCAACAATCCTCCAAATAAAATTGTTCATTCACTCCATAGCTATTTGTGGGACATTGTTGTGTGCAAGTGAGCTGCTAAAAATACATTGTCACTACATTTGACAGTATATCCTGTGAAGATCTTTGGGAGGTACTTCCAACATGAAAGTGCTATGCCAAAATGCAAAGATTATTAGTATTTCTCGCATCTGCTATTAATTGACAGATGTTTATCATGCCGCTGTGGCTTCTGCTTTGACCTCTTCAAATTGTAACTTTGCTTTGTTTGTTCTCAGATATTAATGAGTGCTTGGATCGGTCGACTTGTGCCAATGGCAGATGTTCCAACCAAGAGGGCACCTTCATCTGCTCTTGCAACCGAGGGTACGAGCCATCTACCGATGGCAAATTGTGCGAAGGTAACCACTCTTAGTGCACCAAGATTAACATTCACAGAGCCTGTTAACCCTTGGGCAACAAAATATTTGTTTGTGCTCCTAAAATAAAAATGATCAAGCGAGTTGTTCAAAATTTGTGGTTTGGTTTTAAACAAAAGTTTGCTATTTCTTTCCTTTTTCTTGTATCCTCACATTTCTCGGCCAAAGTCATCAGCTCCAGGCTCTTCTACCAAATTGTTCCTGAAACTGTTTATGAGCCTTCGAATGGATGGCCCAAGAGCTTTCAAGGGACCATATTTTAATGGGATAATTTTCTTACGAGCTTTCAACAACTTGTCGCATGGTTAAGAGCTGAAATCGGAGTTCTAAGTATGGGTTTAGAGATTTCCTCAGTCTCCACCCATTTTCCTGCTCTACTTTGCTGTACTGCTGGAAGAGAATTAAGCTGCTCAGGATAACAAAAACGACTTGAATTTATATAGTACTCTTCAAGTAGGATAATGTCTTGGAAAACATCACAGTTGCATGGTTGGATGCAGAGCAAGGGAGAAGGGGGAGGTGATTATAGGCATGGCTGGACAGGTAGGTTTTAAAGTGAGATTTAATGGTAGATAGAGATGGGGCAAGGCGGAGATGATAGAAGCAAGGCGTTCCAGAGGTCTGAGCATTAATCCTCATATACTTTTATAAATTCTTACTTTGTTCAAGATGCTCCTTATCTGCTGATGGCTGAAGATTGTGGCCTCGTAAAACAGATAATTAATTTATTGTTTGCTGTTGGGTGCAGATGTGGATGAGTGTCAAGATGCTGTACTGTGTACCAATGGGCAATGCAAGAATACAGAGGCTTCCTTTTACTGTGAATGTAACTCCGGCTACAGTTTGACTACCACAGGAGACCAGTGCGAAGGTAAAATTCTCTTTGGGAGAACTGAAGAAATATATTCATACAAGTGATTTAAGTTTTTGTGAAACATTTTATTTTCAAAATTGTTAAAATGTCATAATGATCCTTGCGTTTGATATAGCACCTTACATGTGGGGAAGACATCTCAAATTACCTCACAGGATTTCTTGCGAAGTGCAGTGACTGTGTATTTGTAAGCAATGTATTTTGCGATCTATTTTGTGGGTTAACACATTGATGGGGAGAAATTCTACCTGGGTCCAGATTTACTCTATTTATCGAGCATTTCACGTTGTCCATTTTAAGTTATTAAAAGAACTGAATTGTGAAGCTGGTTTTCTGTAAGTTCTTAAAAGGACTTACAGAAAACCAACTTCATAATTAAGACTGCATTTAAGAATTTGCCAAATTCTGGATGCTCTGAAATGCTGTACAAATGGAGTAAATCTAAACCTAGTAGAATTTTTCCTGAATCTGTTAAGGAACATTCTCCTGAATCTGTTGATGGACGTTACATTTTCTAGTTGTTAAATAAGGTTCTGTGCCAGTTGTCTTTAAGCCCAACCCTGACCACAGTGGGTTGGGCTGAAAATTTCAGCACCACTGTTGCTATTGTGGAGTATGGCATTTCAGTGCTGATTCATAAAATACTGTCCTTCGGATGAGATCTTAAACCATGGTCCATCTACCTGTTTAGGTGGATGTTAAAGATCCTATGGCACCATTTGAAAGAGAAGGGAATTCCTCTCATTGTCCTAGCCAATAAACTACCAGATAAATTGATGCATACATGAGGGAGACATGAATACAGGCATGTAGAGGAAAGGATTATGAAGGATGTAGGCTTGTATGGGAATATAAACACCATCATGGGCCTTTACAACATAACCTACTCCAATGGTAGATTTACTGTTTCAGGAGAGGGGGAATGGCTGTATGTGTTCCAGAATTCTGGCACTTGAATGGTGAATCTAACCTTCAAGGCATTACTTGGAGTCTGAGTTCATGAACACACATTCATACATCCAGGGCTTGCAAACCACCTTGATTAGTATGTATAGAACTAAGCACCTGCTGCTCAAACTCTGCCTCTCCAACTTTCAATGGGTAGGGATGTGTGTCAGAACTACAGGCAGGAAAATTGTGGAAATGCTCTCAGCATTTGACGCTGAGATATGCTGCTTATGTGGAAGCTTGCAGGTTGTACCTGTCATCCACCTCGTGAGGGCTCAAACAATGGCCTGTCAAATGACCAACCAGTGACTATTCTGCTCAGTTGGAGATAAGCAAGGTCTCCTTGGACCTGAACTGAAAGAGGGTACACATTCTATTCCAGGAGTGGGAATGTCCACTCCCAGTCTGGTTTGGATATTCTTAAGCATGGTGAGCGTGTTCACATGTGTGAGACATCCAGCTGACCAAAAAGATGTCAACGTGTTTTACTTTCCCATGCATCTTTGTTGCATTTACAACACAGGGAATCCTCATTCACTTTCACCAGCAAAAGCAAGTCAACTGTGCCTAGTTGACTTGAAGCAAAGCTTTCACAACAAGAAAGATTGAGAGAAAGAGAGCGAGAGAGAGAAAGTTTGAGACAAAAAGGGAAGACTTTGAGTTGTGTTGCAAGTGTACAGATGTTTCCTAGCTGGCTGAGGCACATACAGAGAATGTTCCCCTACATTGCTCTTAAACAGTAGGGATTATTCTGTCCCTGCTTGTTGGAAAATTCCATTTTAAGTGCACACACCCAGGTCATTATGTTTCCAAGTGGAGAATAACTCACCAAATTTGAGGCTCTTAAGAATCTTTACCGAATAAAATTGTGTCAGGTCAGTTCAATTTGTAGCACGCTCACTTCTGAATCAGAATATTATGGGTTCAAGCCACCCCCTCCCATCAGGATTTGGACTCTAATTCTAGACTTTAACACTAGAATGTTGTACTAGTGGAGGTGTCATTCTTTGGATGCGAGGTCAAATTGGATGTTAAGGAACCCATGGTGCTTTATTGGAGGAGAACAGCAGTCTGTCATTTGGTCTGTCAAGCCTGTACAATGGCAAATATTCCACTCTCATTTGATTTAGCGCTTTTCATGTCAGGAGATAGTGAACAATTGTGGACAGCAATATCCAACATACAGCCATGAAACAACTCCTGAGCCAGAAGGTAGATGTGTCATCTTCAGCTGGAGGTTCATATTTTGCACCCTGTGACTGCACAGAGCGATAATCCAGCTCATTCGTGTTTACTCCGAGAATGGGGGGCAAGTTATTTTGGTTAACACTATTCACTTACAATGGTATACTGTTGTCAGAGATGCAGAATCACTTAGCCCTACTCATTGCAGTAGGTTCTCTTTATTAGCATGACTTTGGCAACCAGACATAAAGGAATCTGTTGCACAAGAAGCATTTTTTTCTCTGAAAGCAGTCCCCTGTTAGTGAGGGAGCAATAAAGTGTATCAGGTTTATCAAAGAGTTGACAGGTTTCTGAAATCATTTGCTGTATGATTGCAGACATTGACGAGTGCCAAGAAGATGGAGACGCCTGTCAGGGAGGTTTGTGCATGAACACAGAAGGCTCCTTTATGTGCGTATGTCCAAGTGGCTTCCAACTGGTGCATGATGTAAGGTGTGAAGGTAGGTTACAGCTGTGGAAATCACATTGAACACGTTATTTTCTTGAAGCTGGGTGCTTTCGCTTACTGTTGTGGTATCTTGTGGTAATTTACATTTGTCAGTAAATGTCTCATTGCTGTGGGAAATTTCTGGGCACATTCTGGGCACTATTCCCATCTCCTGGTCATTTCTCTGGTTTCAGCCAGTATCAATCTGAACTGGAAGCTGGTCAACATGGGCTTGAAGATCGATCCACTGATATTCCTTCTTCCTCTCAAATGTAGTATCAGCCCACAGCAAGGTGCCTTAGATTGGAAATACGAGGATTGAATCTCCATCTACTATGGGGTGGAATAGTGGAATATTTACACACTCTGTCACTGAACTATTAAAAAGCTACTGGAGACGAGCATTTAATCAGATGTCATTATGATTTTGAGAAGCCTCAATATTTTGTCAATTATTGGTCAGATGGTGAAGTGAAACAACTGTTTCCAAATTAAAATTGTAACCAAAGCTCTGTTTGACTGTTGCTTGAATGCACACAGAGTTGTTAATGCACAATTTTGTTTCCAAGCTATTTTGTTTGCATCAGATATTTAATTTGTTTCACCGTAAAATTACAAATATGTGTAGAATTGACTAAAATAATTACTTGGGGAAAGGTATTGAGAGTTTGTAATCATTCCAAAAAATCTCCATTGTGTGTTTTCATTACACAGAGCACTGACAGTGATCTTAAATAGGGCAATAAGGTGGCATAGTGAATAGCAACCAAGCTGTTTCTCTTCTGGTACCTGGGGTTAAATCCACCCAGATTTATGGGTTGAATGGCTCCTTTACATACCAGCTCTGGAGGTCCATTGTGGAGTGTATTAGAGGTAATCCCAATCCAATCCGATTGGGTCCTATTATTGCACTGATTGGGATTTTATGGACTCCAACCATCACATTGTCACAGGAAACCTAGAATATTATTGGAAGTCAATAAACCATTTGATAGTTTTTAATCCAGTGATAATGATCACAGCAGAATGGTTATCAAACAGTGTGTATTTTACCTAATGTTAGAAAGAAACTTGTTCTGTATTTGGTACTGACAATGAATGCCAAAAGGAGAAAAACAAAGTAGAAAATGACCTCATAGATCAAATCGGTATTGAAACATTCCAAATTTTCCATCAGGAGGGGAGGAGTGGAGCACCAATCAGTTTATTGCCAGGGTCTCGAGGGCTGTAGGTTAGAGCCAGAGTGTAGGTAACTCAATAGAATCAGAAAGGGGAAAATAACACGGAAACAATTAGAGGGTAACAAGCTTCAAAAACTAATGCCAAATGAATAATTGAATGTTAGTGCCAATAACAATAGTAACCTTCAACAAACAAAAAAAAAAGCAGTTATTACATCTCCTGCAATGTGACTTTTTCCTGGAGACCAAGGTAATCTCATGTTGAGATTTTGGAAGAGGCATTTCCAGGTTCCTTGCTGTGTCCCTCCATTTTAAGAAGGAAAAACTGGCGGTTTCTATAAATGTACAAGAAATGCAGTTTTTATTGTTGTTTCCACAAAAAAAAGAAACATTGCTCTTTTCCAGACGTGAATGAGTGCCTGATGTCAGAGCTTTGTGCTAATGGGGAATGCCAAAACACAGAGGGTTCCTTCTATTGCATGTGTGAACAGGGATTCGCAGTCTCGGCAGATGGACGGAAATGTGAAGGTGAGACCAGCAACAGGTACAGTTTAATACAATACAGTTTCATAGGAAGGTACAGGACAAGACACCAATGAGGTCACCTGGTTTCGGTGAGGACAAGCTAACAAATTATTTTTAAAATAGAATTATAGATTCTAAAATAAAACCTTGGTAAAGAAAACAAATAACACTTAATTTATTTTCATAACGTTAACATTTAATAAGTGGTAAATTGGTTTCAGTCAGTATGTTAAAATTAGCATCAACCAACTCTTGTAGGGAGAGGAAAAATGCCTTAGGGATCTCCTCTCTTATGGGTAGAAATTCCAGCATGGTTTAGATTTGCTCTATTTATGTAGCATTTCAGAGCGTCCAGAATTTGACAACATGTTGTTCTCTCAAAAGAGCTTACACAAAACTGGCTTCAAAATGAAGGCTGTATTTAAAATATTGCCAAATTCTGGACACTGAAATGTTATATAAATAAAGTAAATCCAGACCTAGGTGGAGTTTCTCCTTATTGATTTGCTTTCCATTAACCTGTACATATGTGGGTGCCCCCCACACACACAGTTGAATACTTTACCAACACTCACTTAATGAAGAATGGCTGCTTTGGCAATAAACCGTTATCTGTCAATGGCCGGAGGGAGTGGGGGTAGTGGAGGGAGAGAAGAAGGTCTGTCTACCAAATATCCAATTAATTCATATTTCATACATTATTAAATTGTAAATTTAAATCACATGATAGAGCACAGTGTTGGTCTTAGGTACTGAGCAGAGGAGGGAAGGAGGGGGAAACACAAGGGTTCCAGTGGACCAATTTAGCACCAAGACCGCGAGTGCTGTTGGTTAGAGCCAGGGACAAGTAACTCAATGGAATCAGAAAGAGGAAAATAACAGTGGATAAAACAAGTGCCAAATGAGTAATTGACGACACTTATTAAAGCATACCCACTCAATCATTTCAGTCCAGTACAAGTGGATAAGAAAAATGAGACACGCTTTAGTTTGCCAATTAACTGCACAGGTCATGTAGCATTAGAGATTTGCTTCATCATGAACTGAAGACAAGCTCAATGTTTTCTCAATTAAAGGTCAGATGGTGGAGTGAAGCACAATTGTTTTAGTGTTCTTATTAAAGCGGGAATGGAGCCTAGCCGTGCTGGAATCTGTTTTCCTTTTACTTCACTGCTCAAAGTTACAAATAGGATCATGCTGCTGGGCCTCCAATACCCCTTTGGCTAATATTAAGAATGAAAACTATTTTTATAATTGCGCCAGTTATGAAGGTTCTAAATGTTACCGTCAGTTATGTGCATTAAAGCTGTAAGCTTTACTCTGTGATTTTTCCACTATAAAGAATAGGCTCCTATTGTAAGTGGAAAGGAATGCTATCCAATTTTTCCTCAGTTAAATTATGCTGCTTTGTGCCTTCTACCATTGACGTGTGCGTTAATGCACACAACGACTAGATAGCCTGATACGACTAGAGTATTGCAATGGTGCTTTCCCAATGGCTAACTAGGAAATTGAACCACATAATGTGGTATTGAGCCATACAGATCAGAAAAGATCCCAGGTTTGATAATAGACATCTCAGTGTTCCCAGGCTCGCGAAAGTTAGCATCAACCACTCCTGATCATTGTAGAAGGATGCTGCTCCAGGTTGCACCTGAGTTGGGAATTAGATTCGGGAGGGATAGGGCGTGAGGGGGGTTGGAGGAGGCCCGAATGTGAAGACAAAGAGGAAGGTCTTGAGGCAGATGTTGAAGGAGATGAGGGAAGGGGCAAGGTGAAGGGACTTCTGATTGGGAGTTCCAGATAGTGGGGACAGAAAGACTGAAGGTGGGGGTGGGGGGTGCTGGGTGCAGACCAGTGCCTGCTGATTGGAGGGAGAGGGCAGGTTGGTAGGGTTTTACAGAGGTAGGGTGGAGCAAAGCTGTGGATGTTTCTCACATAAAGAATGGGCACTTGGGCAAGGTACTGGCAATTTGGTAGGTGGTTTTTTAAAAAAGGTGGGAAGGCCCAGGACACTCACTCCAAATAAAAACTAAAGTTACCGATTCTGCACAATCTTCAATTTTAAGATAAATTGTCTTACAGGCAAAGACTAAGTGACATTTTGGGCCACTTTTTTAGTAAAACTAAACCTAGAAATCAAGTCAGATATACAGCACAAAAGGAAAGAGCCTTTAAAGCTCAGGACAACCTTGTTGTAATGTGGGTTAATGGCTCAGATTGCACTTTAAAATGAAACACGTAAAAATGCTAGACGTCTGGGTTGTCGTGTCACTTCCTGCGGGTCACCCATGTGCCTATGTGCAAGAGCTGGCATTCACATCACTCCTTAGCACAGTGATGTTAGCATCATGTAGGTGTATGGGCAGCCTGCTGTAACCAGCATCAGCCAACCGGGAAATCAGCCATCTCTTAGCAAGCAGGAAGCTGGCTGGTCCATGAGCCAAAGACAACTACAGGTTTACAGGACACCCTCCCAACCTTATAAGGGACTGCTTTATAAAATAAAAAGTGAACTTTCTTCCTTCGCAAATACTAAAGATCCATGCAATTGACTAACTTTGTAGGTATTATTCCATTCATGTTTCAGATTGTAACCAAACACAAGTGCAAGCATTTGTAGAGTTTTGCTTTTCTCAAACATCCAGTAAATTCTGATCTATTTTTTCCCCTGGTGAATCATGTTAACTTAAACATGTGGTGTTCTATACCCGAAATGTCAGTCTATCTTGTCAGAATGTTAGCCCATCATCTTTTGTTTCCTTAGCCAATTATTGTGACAAATGCCCTTTCTGGCAGTAAAGGAAACCTTTCAACAGTCCAAGAGCTGCCTGTCTAGACAGGGAAAAATATTTGGTGTACAACTATCCCCCATAGGTTCCTTTTGAACAGTATTTGACCTAACGGATTATTCAGCTCAACACTTCGCAAACACTTGCAATCTGATCAAATATATTTGTAGGGATCAAATATGTTTTATTGTCCAATCATATCATTTTTTTTGCAAGTGTTCCTGCCTTTTTGAAGTAAAAATGCTAACCAACAATTAGACATGAAGCAGATATAATGATCCAGGCTGATGATTGAAAGGGTTGTGACAGGTCCATTTTCTATATCTTACACTAAATGATTGTATGATGTGGTTCATTAGCTAATGATAGGCAAGTTCTTTCCTTTTGTCTTTTGCGTACGTATGCATTCATGCATGTTTCTGTGCCTGTTATGCATATTTGATATGTGTGTGTGTCTGTGGGGGGGTTGTCCATTCTTATGTGTGCGCTTTTATGTCCAGTCGTGTGGATGTATATGTGCATTTATGTTTGTGTGAGTCTGTCTGTGTGTGCACATCTGTGTATATGTATGCATTTGTATATTTATGTGTGCATCCGTGTATATTTCTGGGTATTCATGGTGAATCTGAATGTGGCTATTGTGTGTGCGTGCATGTGTGAATGGAAACTACCTTGGATATAATAGAGTAAAGTTTAGCCAAGAACATTTGCTTGCTTAAAAAAGCACAAAGCTCATTTAGTTGGCTGTAGATTTAAAGCATTTTTGTACCCGGTACGAATGTACTTATGAAAGAACCCGAGGGTTATCTCACTGAAGCACAGTACGGCAGTAATGTCATTGTGCAGAGTCTTAAGGCATTAAGTCAGTCCTATGATTTTCATCTAAAGATCAAAAAACCTGATAAACCCCAAAAGTGTCTTGGGTAAGTGGGGCTATTACTGTCATTGTAATCCACATGAAGCCATTTTAGAACTATAATCTTAACTTATTAAAAGATATTTGCATGGAACTTGCAAGGCAGACGTATGCACTTCTCAAAGATGCCTGAGCGTATGGGTGAAGGAGTATGTTGTGAATGGTTATTGAGCCAGTTTGTACAGAAGTAGCCTTGATCAGGCTATTTATGTTTGGGGAATGGGGTGGCGGGTGTATAGTAATTACTCTTGGATGTGGAGCACATTTGAAGCAGAGCTTTAATGTGACAGTAAGTACTCCAATGATAATAATACATTATAAAATTACATTTGTTTAGCGCCTTTCATGTCGGAAGGACGACCCAAGGCGCTTCATAGAATATACTGTAAAGTGAATTGACTGTATCTTTTGTGGGTGAAACAGGGCAGCCAATTGCGCCCAGCGGTGTCCCACAAACAGTCGTGGATTGAATGACCAAATTATTATTATTTTTTGAAGGGACTATTACCCCCGGAAAAGCAATCGACAATTGACTAACACCTTGATTCCTACTTCCTGCTAGATGAACAGAGGTGTATGGAGTAAGGAAACTTGTCCAATGTTTCGCTCTGCCCAGGAATCAAACCCAGATCCTCTTGCTTGCGAGGGGAGTGCTCTAACCACTAAGCTACAGGACTCCACAGAAGTGGATTCAGTATTCCCCTTGGGTCTATTTACTCTATTCGGCAAATTTTACAGCTTCCGGAATTAGGCAATTGTTGAATTCAGTCTTAACTTTAAAGCTAGATTTTTGTATTTCCAAAAAGAATCAAATCTCTCTTTGTTTTAATTCCTCCTCCCACCCCCAGCCTCCACCCCCTAAACTTTAAGTAGGTATCACTTTCAGCTGTTCAATCTCTGCAGCCTTGGGTTTTGTAGGAGTAGACTGTATTTCATGTGTGAAGTGTCTATATTTTGCAGATTTTGATGAATGTGCAGCTCGTACCAAATGCTACGGCGGCACTTGTGTGAATACTGATGGCTCCTATAGATGTGAATGTACCAAAGGTTTCCATCTCAGCCCTACAAGTGAAACGTGTGTTGGTAAATGACCTTTGCTTTTTGTTAAAAATGGATCGTATCAAAATGCTAACAAGAAAAATGACAGAAACTTGTAGTTGATAAGTATTCTTAAAAAAAACACATTGATCCCAAATAATTTTTTTAACATAGTCAAAAAACCTGGAGCCAGGGAACAGAGACTCAAACTCACTGGAAGGAAAGTGAACAGACAGTTCAGATTTATCAATTTGCGTGCAGTAGTGAATATGTGGAATGGATTACATATTTGAGAGTCAAATAGTCAAGTTGAGTAGTTGTTTATGTGCAGATCCAGCAATCCATCTGATTGATGAGTTCAATTTTATTCCGTGTTCTTCTACAGTAGTGTGTGTTGTGGCTAGGTTGAGTCTTGTTTTAGAGTTGGCTATGGATCAGAACTGCTTTGAAATATTTGCTGACTCGGGTCAGTCTGGTGTCACTGTGCACTGACAAACCAGTGCACCGCCTCACTCGGCAGTACAGTATGTGGGTCTGCCATTCCCCACACGTGGCCTGAAATTTCTCCTAGTCTTAGCCAGTAAGACAATTTTGTCATAAACCTTAAGAATCTACAGAATTGTAGAAAACTCTTGAATTCAGTCATTGTTCGGAAGGCGTTTCTTTTTAAGAGCTGCAGAAAACAGCTTCCAAATTAAGGCTGAATTTAAGAAATGTCTGCAATTTTACTAACTCTTGAAATTTAGAATGATGACATCGTAATCTTCCGGGGGAAGATTGGGTAGAATAACAGGCCTGTGCTGAGGTCTCAGTCTCAGATGTTTCTGGGTTAGGGATGATGATTCGCTTGTGTGAAGATTGGAGAAGAGGGAAAAGCAAAATCAAAAGTAAAGGTTTAGTGAATTTTTTAAAAAAATGTTAAAAGGTGTAATGTATAAAACTGCTTTTTATACTTTATTGAGTACAGACCTGGCAAGTGTGATTATAGCTCCAGTCATTGATTCACTGATGGTTCTTACTCGCATTGCACAGTTAGACCTAGTTTAAGATTCTTGACTATTGAAAAGTGCAGACCAATGGATCCTTGCTGGATCATGGGCCTTCAGGGGTGTGTTAACTACTACATTATACTCAGATAGTTACATTGATGTACATCCATGGGGTTGTTTTAGATCTACAGTTTTTCTTCCACAGAACTGCACTCAACCCGCTGCTCTCACCCAGTTTACATGTAAAACATTTGAAAGGCCATTAAATTTAATGCAGTCAGTGGAGTGCAGTTTTTATAGAGAATCACTAAACACAGAAGGCTGGGTGGCAACTGTCAAACCGTGATCAAAAGCCTCATTCTTGATGCATTGCCAGTGTCAACAGACTCTTCAGATTAAGGTTTCAAGAGTTGGCGAGCTCTTCAGCACTGTACGATAAGATAGTCATCAGGTCACCATTTACACCCAGACCGCAGACAGGCACCCTGTGGTATTACATGAAGAAAACAAAAAGCATGCATGGGAAAAGCCCAGACATTTGGCAACCTGATCAAGGTAGCAGCAGGACATAGAGCTCTTAATAAATCCAGGTCTGTCCTTCTTGGAATAAGACTGGTGGTAACCCTACATTGAAATTCCAAACGTAGAGAGGCTTTGCTTTTCACCTACATCTTCTCAATAGGGGCAGAGTCTCCATCCGAGTTAGGGCAAACACTGATACCTTTGTCTAGAGAGGGAGAGTTGATACTGATTCACTCTGGTAAACTTGCCTTAGATTGCAAAGTATAACCATATTGCACAGAATGGACAATAAATCTGCGTCTTAATCTTAGACGGATGGCCTTTCTTGCTCCCTCTTGGGTGAACACTTGTCAGGGCATTGTGACTGCAAAGAAAACGGAATAAAGTTGAAAAAGATCAGACCCCGACTTCTTGAGCATCATTGTAATGGATTGTAATTCATCTGAGAAGGACTGATGTATACAAATTGTTGATTAACTATTGGCTTTATTTGCTATTCCTATGCTTGAGTAGACAAGGCACACAGTGTTTAGTCATGCACATTTTATACCTACCCATTAAAGTTTTAAATATAGAACATTAGATACCTTAGAGAGATTTGACCAAATGCATTACAACTCTCAGAGAACGGCATAGACTACAAGAGTGAAATCTTGACAAGAGTGGTGTGAGTGGTTCACAATTGTTCCCTGCATCCCAAAATAGAGTTAAGTAGCCTTGAACAAGTATCTGTTATTTTATATAAAATTCATAAAATGAAATTTTATAACAAATGATATTGACTTCCTGATTTGGAATGTGTGAGTTTGTAATTCTTGCCTGTTGATCATCTTCACTGAGTCATAAACTTGACAAAGGTATTACAAACATTTGTGATGCAAACGAGTGCATGATATAACTTTACATAACCGGTAAAAGGGCATTAGAATGTTGTTTGTGGTGCATTGCTCAATAATTGTGTGTCTGTGTTTGTTGCATGAGAAAGGCCCTACCGTTGGTGTTGGTGTTATTGCTTTAATTTGGTGAGTGTGAGACCCAGAATAAGCTATGAGGGAGAGTCCCAGTAACAATGTGTGAAGCCTAGCAGCACATAGGAAGGACCCCAGGAACAAGGAGTTTTTAGTGAAAACAAGTGAAATAAAGCTGTAATGTTATTTGATTGCGTTTTGCTCTATGAATGTTGATGACCAACATTTTTTGATAAGACCTGACACCTGTGTCTCAAAATTCTTCTTGATCTTAGTTTCAAGACCATTGTATTCAAATTTAAGATCGTGCAGAATTTTGAAACTGTTTAAAATTTGGTCTTAATTTGGAAGCTGGTTGTCTTTTAACACAAAACTGCAAACAAATTGGCTGAGTAATAAACCTTGCAATTGGTTTAGTGTTGGGACGTCTCAAAGTAGTTTTACGATTGGGGCTTCCCCCAAAACAATTATCTAAAGCCTAGGACCAGGCCTCTGGAAGAGGGCAACAGGTGAATCCAGTGGTCCATTGTCACATCAGGGAGAGGGGAGTGAATTTATCATCAACGATCATAGAAAGATATGAAATATATCTTGTAATATTTAATATACAAAGTGTGTAAGGTTCTATCCATATGTTCTGTGCTGAATATCTAATATTCACAGCCTTACTAACGGATATCGCTTGCATTTCTCATTCATTGTGAGTTCAGTAACATTGATGGAGTGGCGCCATCACTAATCCTATCTTGTCACGTCTTACCAGTCTGTAGGTGGGCCCCATTTTCCCCTTGTCAGTTGTTAGCACTAGTTTTGGGGACTATTGACAGCATTCTGGATCTGTTTTCAACCTAGGTTGAAAATTACATTGCATTAATTATCACAAATGGTGGCTTTCACAATCATAAACATTCTACTCAAATTTATTGCTGGGTCTGCTGTGTCACTTACTTGTGGAGTGCAGACCAGAGACATTGGAGAGCAGGTTAATGGGCTATTGGCCTAGCTCAACAACATTAAAAAAAAACGAAACTGTATTCTGTGAACCACTACTGCAACATCTCATGAGGCTGCAATGCTGCAGATCCCAGTTGACAAGTGAATGGCTGCCATGGGCTGACTTTGGGCCCAAACTTTGTGGCAGAGCTTGGGAGGCGGGATAACCTGTGACCAGCCTCTAAATTAGTAAGGAAATTATTATATAAAAATGACAGAACAAATTCGACTCACATGTAAAATGGAGAGGGTGCGGTCACACGGTTGGTTATTCCCATTTTTTAATACAACCCAGTTTCAGTCTGCGCTGGGCTGTGTTGGGAAGTTGCTAATCAAAGGACAGAGAGGAAGAAAACAGCACAGCACTTCCCTAAGCTGCTCAGCAGCACCTTCAAGTAGCCATCTTATAGAGACACTGTGGGAGCCGGAGAGCTTGTCACCTGCCCTCTTTCTTGGGCAACTACTGTTACCCAAGTGCAGATAGCCAGCCCCCAGGGGAAAATTGGGCCTGTATATCTCAGATTAACAGGATGACTTTAAACATCTGTATTTGTTGTAGTATCTGAGCTGGTGGCAGATCACAACTCCAAAAGATGAGCTAAACTCTGCCAGAAAGCACAGATAGTCCACAAATGCAGAGGTGAGGAATAAGGATGCATTACCTTACTCTCTGTGCAGACATTGATGAATGTAAAGAATACAGCAACATCTGTGGATCTTGGCGATGTGAAAATGCTATTGGCTCTTACAAATGCATCATGGATTGCCCGCCTGGCTACTCTCTTAAGTCTTCAGGGATCTGTGTTGGTGAGTTGGACCAGAGACACGCTGTAAAGATGTGGCGATGCGTTGTGAAAACTAACCTGTAGAGCTACCTCTCTGACTTGCTTCTGCAGGAAATCAGCTGCACTTGCCACTTCTGTTTTTGTATTTGATAGAAATAGTCTCTAGGTTAAATGTGGTTTAGGAATAGGTGGTGCTTAGAATATTGCGGATGAGATTTTGCTTGGATTTTTAACACATCAGCAACAACTGCTTGTATTTACATAGCGTCCTTCCCGAAGGAGCACAGACCCTGAGCAGAAAATTTGACAAACTGCAGTTTATTGCCTGCTCAAAGCAATGTAACTGCTGGTTCTCCAAAGCAGCAACAAACCAGTGTGTTCTACAGAGATTGAAAACCTTAGCTACAATGCAACAATCTCTTTTTGTCAATAGAATTTCTCTAGGATTTGTTTCAGGCACTGATGCACCCTGTAAAAACATTCACTTTTCTTCCTCAGCGCCAGTTTAAAGATCCGTTGGCATTGTATGTATGGAGCGAAGCTTTGTTCTGCGGCTTCTGCTTTCAAAAGTAACCCAGTTTGAGTTTTCTTGGATCCTTCATGTTTCACTGCTGCGATGCATCTGTACCATGAACCAGTCATCATTCTAAGAAAAATATTTATCAAAGGAAACATATTGACCACATTAAGGTCTGAATTATCCTAGCATTTATACTGCCCTATCAATCACTTTTATAATGTGGCCTTTCAAACTTCAATTTGTTAAGTATTCTGAGCTTTAAGAAACGTTAAGATCAACATTCAAATTATTTGAGCAAATGTTAAAAGCCACATATTTTATCTCTTCTTTAATCAGCGAACAGGAGAAAGAGGTGAATGTTTTCCAAGCTCTCGACTGTGTACTTGCAGTGAGGGTGCCGCGGACTAATTCAAATGAAAAAACAGGATCATGAATGGGAATTCAGGAGTGTAGAGTGAAATGGTGAATCAGGTGCATCAACACTGAGGCTTGTGTTTGGTAATGTGAGCTGTGAACCTGATGGGCATCAGCAGTGAGATGGGACAGCCAGCTGCTATTCTTGGGCTTGTTGTCCGTGGGAATGGGTCAATCTCTGTAGGATCATGCTCGTTTGATGCTGCTTTGCAGACTCGGTTGCTGTATTACTTGTAGCAAATCTACATACATTTCCTTCAGTGTGTGTGTGTGGGGGTGGTGGTAAGATGTGAAATGCCCTATCTTTTAAGAGAGAATGAATCAATTATGTTTCTGAAAAGGGGGAAATATGAAAGAATTTGGGGAAAAGGCAATAGAATGAGACTAACCAGACACCTGTTTTAGATCCATCACGAGATATTCATTACATTGAACACATTATGAGTCCCAGCTTTAGTCACTCTATAGTTTCCATTGATATTTGACAATATGCAATTGAAAATATTGAATGCTCAAAACAACGCAATTTGCCTATGTTACCTGTTTCTGAGGATTTAAAAACAAATTCTACTATATTACAAAAATGCTAGCGATGTATTAAGCCCCCATAAGACTAAATTCATGTTCTATTCTTGCTGTGTTTATATATCATTTGAGTATTTGTTCAGTGAAAACATTTCAACTTAACTATTCCTGTTCCATATTTTCATGGAAAGCACAGAATTAGCAAACATTATTTTGGCTGAAGTGATAAAATTGAACTATATCGTATGTGCACTTGCAATTGTTTGTGTGTGCAACAGAGATGGTGGTAATTAGTAAAATCCAGGTCTTGGCATTAAATATTTTCTGAACATTGGATCAAGATTTCCCACAGAGCTAAGTACATGTTCATCTAAGTAAGTATTTTAGATTAGCTGCCCCATCCTCTGATGAGCCATGGAAGGGAGCAGAGGAGAGGGGAAAAGAGACAGGGCATTTACTGTTAAAAGTCCATTCTTTAAAAGAATGATTCATATCACACTATTATTAACGTGTCGGTTTAGTATGGTGCTGGGGGTCAAATGTGCTGTTTAACATGAGCAAATGTTTCATCCTGCAGTTTTCAAGGAATTTACCACTGTAATCACAGGACAAAAAGATTGCTGGCATTACTGAATGGGATGTTTTAGACCCCCATTGATGTAACCCTGAAATAATCCAGATATCAATAATGTTATTGTATATGGATTGAAAGGTCGAATTCAAAGATTGCCTGTCCTTTGTGTGTTAGTTTTGTGGTAGCTGTATGTTTTTAGAGATATTTTACCACTTTTTCTCCCATATTGTTCCTTTCTGTTTGATCTCTCTATGGCATGCACCATCTTCCTGGTTGAGAGGTCAGAGAGGCAAACTCTCTGTCTCCCTCCACCCACATGACAAGGGATGCATTGGAAAGGTGGGCTGGGTTTACTCTTCTCTGCCTCTGCCCAGGGTGAAGAAGTGTCCACTGGCCTGTGCTCTCCCCTCCCCACAATTTGTACAACTGAGAATATTGAGTCAGAGTTATAGACCCATATGTGCCGGACTGCGTAGTACAGCAGGTTGAAGCTCTTACATCTTTTACTGATTGTTACTAATAATGCCTGTGATGCTAATGAAATCTTAATGAATGTGGCTTCTTTAGGCTATGTAGGGGAGAAATTTCACCAGGAGCTAGGTTTACTCTGCAGCATTTTAGATTCTGCAGAATTTGTAAATTGTTGGATTCAGTCTTAACTTTGAAGCCAGTGTTTTCTGTAGTTCTTAAAAGAAACGTACAGTTAACAGGCTCCAAAATTAAAACTGCTAAATTCTGGTTGCTCTAAAATGTTACATAAAGTAAATCTAGAGCCTGTAAACTTTCACTGTAAAATCCTGTAAAACCCTTGGACATGTTTCAACAACTTGATAAGGCATTATATCAAATGCACCGATTATTTATTAAGGTGAGCAGACCATGTGTAAACACAGGCACACAAGGAATTACATGTTTCTACTTATGCAATTAATAATCAATGAAACGTTTACACATAGTTTATGCAACTGACGTAAAAGATCACAGTGATTAATAGCAGATGGTTAATATAGAACCTCTCTGCTAAGGTAAAGGCTGTGCTTGCGTTTTCTTGTGGGAGAGAGTAAAAATCCAACTTTACAAAGTACCCATTTCGTCCTCAAAATACGCAGTCAATGCACTTCACAGTATATCCTGTGAAGTGCTTTGAGATGTTTCGACGATGTAATAAAGCGCTATTCTCAAATCCAATGATTATTATTACTATTTTTGTTATTATTATTATTACAGAGCCAGATAGAATTTCTCCACAATGTATGAGTGCAATGTTTGTGCTTGCTTTTGCTCTATAGTGAGGCAGTGACTTCTAGCAGATGACTGGATTGCTCAGCTTCTCAGGAGCAGTTCATCTCCAAGCAAATTCCAGGTTTTCACTTGCAAGAAGTGTGACACTTCCCATAGGCATGGTCTGATCATTGTAACCTTTCATTTGCAGATGTTGATGAATGCGCAAACAGCTCAATGTGTGGCAGTCATGGTTACTGTGAAAATACTGCTGGGGCATACCGCTGCATCTGTGACCAGGGCTTTCAGGACTTGCTGGACGGGCAGGGTTGTGCGGGTGAGTGTCCACTGTTTCCAAATAACATTGCACCACCCAAGTAACGTGCTACTGAAACAACTCATGTCTGGCTCGAGAGAAAGAACAGATAGAGTGGGTAGTGTAGATGTGAGACTGCAGGATAGTCAGAACATCCCAGTGGGTGAAAGTGGCATTTGATTGTACTTTGATTCTGGGCATTTAACACTGCAGCAAACCTGGGGATTACAAAAACAACCACCTGCATTTCTGTAGTGACTTTCCTGTAGGATAATGTCCCAAAACACTTCACAAAGACAGAGTTGGATACCAAGCAAGGAAGGAGGGGGAGAGGGTGCAGAGGGAGATTATCATAGACGTGGTCAAAGAGTTAGGTATTTTAATAATCCCTCCAAAAAACCAAAAACAATAATAAAATTGGTCATTTTCAATCTACGACTGTTTTGGGACATTGCTGTGCGCAATTGGCTGCTGCGTTCGCCCACAAATGTACAGTCAATTCACTTTACAGTGTGTTCTGTGAAGAGCTTTGGGACGCCTCCCGACGTGAAAAGCGCTATATCAAATGCAAGGATTAATATTATTATTTAAGTGGGATTTTAAGACCGATCAATACTGAGAGGGTGAGATGGATGGGTAGATGGCGGGGATTCTCGAGGTGCCAATGATGGGGGAGACACAGCAGATCCGAGTTAGCTGAATAAATGGAGCAGGTAGAATAGGTTAGGAGAACATCTCAGAGATGAGGAGGTGACAAGGTGCAAAGGTATTTATAGATGAAAAATAATTCGGCTTCTGTAACTAATAATCTGTGATGTTTGTATGTAGCTGCATCTAACGCTGCATAAATTGATAAATGCTTTCGTGAAAGTAAGTCAACAGAAGCTGACTTTATGCGCCGTGGACAAACTTAAGTTCTATTTAAAGGGGAGGGAATACTCATGAGGATCAGGTCAATTGTGGTGTGTGTTTCCGCCACAAACCAGGCAGAGTGCTGCACAATCGAGTGATTACTGGCCTGCGATCCATTCCCCACCATTCACAATGAGCATGTCCAGATAGGCGAAACTGACAGGGTTAAATTGTGACTCATTCATGCAACGAATGGAATGTACATTGGTACATTTTTGGTGAATGACGGAATCCAATCACAGGAAGATATTACACAGCTGGTCCAACCACAAGAGTTGTATAAAGGAGTGTATGAGGTTTCTGTTCGAATAAAGTGATGCTTCAGAAGGGAAAGGTGCATTAATTGTTCCCATCTTGCTGACTGTCAGCACAAATTTACTGCTACAGCGTTCGCAAACTGAGACACATCACTTTAAATTCTCTTCATCATATTTTACTTTTATTTTTTTCCCTTGAAGACCTTTAAGGTTGTTTCCCTCCCTCCCTCCCTCTGAAGGCATTCTGACCCATTTCCTATTGGAGTATGGTTCCATAGGCTCCCTCTGGCCCCACACCCATATGCCCATTAATCATTTGTTAACCTTTGACAGTGAGTGTTTGAGGGCTTTTTGAGCGTCGAGGAGTATTGCATTTGAGTCTGATTATTTCCAAGACCGGTAGTGCCCTCACCTAATGTTCACACATGTACCTTCCAGTAGGCGGGGGAGGGGGATTATCTCTCTACTGTGTACTGTTTGAGAAGGAAAAATTAATCCAAAAGCTTCAGGAAGGGAGAAAATTGAAAGAGAAATTTTGTCAGTGAAACAAATAGAAGTGTTTGGCATCAATTATATGAGTGCAGCATTGTTAAAAAATGTAGAACCATAACAAATGAATAATTTTTTTAAAGCCATATGAGGAAATAAAGTAGGTGATCATTTATTTTCAATTTCAGCTGTGGTTGCTTGGCAACAACTGGAATTTTGTCTATTTTGCAGAGAAAAAAAAATGTCCCGAACTGGAAGCCAGTTCATTTTTATTTTTAAAGCAAAAGTGAAAATGTAGATCCATGTGGATGAAATTCCAGTCTGGAACTGAGCCCCAGTGACAAGTATTTTGACCAAGAAATGCAGCCGGAAATACCATCTGGTGTTTGATACGCATACTCTGTACAGAACTTGATTAAAATATCTCCTTCAGTGCAATGTCTCTGTAGACATTTGGCCCGTTTTGCAGACTAGAGTGGGGAAAAAAGGTTGTGCTGCCCAGCTAAGTATTTCTCATCCTGTCAAGATATGCATATCTCCAGTGAGAGAACTGGTGCTCTAGTTTCATTCTGGAGCATGTTCTTGTAGACTATCCATCGCTTCCCAGTCTGCATGTTAATGCAGGACGTCTCAGCACTTCGTAACCCAGTTAGAGTGACGGATGGACCCAGATTACATTGCTGCAAATAAATCCATTTAAAGAATCAGGCTTCCTTCTGCTGTGAAGATCCCAGCCCCGGGACTGCACTGTAGACATCAAACAACCACTCGCATCTATAAACAGATGATTAGGTGTGCCGGTCCTTTGAAAGAAAAAAAATGCTTGTTAGAATTTCTAACAGCAGACCTCCAAGAGGTTCCTGAAGGAGTTAGAAACATGCCAAGGCTGTTTTATCTGTTGAAAAGTGTTGAATATTTTGAGTTTCGAGTTGGGGAGGAGCAGGTGATATTTGAAGATAAGATATTTGAAGATAAGCCCCAATTGATATTGTCACTCCATTTAATCACCCCTCCAAAAAGTATTCTCACAAAAACATTAATGTTAATCTGAGCATGGCATCATTCTCTCAAAATACTGTGGGTATGATTTGGTTCAAAGCTCATCTCAGAAGCTATTCCCATACTTTTGCAATTCCCTCTTCACTCTATTCTTGTAAATGTAATTGACCTGTCAATTAATAGCTAGTAACATGTCCATTTATCTTCCATCAAAGTCAGTTGCATTTCTAATCTGAACTAATAAATTCACTGTGTTGCACCATGAAAAAATAGTGGCACTTAGGGTAGAATTGCATCTTACAATCACCGTGCAGCACATAACACACATGCTTTAGGCATGTAATATATGTGTGTGTGTATATATATATATATGTCATGCTCAGGATTTTCGAAACCTTAATAACATGCTCAAAATAGCTTTTTTATTGCTCTGTCAGTTGGCCACAAATAGACAAAGCCATGTTCTATATTTTGCTTAAAGCAGGAATGCTGAAAATCTAAAAGCCACAGATCATTTGAGGATACTACTTTAACAAGTACATTACATGGCTTATGCAATAGGTTATTGTGAGATTCACACAAGGATTATTAAACAGTGGGTCTGCTCATACTCTGATGAGTCTCTCTGAATTCTGCTTGAACATCAGTCTTGACTTCACTTTAAAAATTGCAGCTTTATTATTTGAGCGGAGTCGTTATTTGTAAATCCTTTTAGGAATCCTACAATTCAGCACCAACCTCAATGATAACTTAGGCAACAATGCCAATGATAACTTAAGACACTAACATCAATGATGTTTTAGACATATTGTCAATAATAATTTAGACATCAATCTAAGTGATACTTAAACACCAATGTCGATGATAATTTAGATGCCAGTGAAAAGAAATGTAATGTAAAGGGATAACTCAATGAGATAAATACTTGTATAAGGTATGTGTGCTGGTGAAACATGCAATATTTGACTTACTCTATCTGCAGTTCATCTGTTTTTCTTTACTACCCTCTCGTTTTTGTAAGTAATGTTAATTTTCTTCATCTCTTTAGGCTATTAGGCTCTCTTCCCACAATACGTATTGCTTCTTGATAGAGGCCAGATGGCTGGTTCCCAGGTTTCTGTCAGCACCAATCAGAGGTGCACAGGAGCATGGTTTGACATATTCTCTACCTGTCCCTCCTTCTGATGAAGAACTTCCTCCACCCCCATTACTAGTTCATTGCTTTGAATGGTCTGACTAGAGTTCTGTTCGTTTCTGTCCATTAACTCTGCAGCCTTCTCCGCTTGATAATTGGAATCCAAATCACAATAGAATAAAAATGGTGGTTTTTCTAAAACGCATTCCACCTTTAGTTAAGGAACAACATTAATTTGTGTTTTGAAATTACCCCCCCACCCCCACCCCTTCTGAATAATGGTCATATCCAAACATGACTTAAATACTCTTGTGTCTTGGACCCCACTTAACAGGGATCATTTACAAGTGCAGAAAACTTTGTTTATTCAGGGGTGACTGGCCTCACTCAGTCTGAGTCCAGGAAGTATCTTGTGAATAAAATCAGAAAGGCTGTTTTGCACTCTCGCAAACAGATAAAAAATAACAGCGGCAACCTAAGCTTTAAAATTAAGACTAAACTTAAGAATTTTCTAAAATTCTGTTAAGAAATTAATTGTGTGTGGGCCAGTGACTAACTTATTATATCATACCTATGGTTGTCTCCAGATGTAAATGAATGCGAAATGATCAGTGGAGTATGTGGTGATGTCCTCTGTGAAAACGTGGAAGGCTCATTCCTCTGCATCTGTTTCACCGATACCCAGGAATTTGACCCAATGACAGGAGAATGCCATTCCATCAACCCTCCAGGTATGGAGAAAACATTTCCCTTATAATGATAACAAGCCTGGCATTTGATCTACAGCTCTAGCACATTGTTGAAACATCTCAAAGCACTTTGCAAGATGTATTGTAAAGTGTATTTTCACTAATAGGTTCTAGTAGAACTAGATTCAGTGGTTAGAGCACTCGCCTTGCAAGCGAAACACCTGAGTTCAACTCCAGGCAGGGTGAAACCTTGGGCAAGTTTCCTTACTCCACACGCCTAATAATAATCCCTCCAAAACAAAACAATAATAAATTGATCATTTTCAATCCACTGCTGTACGCAATTGGCTGCTGCGTTTCACCCACAAATATACGGTCAATTCACTTTACAGCATAGTCCATGAAGCACTTTGAGCCATCTAGAAGACCTGAAAAGCACTATATCAAATGCAAGGATTATTATTATTAGTAGTAGGGGAGTGGTCACTAGGGGACATACTTTTAAGATACCAACAACAAGACTGAAAGGAAGTTTAGGAGAATTATTTTCACCCAGAGTTGTTGGGATGTGGGATGGCCTGCCAAATAAGGTGGCAGAGGACTCTATCAAATTCAAGGATTATATTATTATGCACAGCCTCAAAATGATGTTCCTTAATTTCCGCCTACAATAGAAATCATGCTTTGCGTGAAAGATAATACTCAAGTCACTATCCCAATTAATGGAAATCAAATTTAAATGCTCGAATTCACCACCATCGGCATTGAGACTGTTTTGGGAGGGAACGGGCTGTCTCTGGCACATCTGGATCATTACTTTAGGAATTTATAAAGTTAAGCTGCCTCTCAGACCCCTGGGCAGGTTTCTGCCAGACCCTGACCTCCGTTTAGGATCCCGGTCATTCTTTGGAGCTGATAGGCAACAACAAGCTGTGTATTGCGTCTGCTGAAGGTTCAGAATGCATTGTTTTTTTCTAGGAAGAGCCAGCAAGAAAGGAATACACCAAGCAGTAGAGATCAATGCACCATCTAGATGCAGGCCCCACACTTAAATAAGTGCACAGACCTGCATCCAATAGCATGAGTGGTTCTCATTTCAATTGGTCAGCGCTGATTCATTCATTGGGTTCTGGCAGTGAAGAAATGTAATGGAAATGTTTATGCCCCCAACATTACATTGTTTGCCATAAAGATCACTCAATGTATTCAGGAGGTCATAAATACCAGCTTTTATACTTTTAGCTAATGCAGAACAGATTGGCCATCATTATGAACCCAAAGAAACCTCAGTCTATTTTAACTTGTGGAGAAAATATGCACACAAATGGAAAAAACCTACATAAGTGAGATCTCAGTAAGTGCCAAGGAATTACGATCTGTTGAACCAAATGTTGCTCCCATTCAAGTGCAACTCACTACAAAATACGCAGTCACTACACTTGACAGTAAATCCTGCAACGTGCTTTGAAATGTCCTCTCAACATGAAAGGCTGTACATCAAATCCAAGGATTATTATTAATAATAATTGTCCTCCCATGTCACCGACAAGATAACTCACTAAGTGAATTGTATGTTCATGCCACCCATCCACATACCCCGTTACCTACTTCGGCCTCTGATGTGGAAGTGAAGGTTGTGGCAAAAAAAAAGCGTTTTGCACTTCAACAAAGTTGCGATTGTGTGTAACTTGACATATCCAGTTCAAAGATCATATTGTCTAAGTAGCAAATATCTCCAAGATCCAGAAAAACAAAAAGCAAAATACTGCAGATGCTGTAAATCTGAAACAAAAACAGAAGTCGCTGGGAACACTCAGCAGGTCAGGCAGCATCTACGAAGAAAGAAAAGTGAGTCAACGTTTTAGGTCGAGTCAACATGTCAGTTCTGACAAAGGGTTGTGGACCCGAAACGTTGACTCACTTTCCTTTCTCCACAGATGCGGCCTGACCCGCTGAGTGTTTCCAGCGACTTCTGTTTTTGTCTCCAAGATACAGGTTCTATGGTGATATGGGGAAAAATTAACCAATAAGGAGATGACAATTTTAGTTGGCTGTTCAGAATTTTGGGCTCAATCACTGGTTAGAACATCCCACGCTTATTATTTAGGTTATAAGGTTAAACGTGTTACATGGCCAAAGTAAGTGAGCCTGTGATACTCTTACCAGAAATTCTTACCTGGCACTTGCAGGTGAATGTATCTTGGTCAGTTGTGTATACTGGGGTATACATGTGGGGTGAAGATCAATTTATGGCTCAGCTCCAGTAGTGTGATTGATTGAGGAAGAAAGAGGGCTGATATTTTCAGATAATTAGGATGTGAATGAGGTTTGAAGATTCTGTTTAATTTTTTATTAACTCACTGAGTTAAAGTCTTTCATTGAGATTTCAGAACAATTTATTTTCTAGGACAAATGGCAACAGAAGAGAAAAAGGAATGCTACTACAATCTAGACGACACCAACTTCTGTGACAATGTCCTGGCTTCGAATATCACCAAAGAGAAGTGTTGCTGTACTCTTGGAGCGGGCTGGGGCGACAACTGTGAAATCTTCCCCTGCCCAGTGTTTGGCACTTGTAAGTTTAACTCTAGATCTCTTGACTCTTGATCTGATTAGGCATCTACTGAAGATATTTGTTTGACCCTCCCTTCCATGTCCAATGTTAAACTTTAATGTATGTTACTTTCGCCCACAAATATGTAGTCAATTCACTTTACAGCATATTCTGTGAAGTGTTTTGAGATGTCTAGAAGACGTGCAAAGCACTATATCAAATGCAAGGATTATACTTATATTTCCACCATTCCCAAGTTGATTCTCCTTTCCTCTCCTGATGAAGCTGATTTATGCCAGTGTACAAAGTGAGCCGGTCTTCAACAGTCTGAGAGACTGGGACTGATGTATTGTTGCACTTTATGGTATTCGTAGGCTGGGGATACCTTCTCTGGGTGCATTGTAGACTCATGCCTGAAATTCCTCATGGTCTTAAGCTGGGAAGTATCAGCCTCCGGTACTTCCGGTACCTTATCCTAGAGATCAATCATCATGTGTGAGCTCAGAGAATAAATGATGGGAGGTCTTCAACAGTGGGCAACCCTGTGAGTTGATGTATGTTTATACATATTCATATACTGGCATTACTTTCTTTGTAATGTTCCAAAATTTATTGTGGTATAAGCTTCTAGCCACTCTCTTAAAATGCAATATGGTGCAGAATTTTGGAACATTCTTGAATTGAATCTTAATATTGAAGCTGTTTTCTGCAATTCTTTTTGGGTACAAATTAAAATGTAAAACATTCCTTAACTCTAAGACCATGAGGAATTTCAGGCGTCCAATGATTCTTCCCATTAGGCCCTTATTAAGCTGCAAGCTAAAGCTCGAGTAGGTCGGATGCTCCTACCTGGACATGCAGAAGGAAACTTGCCAGTCCTTTACAATGGCAGGCTGGGCTGTTTTAGCTGGTTAAACCTCAGCAGCACCCCAACATACCCACTGCCCTCCCCAAACTTTGACTCTTGTCAACCTCCATTTTCTAGGATTAGATAAGCAAGATATAGCCACAGACATATGTGGAACTTCTGTCAGCCGTTTGGTTTGGAGACAATTACATTTTGTGATGGTTGTCTGTATGTGTGTCAGACCACCTTGTAAAGAACCTTTGCCTTTGATGACCCTGGAATTTCTTTTCTCCGGTCTGCTCCACATTCCCTGCCCTAACTGCCCTACTATCGGTGGCCGGGCCTTCAGCCTCTCAGCCCCTAGGCTCTGGAACTCTAACCCCCAGTGCCTTCGCCGCTTCCTCCCTTTCCTCCTTCAAGGCCGGTCTCAAGACCTTTCTCCTTGACCGTGCCTTCAGCTCCCCTCTCGACTCTCTATCCCCTCCTCGCTCCCTCCCTTCCCTCCCCTCACCCTGACCATTTCCCCCCTGCTCGGGTCCTGATCCAACTGTCCAGCGCCTTGGGACGTCCTCCCGACGTGAAAGGCGCTCGAAAAATGAAATCTTGTTGTTGTTGTTTTTGGAAAATAACTTATGTTTTGTTCCTCAGCCGGGTTCGCTGCCATGTGTCCAGAGGGCAAAGGCATGATAGGCAACGGAGACTCAGCATACGGAATCAGTGCATACAATTTCACAGGTCAGAATTGCACCTATACTTTCACTAACCTGCTGGGCAGAAACAGCCTACGTTTGCCACGTATCTTGTGTGTGACATACCCACACTGTTTTGAAATATGGAAACAATTTCTGACACAACAAATTAGTAATTAATTAATAATTCCTTGAAGAATAGTTTGGTCACTCAATCCATGACTGTTTACTGTTGTGCGTAATTGGCTGCTGCGTTTCGCCCACAACACATTCAGTCAATCCACTTTACAGCACATTCCATGAAGCGCTTTGAGACGTCTCAACCATGTTATAAGGTGCTATATCAAATGGATGGATTATTATTATTAACAACTTTCATATCATTTTAAAAAGGCACAGGAGGAAATGATGGTACCTCGTCCAAGTGACTATTCTCAGTGTGGTGAACCTGATAGGCTTTGTGACTGGCGAATTGAATCTGGTCTAGTCCTCACTTGAAATCCACACTCAAGCCCTTTCATAAACAGATGTCACATTATATGCATCAGGAGTGGGGACCCCAATTCATTTTGCCCATCTCCAGCCTAAGGAAATAAAGCTATAGCTGTAGGATACCGGTCAGCTTGCCTGGGAAGCTATTTCAGCTCTTGATCACTCTCCGGGTTACGAAAACTTCCTAGGGTTTATTCTAAACTTGCCATTTGCAAATATGAATCTGTGTGCTCTTATTCTGTTGATGTGATGCATCTGAAAATATTTTGGTTTAGTTTTTTTAGTCTGTTTGTGTATCTTGTATACACGACTGTATAAGGCCTCCGTCTAAGACATTTCTTTTCAAGTGTGGAGTAATTTATTATTAAAATAATATTAATAAATTGGTCACTCAATCCATGAATGTTTGTGGTACACTGCTGTGCGCAATTTGCTACCTCATTTCCGCCACAAGATATGCAATCAATGCACTTTACAGTATATTCTGTGAAGTGCTTTGAGATGTCTCAAAAACATGATAAGGCGCTATATCAAATGCAAGGATTATTATTATTATATAGTGGATGTGGGGTATTGTCTCAGAGTGCATATAGTGAATGCGTTTAGACACCATGGCAAATACTGAAAGCCCCTAAGAAGGATCGAGTAGTTCTAGATTTTTACTTATGAAAGTATTATTAATAGATATCCTCACATCTGATATATCACTCAGATATGTCTCAAAGTGCTGCAGGGTTTTCTATAAAGTGTGGTGACTGTTTTAGGTGAGCACAGCAGCCAATTGCACACAATAATGTCCCACAAACAGTCAGAAAGTGACTGAGGATTTTTTATCGCAGGCATTGTTGTCAATACCTGGAGAAATTTCCTTTTCCTTTTGAATAGTGCCATGGGATCTTTAACATCCACCTGAACATACAAGTGGGACCTGTTATCTCTATGTGAGAAAAGTACTAAATGTCAAGTCAAAGTACATTGTATGTGTGGATTTTTATCTGTTTCATTAACTAGCAGTGAGCAGCTGTCAAAAAATTGCAGTTGTGCTCAGCTTTGTTTGACAATTTCCTTTGTTGACAAAAATGGAGTTGTAAATGAGTCAAGTCTTGTTGTTTGAGGTGGAGTGTCAGCCTGAAACATTCCAACATGGGACATAATACTCTGAATGACGTTCCAAAGCACTTCACAAGATATACTGTAAAGTGCAGTGATTGTGTGTTTTGTGGGCAAAACGACAGCCAATTTGCACACACCAATGTCCCACAAATTGCCATGAAGTGAATGACCAATTTATTTGGGGGATTGTTGTCCAGGACACCAGGGGAAACTCCCTTCTCTTTTCAAATAGTGTCAAGGGAACATTTAGATCAACCTGAACATGCAGACGGGACCTCGGTTTAACGTCTCATCTGAAGGATGGCACCTTCAATAACGCAGCACATCCTCATCACTGAATTGGAGTGTCAACTTAGACAATATGAGTTCCAAGTCCTGATGTAGGGCTTGAACCTACAACCTTCTAATTCTGACTCAGAGGCAAGAATGCTACCAACTGAGCCAGGCTGACACAATTTATGCACAATGTGCACAGTTCAAACCAAGCTTTGAAACACTCTGATGTCAAAATTAGTTAAGAACAACTAATGATACCAGTTTACCACATTCTGAAGAGGGGATTATAAAAGCCAGACTCCATCAGTCTAGACCAGATTGTTCACGCTTCATTGACACGAGGAGTGAGTGACTTTTGACTCAGTTTGGATGCCCTCTGGTTAGATGAACTGGAAACAAGCCAGTTGCCTCCAAGTAATAGGAAAAAAATGCTTTATCTCAAACAAGCAAGACTTGATTCATTCACAAATCCATTTTTGTGGTTTCAGCATATCCTTCAAAGTGTCAACAAAACTAAGCACGAATCTTCAATTGCAATTTTCTGACAGTAGCTCACTGCTAGTTAATAAAACAGCTAAATACCCACACATGCCATGTATTTTCACTTGACATTTAGCATATTTCTAGTGCAGTCATTAAACCGAGGTCCCGTCTGCCTATTCTGGTGGACATTAAAACTCCCATGGCACTACTTCAATAGAGAAGGGAATTTCTTTCGATGTTCTGGCCAACAATCTCACAGAAAAAATGGTCATTCATATTCATGGCTGTTTGTGGGACATTGCGGTGCACAAATTGGTTGCTGTGTTTGGCTACAAATGCACAACAGCAAATTGCATTTATATAGTGTCTTTCATGTCAGGTGGACTTCCCAAGGCACTGGACAGTCCAGAATTTGCACCCAAGCTGGGGGTTGGATTTGGGGGGTGGCGGGGGGCTCTAGTTGTGGTGGGGGGGAAGTTGACTGAAGGTGTGGTCAAAGATGAAGGTCTTGACACAGACCTTAACGGAGGTGAAGGAAGAGGTGAGGTGAAGGGACTCCAGAGAAACAGAGAGTCGGGGCAGAAAGGGTGAAAGCCCGACTGCCGATGGTGTAGCCGGCAGGGTGGGGGCGGGAAGCAGCCCAGTGTCTGGGGAGCGGTGAGAGCAGTCACTACACTTTACAGTACATCCTGTGAAGCGCTTTGAGGCGTCTCATTGACATGATAAAGTGTTATGTCAAATGGAAGGATGATGATTATTATACAAATACAACTATAAAATTACATTTGTGTAGCGCCTTTCATGTCAAGAGGACGTTCCAAGGTGCTGGATACTTAAGAATTTGGACCCGAGCGGTGGATGGGGGATGGGATCAGGGAGAGGTGGAGGCCAGGGAGGTAGGAGAGTGGCTGAAGGTGTGGTCAAAGAGGAGGGTCTTGAGACACATTCAAGGAGGCAAGGGAGGGAGTGAGGCAAAGGGAATGTGGGATGGAGTTCCAAAGGGTGGGGACAGAGAGACTGAAGGCCCGACTGCCGATGGTGGGACAGGATGGGCGGGGGACGTGGTGCAGGCCACAGCTTGCTGAGTGGAGGGAGGGGACAGATTGATATGGGGTTACCAGATCACAGAGGTAGGAATGTGCAAGGCCGTGGAGAGCCTTCAAGGCGAATGGGTCAGGTTTTGTTTAATGTGGAATTGAAAGCCTTGAATTTGAAACCTCGTTTGTTAAAGGAGCCTATTAGGCTGTTGTAATTATATCATGGAATGTTTCTGTCATTTTCTGCATTGGCATAGAGGTGGCAGGGCTGGGGTTGCAGTGTGTTGGAGCAGCACCACGAAGCGCAGAGGCAGAGTGAACAATCAACCAGTTCACCTGGTTTCCCAGTCTTGTCTGCAAAACTGTAGGGAACTACAGAAACTAAATGGTTGCTCCAGTGGTGGGGAGGGGAGAGAATTCAAAAGGTGAGTCGTGCCCAGGATGCTCGTGTCTATCTCACAGTGACTGGCTCGCACCTCAGCATTGATGGAAGCAGGGAAGGTACAACAAGACTGGTGATAGGGAAGAAGACAGAACAGTTGGTAATTCCATACCAGACAGCACTTAAAGTAAGTGTAGATAGTGGTGAGAGTAATTGCTGTGAGTTGGAATGATCCCAAGTTTTACCAAAAGTAATAATGCAAGCAGGCTTGCTAAACATTAATGATGGATACACTGTACATTTACTGTAGGAATATGAAGCATAATTTGACTAGCAGAATGTGGTTGATGTAATCACTTGGAACACAGCCAAGTGACCCCATCTTGACAATTAATATCATGCAAACACGTTACTCACAGTAGGTCAGGAAAAGCAAGGTACTAATACATAATTAACCTTCATTATAGCGGCAGCATTACTATGAAGATTGAGATTTGAGGCAATTTGCATATGGAAGCAAATTGCCAAGAATTTAGTTAAATGGGGTTTACATTTATGGGAATTTAATGATACAATTCTTACTGCGTTAATCCCCACTCAGTTGCTGAGGGTTCAACTGCTCAGCTGTCAATTGGAAAAGCCTGTGGTTTTATTTCAGTGGAAAAATCGTAGACTGTAGATACTAAAAAACCTAAATTGCCTTATAAATATGTTTTTCTTTAGCTTCATGTTTAACAAAGCACAGATGTACAGTGTACTGAATCACAAAAGTATTTGGGCAGTGACACATACTCATGTCAGACAATCTCTTTGTACAATGAAGATCAAAGTCCAACAAAGTCTTGTGCAGAATAGAGTTTGCGAGTTTCCAGCAAAACTTTACATTAGCGATTCTGAGCTGGAGATACATTTAAATGCTACTTGGATGAGTGTACTGCCTGTCTGGTGGTGTAGTAGCTGCATTAACCAAAATGAAAGAAGTGTGATCTGATCTCTATAGTATTTTAAAGTTAGTTGAATCATATTGTGAGGAGAGAGGAGACAATTTGTACACAGCAGTGTCCCACAAACAGTCATGAAGTGAATGACCAATTTTATTTTATTTAATCCAGGCACTAGGAGAAGCCCCTTCCCTTTTCAGATAGTGTCCTGGGATCTTTACTATCCACGTGAATAGGCAGATGGGGCTACAGTTCAATGTCTCATCTGAAGGACCGAACGATAGTTTACCTCAGCGTAGTCCAACAGGTGACACACAAGCCACTAGCGGCCTGATGGGTGATTTTATGCGGCCCGCAAACCATTTTGTACTTTAGTTTTATCTCCCAACTATGCCTCTCTTGTGGTCGATCTGCACATTGAGGCAGCATGAGGCCACACAGTGTATGATAGGAAGAGGAGCATAGCTCTAGGACTCCTCTAGCTCCCCCCCACACGCAGTCAGGATCTGCGCCACTCGTGTCTCATGTAACCTGGGGAGACACAGCGAGAATCCAGGCCCAGTAAGAAACAGAAGATAGAAGTGGAAAATAAAGGATTTCAGCGTAAGTGGGAAATTAATTACTTGTTTATTGAAAATAATGTAAAATCTCAGTGCCTTCCTTGTTTGCCTGCAAGTAATATCTGTGTTGAAGGAGTTCAACATTAAAAGGCACTACAACGCACACACAAGACAAAATACAACAAGTATACTGGCTTATGCATTTGGTGAAGTATAATACGGCCAATAATTTTGAAAGTGTAGCACTGTCTCACCAAACTGTGGTAAAGGGAATAAGTGACATGAACGAACACTTGAATACAAAGCTCAGGACAATCTTTGAAAAATGTAAATACTTCTCATTAGCTCTAGACAAGAGAACTGACATTACTGATATCAGTCAGCTATTAATTTTCATCAGCACCTTTGATGAAGATGTTGTTGTTCATGAAGAATGACTTGAGTTAATTCCTCTGGAAACTGCTAAAGAGGGGTTGGATATTCACAAGGTTCTAACTTCAACTGTCAGTAAATACGGTGGATTTTAGAAGTGTTCCTGCATCGTAAGATGGTGCAAAATCAATGACTGGCTGTAAAAATGGTTTGCTGAAACAAAATGGAGTTCAATGTACTTCCGTCCACTGGATCGTACACCAGGAGTCCCTTTGCGGAAAACCAATGAAAATTAGGGTCATCAAAGAGATCAATATTATCCGTAGATGAAATCGAGCAGTCACAGAAAGTTCGTAAACCTCCTTGAAGAATTGGATCTTTACTATCCACGTGAATAGGCCTTTCCTCTGTCATCCACCTCAGTGGGACCGCACTCGCCTGGTTCGAGTCCTACCTTACAAACCACCAGCAGTATATCTGCACAAACGGCTTCTCCTCCCGCTCTCACCCGGTCACCTACGGGGTACCCCAAGGATCCATCCTTGGCCCCCTCCTCTTTCTGATCTACTTGCTCCCTTTTGGGGAAGTCATCCGCAGACATGGGGTACATTTCCACATGTATGCAGATGATGCCCAACTCTATTTTTCCACCTCTCTTTGTGATCCCCAGTCCCCTGATGTTCTGTCAGCTTGCCTGTCAGATCTCGGGCTGGTTTACACATTTATATTCTATGGCTCTCGTCAACGTCTAAAATCTCACGGCTCTCACCTCCTCCACCTACCCGACCTCCCCGAGCCTGTACGCAACCTAGGTGTCAGGTTCGACCCCCAATTATCCTTCCTCCCCCACATCTGGTCCCTCATCAGCACCGCTTTCTTCCACCTCTGACATATCGCCCGTCTCCGCCAATACCTCTACCCAAAAGCCGCTGAAACCCTGGTCCATGCTTTTGTCACCTCTCGGCTGGACTACTCTAACGCCCTCCTCGGCGGCCTCCCATCCACTACCATCCATAAAATCTAAATCATTTAAAACTGTGCCACCTGCATTCTCACCCGCACAAAACTCTGCTTCCCGATCACCCCAGTCCTTGCCAGACTGCACTGGCTGCCTATCCTAGAGAGGATCAATTTCAAGATCCTCACCCTTGTATTCAAGTCCCTGCACTCCTCTGCACCCCCTACCTCTCTGACCTCTCTCCTCAAAACAGTACCCGTTGCCTTTGTTCCTCCGGGTCTGGCCTCCTCCTCGTCCCCCGAGTCCTCCGCTCCAACCTCAGCAGCCGTGCCTTCAACCACTATGCCCCGAGACTCTAGAACTGCCTTCCTCACTCCCTTCGTCTCGCTCACTCCCTTCCCATTTTCAGGTCTCTGCTGAAGACCTTTCTTTTCGACCGCGCCTTTGATCGCCTTCCTCCCCCTGGCTCGGACCAGGGATCCGTTACTGTAAAGCGCTCTGAGACGCCATCTGGCGTGGAGGGCGCTATATAAATCCAAGTTGTTGAATGCAGAACATCGTGATTCAGAAGTGCATTTGCTGAGTGCACACAACTGCCTTGTACAGTTTTTTTTTGCACTCAGGAAGGAGGTACTTTCATTTCTCAAGGAACATGTAAAGAGCAACACTGTGCAATTTGAAAAGGAATTAGAAGAGCCAACTTACCTATGTTAATTGGCTTTCTTAAAGACATAATAAGCCATCTCAACATTCTCAATCTTCAACTACAAGGTAGAAATGAGAATATTTTGCACCTGAAAAGGGCATGTTGATGGGCTCCACGTAAAGCTACAACTGTTGAACTCATCCCTTTTGCAGAACGACCTCACCCATTTTCCATCATGCATGGTACTTGCAACTGAGCTTGATGAGACTGATTTTTGCAGCTTTTCGGAAATAACGGCAATTGGATGAGTCCAAATTTGCTGATTTTGAGGTTCTGAGGTCCAGTGTCTTCAGATGGAGACGACCTGCAGGGTGACGCTTTGTTCCTCTCAGGGAAGAATGAGGTTCATGAAAACTTCTGGAAATGTATTACTAAGGATCGTTTTCCTAAATTAAATGACATTGCACTGAAGATATGTTCTAGGTTTGTAAGAACGTACATTTGTGAAAGCACGTTTTCTACAATGAAACATGTTAAGTCCAAACTGTGTCAAGGAAATGTATGTTAGGTAAAATAATTTTATTTATGTAGATTTAGATATGAAAATTGTTTTGTATATTGTTGATATTATTTTGAATTATATATTCAAAACAATCTTTATTCAAAAGTATCTTTATTATGTTCCTTTGTTAGTTTTGCAATTATGGATAAATTTGTTTGGGTTTTCTTGAGCATTCTCTGTTGGGGTCTCCATGTGCTCAGTTTATATCTTGTGTTTTGACTTTAATACATTAAAAAACTTGTTGCATTTGTGTCCATTTGAGATGATCAATATTGTAATAGTCTCACAATTTAAAACATAGGATTTCTACATTATTCGTTATGTTTCTGGAAGGGAAAATAAAAATATAGCTTACGTGGCCGCGGACATGTGAAATGCAGCCCTCGACACCAAAAAGGTTGGACCAACCTGGTCTACCTCAATGGAACTAAGAGTCAGTGGGCAGCTATAGAGCAAGATATAAGACCCGCCTCATCTTTGAATAAGGTTATTTGGTTTACACATTCTTTTGGTTTCTGTTTACAGATGCTGATGAATGTGCCTTATTTGGACAAGAAATCTGTAAGAATGGATTTTGTTTGAACACTCAGCCCGGCTATGAGTGCTATTGCAGACAAGGCTTATATTACGACCCTGTTAAACTACAATGCCTGGGTAAGTGATTTTCTTATATGTCGGAATACTGCAGAAAATGTTACTGCACGCTGGTGTTCACAAACCTGAAATGCTGATACAGTGGAAGCTCACCAATAAGGTCAGTGAAGTGACTGAGGAATTTTGACCACATTAGCAGTTTGATCTCACAGTAAGTCATGACCTCAAGAAACTATTCAAAATGACTCAAACGACAGTATGCACAGTAAAAATGGAACTGGCCATTTACTTTTTAGCTGTTTGTGGGATACTGCTGTGTGCAAATTGGCTGCCGCATTGGTCCACAAAACAAAATAATCTGCATTTGCATAGTGCTTTTCATGTAGGAGAATATCTAAAGCCATGTTTTACTCTGCACTCTTAAACAAGGCCACTCAAGGTGGTGTAGGACTCTCAGGCACTGGCTGATCTCCAGTTCCTCATCTAGTGCAATCTGTCATCATAATCCTTTGGTCGAAAGGTGCTACATTGTAATGCTCTGACCTCCTGACCAAGTCCCTCTACCTCGCCCCCTCGCTCCTCACCTTTTTGACCTTTGCATTCAGTCACCTTTTCAACCCACTTTCCTGAAATGAAATAAGAACTGCAAAAGCATTGACCTCCTTGGTAAATTGACCACGTTTGTGGGGTTGCTTTAAGGTTTCCGCTGTAGTTTGAGAAAGAGGGTGGAAAAAGGACAAAGAGAACATTTAACTTTTACTGAATGCTTTGTTTTTTTGTTAACTCTATGTTGCCCGCTCATATACAAAATCCTTCCTTCACTGTAGATATCGATGAATGTCAAGATGCAGCAAGCTGCATTGATGGTCAGTGTAGCAACACTGAGGGCTCATACGACTGCTTCTGCACAGAACCAATGGTCTTGGACATCACAAGAAAACGCTGTGTTCAGTTTCCAGTCTCTGATGGTAGGTATCAGCAGACATAACCTGTCATTTTATAGTTATGTTGCAATATCTACAATCAATTTTACTGCATATAAAGAAAGGCTGCAGTTTCTAAAGGGACCTATGGATGGCATTTAAGTTCCCTCTGTACATTAGCACTTTGAGACAAACTATTCTAGGCTATATAAATGCTAGTTACTAGTTGTATAGATTTTATTTTGAATTGTTATCCAGAAAAAGTTCTTAAAGACAGTTTAAGTGGAGCAAGCACCTTGAAATGTTGTAAAGTGTCTCATGCAGGGCACATTATGTACGTCAGCACAAGAACTCTGCTCCAACATGCAAAAGCTAAGTTCCCTTTGCATCTATTGGGCCCACTGTAAACTTGTAAAATAGTATGTCGCTTTATGCCTTGAAGCGCTTCACAGAATACACTGTATAGTGAATTGACTATATTTTGTGGATAATTACAAACAGTTTGTCAGATGTTATCAAATATATAGTTTTTTTATTGGAGCAGCAGTATGATATATATAAATAGCTGTATGTACACATACTGACCTGCCAAGTATATGCACTTTGGTTGCATTAAAATCTGCTGTAAGTGTATTGAAATGCTGTACACTACCAGCACCTTGGGACGTCCTCCCGACATGAAAGGCGCTATACAAATGTAATCTTGTTGTTGTTGTTGCGTATAACATTGATACTCAATGGATTAATTGATTTCCTTTCATTCCCAGATATCGATGAATGTCAAGACCCATTAAATTGCATTAATGGCCAGTGCATTAACACTGATGGTTCATACAACTGTTTCTGCACACACCCTATGATCCTGGACAGTACAGGAAAACGCTGCCTTGAACCTTCAGACATTAGAGGTATGTTGCTGCAGGACAACTGAATATGTAACTATGCATTGTACACAAGTCCTCGAGAGACTGTAATCTCTCAATGAGACTGACAGTCAGTGCACATTTGTGTAGATTCTTGGTGTTAAAGGACGATCCTGAGGAAAGAGTAATCTTCTGGTGTGTGCTCCTTGTTCTTTGTCGCTCCAGCTGCGTTTCTGGAGATTGGAATATGTCAGCTCTCCATCTTATTCAAAAGAGACTCTGCACAGCCACATATAGTTCTTGTGAATGTGATCAGCCCATTATACCGTCCTCAATGGAGTCCTAGTGTTAAAGCTACATTTTCTTTGAAATGTCACCAATTCTTTAAAAACTGTGATTTTTGGTGCGAATTAAACAGTAATGGTATTGTTTATTGTTTGGATTATCCAAGACCATCAATATGCTTTACACAGTTAAGTGGTAAGTTCATTTGCTAACTGTGCATCTTAATTTACTGCCAGAGGTAAGTTGACTTCCAATAATATTGCTAATCTCCACTGATGAAATGTATTGTCTCAGTGAGGAAGAGTAAAGGTATGTGTGCTATGCTACTGAATGATGTACACTGGTGGTCGCTGAGGGTAGAACACAGAGATCAAAGCAGGAACTTAAAGACAACCACAATTTTCTGCAGCAGAATTTTTTTTCTCGCCAAACAGTTTATTGGACATGAAGACATTTTTCTTGGGGGTGGGGGGGAGGGAAGGAGAGGAAGGAGAGCCGAATTTCTACTCTTCCAATTCACAACTGGTCATAAGACGACTCAGACTTTGATAGAACATAAAGTTAACACTCGCAAAAGTTCTGCAAAGTTTTCAGAATTGCCATCAACAAACCACTCATCTCAAGAGAAAGTCAAAGATGAACGTGAATTTCAAAACGGAAAAAAATTACAAAGGAGACACAGATCCCTGCAAGAAAGGCTTAATAGTTGATGTGAAAATGTACCACGGATAAGGGGCTTGTGATAGCCAAGGGTTCACAGCAATGTTCCTTTCGATCCTTCGATGTCACCTCTTCCTATTGTTGTGAAGCAGAATTCGCTGAGTATCAAGTATTTCACAGCACTTGGTGAGGAAGATAGCATCTCGTCAGAGTTTCTCAAGCAGCCCGGCAGGTGAGACATTCAGATTGTTTTTTTTCTAAACACTTAACTCATGTAGCTTGTAAAGTGATGAAAATGCATGATGGACAGTGATCTATGCATATTCCTCAGCTACACTTACAAATGAATAAATTATTCTACAATAATATAGTCCAAAGTAATTGATACTCTTGTCTTTACAGAGGCTTTGTCTTCATCCAGTCCTAAAGCGATTGTCCTCTCGGAGCAAGAGAGTGATGAAACACAATACATTGGTTTCTTTGACAAAGAGAGACTAACAGCTAGTCATCAAAACCGGTGCCTTTTTAGGAACCAGATTTCACACTGTGCTCTCTACCAAAGTGGGAGGCAGACCCTTACCCGTCACTGGGTTCGACTCTAGAATACATTGGAGTATGCAGTATAAGGTAGAGGGTCTGCACCAAAAGATGGGCCAGCCACAGTGGCCTTTGCATACATTCACCATCGTCCTAGAAAAAGCCAGAGGAGGGAATGTTCCATTTGATGCAGTGTGGTCTGGAATGCCAGTGTCAAGGTATCATTACATATTTATGATATTGGACTTGGAGTAGTTGGCCCAACAGGTTGGCTCTCTATTCTGTATGATTACCACCTTGTTACAAAATCAGGAACCCTCACACTGCAGCTCCAGGATACAGGTTGCAACTCATGGTTCCATTCAGAGATGCGGATCATTCTCTGAGGAGTCTGGGACCAGCACTTGGTTCTTCTTTGAGCGATGTGTCTTTCCGGGGCTTAGTAGACAGAGCTCTGTAGATCTGTAACTAGAACAAATACATGTTGGGAACACACTTCATGCAAAAAATATCATACACCGACATGTCAGTAACATTGTAACTCGCACCCTTACTGTTGCACACAATGTTCTAGTGGACTGCAGACATTTTATGGAGTTTGCATTATTTTAAGATATTGATTTACAGTTGCTGCCTTGGTGCACCAACTATTTTAATGCATGTATCGTATTTAAAGTTCAAGAGAAATTTTATTTGTAATAATTTTCTAGTTCTTGAAGTAAAAATGTTATTTTTCCTAATTGTGGCTCCACTGTCTTCTTTTCTGTCTCTGGGTCAGCTTCTCAGTCCTATCCCATGTACAGGGTACAGAAGATGACTTGATTTGTGTCAGTTACAGAGAAATTGGCACATAAACTATACAGTTACATTCACTTCCAATGTGCCAATTTACAATTGTGCTAATATAGTACACACACGACAATATGATCCAAGAGGGATAACCACTTATTTCAACAATCATAGGATAGAGGATGTCTCAAAGAGCTTCAAAAGATATATTGTAAAGTGGATGACTGCATTTTCTAGGCTAACAATACAATAATAATCCTTGCATTTGATATAGCGCCTTATCACGTCTTTGATACGTCTCAAAGTGCTTCACAGAATATACTGTAAAGTGAATTGACTATATATTGTGGGCGAAACACGGCAGCCAATTGTGCACAGCAGTGTCCCACAAATAGTCGTGGATTGAGTAACTAAATTATTAATATCAAAGTGGGACAAAATAATAATATTATTATATCTATTACTGCCTCCATGAATATCCACATAGTAATCACTTTATAGAGTAAATGTTACCAAACTTTTTTTTAAAAATCTATAGTTGCCCAATGTTAGTTTCAGGTCCAGTCTGTGGTAATAAACCCAGGTCCAATTGGCATTCAATAACTCTGGTGAGTTATACCAATTAATTACAGTATCTGGAATCAGCAGCATGATTTCAGTTGATGGATTCATTTTTTTCCCTTAATAACTGGCTCAATAAAACATATGCCACTATGTTTCCCACAATGGAAAATGCAAATTAGTATTAATGCCACCAAAGTAAACTTATCCTGGTGATGAATTGACCTAAAATAGCAAAGGTTTGAATATAGCAGCCACAGTCCAATCCTTAGATGCATTGTGAATAAATAGTACAATACTCAATATGAATATTAAAGTTTAGACTCCCAGTTATACACTAGTGTGCTTAAAACATTAGTATTTCAAGATTAACCATCTTCCTTATGGAATGGTTTGCAGCATTTGGTGAAGTGAATGAATCATTCATCGGGTTATTGACATTGTCTATATGTACAGGCCTTTCTATTGTGCTGATGTGATTTGGCTGCTTTGTTAGAATTCTCTGCTTGAGTTCCACATATGTGCTGCACATATGTGGAACTCTATTTCGCTTGGATACTCTTAAGCTTAATGATGGATTAATTCATGTATCAGGCTGACCCTCCTCACCCCCCTTCCCCCCAAAAAAGAGCAGCACCTTTCACGTGAAGCTGCATCAAACCTGGCACTCTGTAAAGGCCAATTGAGATGTATTCGTCAGAGAGTCTCTATGAATTAGCAAATTGTCCACGCTATGCTTCATGGATATATTGGCAAAGGCACAGACTTGAGACGCTGAATATTGATACATGGTGGTGGCTTGTAAGCCTCTTCCCCTTAATTTTGTGGTTCGCCACTTCAACCGGTTGCTGAAATAAATTCACCCAGAGCTTGATGCAGCTGTGCAAACACCCATGCCTTTTGATTTGAAGTCACTATTCATGTATTTGGACTTGCATTGCTACTGCTGCCAATGAGCTGCCACCCACTTAGAGGAAATATTTTGTCTTTCCCAGCTTTAGAGACCCATTTGATGATCACTGTGTTGATGGCTAGAGATGGTTAAAACCCAACTTGCATGGTTTAGTGCCTCATATTTTGCCACCAATAATTTCAGTAGCGCAAGTTTTTAACTTCAACTTTCAAAAGACATATCCCAAAATATTAACAGAAGTGATGATCTGCGTGTTTTGAATGCTGACTATTATTGAAACCAGGAACCATAGAGCACATCTGTGCACACAGTATGTAACAAACACAATACTGAACATTGTCCCAGTCCACCAATGGAAATATTCTAACTCTCTTCTTCCGTTTCCTCTTTGTTGTTTTAGTGCAAACTGAGGAAGCAGATGTGTACCAGGACATTTGCTGGCAAGCCGTGAATAACAAATTCATATGTGCCTCGCCTTTAGCGGGAAGACCGACCACTTATACTGAATGCTGCTGTATGTACGGAGAAGCATGGGGTATGAACTGTGCTCTTTGCCCCAAGAGAAACACAGGTAAGCTACTGCTATATGGGATTCGGAAAATGTTTACACCACAGCAGAAGTCCATTGTATCTGCTGGTGCTAACTAGATTGTAATCTATATTTAGTACCTTTTTTGAGTTTAAATACCACATTTAAACGGATACGTAACACAATGAGTGTCTATTACTCTTTGTCTGATCACTCCTTGGTATCCATATTATCCCTATTATCTCTTTAGAGGATGCTAGCTCAAAGTCTGTTATATGCTTTTATTAGGTATTAAGAAAATGGAATTGATTATCCATTTTATAGAATGAGGGATTCAAATACACCTGATGTGCCATTTAATTTAGTCAGCGCACTGCAGAGTCACATTACCCTTCAATATTCTGCACAGGGACAGATTCTGATGTTTCAAGCAGCTTCCTGACAATTGGATCAGAATGTGACAACATGCACTGCTTCTGAATTAGTTCTGGCATGAAACCAACTCTAGAGGCAGAGCTCCTCTAATTTGAAGCCAGGACTAATTTGAAGTGCTGAATCCACAGATGTTGAGCGCAAGGAATCAGATTAGTGAAGACGCCAGGTCTGCTTCTGCCACCTAGTGACAATGTAAACAGGTTAACAATACAATAATAATCCTTGCGTTTGATATAGCGCCTTATCACAACAACAACAACAACAACAACAAGATTCCATTTATAAAGCTGGGGGATGGAGTTCCAGAGACTGGGGGCTGAGAGGCTGAAGGCCCGGCCACCGATGGTAGGGCGGTTGGGGCGGGGGACGTGGAGCAGACCGGAGCCTGAGGAACGGAGGGTACGGGCAGGTAGGTAGGGGGATAGTAGGTCGGAGAGGTAGGAGGGAGCAAGGCCGTGAATGGCCTTGTAGGTGAGGATGAGGATCTTGAATTCAATCCTCTGGGGGATGGGGAGCCAGTGGAGGCGAGCGAGGGTGGGAGTGATGTGGTCACGAAGCCTGGTGCGGGACAGTACACGAGCTGCAGAGTTCTGAATGACCTGCAGCTTGTGGAGGGAGGTGGCGGGAAGGCCGGCGAGGAGAGAGTTCCCATAGCCCAGCCTTGAGGTGACAAAGGAGTGGACCAGGGTTTCAGCAGCGTGAGGGGTGAGGTAGTGCCGTAGTCTGGCGATGTTCCGGAGGTGATGGAAGGCGGTGCCAGTTGTGGTGCGGATGTGAGGGAGAAAGGACAGCTCAGGGTCGAACAAAACGCCGAGGTTCCTGACTGGCTTTGAGAGGTGGAGAGTGCAGCCTTGGATGCTGATGGTGTCAGCGCCTGAGGTGCGGAGGCGCTGACGTGAGCCAATCAGGAGGGCCTCGGTTTTTCGCACGTTGAGCTGAAGAAAGTTGTCTCTCGTCCAAGACTCGATGTCAGACAGGCAGGCTGTCAGGACATCGGTGGTCGTGGAGTTGAGAGTAGAGGAGGAAATGTAGAGTTGGGTGTCATCCGCATACATGTGGAAGTTAACTCCATGTCTGCGGATGATGTCACCGAGGGGGAGCATATAGAGGGTGAAGAGGAGGGGACCGAGGACAGAGCCCTGAGGGACACCACATGAGACAGTGCGGGGCGTGGAGGAGAAGCCATTTGTAGAGACAAAGTGAAGACGGTGAGAAAGGTACGAAAGGTTCAAGGACAGTGCCTTGAAGGTTGAGGTGGGAGGACAAGCGGTGGAGTAGGATAGCGTGGTCGACCGTATCGAATGCTGCCGATAGGTCGAGGAGGACGAGGAGGCAGAGGGAGCCCTGGTCACAGATGGTCAGGATATCATTGGTGACCTTGACCAGGGCAGTTTCTGTGCTATGGGCAGCACGGAAACCTGACTGAAGGGGTTCGAAAAGTGAATGGGTGGAAAGGAAAGAGCGCAGTTGGGAGGCGACAACTCTTTCCAGGACCTTGGAGAGAAAGGGGAGGTTGGAGATGGGCCGGTAGCTTGATAGCTGCGACGCATCAAGGGAGGGTTTTTTCAGGGTGGGCGTGATGGTGGCAGTTTTTAAGGGAATGGGGACAAAGCCAGAGGAGAGGGACAGGTTGACGATGTCGGTGATATGTGGGGCAAGAAAGTGGAGCTGGGAGATAAGGAGTGGAGTGGGGATGGGGTCAAGGGAGCAGGTGGTTGGTTTCAAGGATAGGATGAGTTTGGTGACAGAGGGTGGGGAAACGGGTACAAAAGTGAGTAGGGGAGGATGGGTAGCAGTCGGAGTGTGGGAGTGAGGGGGTAGGGGGTTGGTGGATGTTGGAGGGGAAGTGACCGCGGAGCGAATTCCCTTGATCTTGGATTCAAGGAAATCCAGCATCTCCTCGCAGTGAAGGTTGGAAGGTCTTCAAGACGTATCAAAGCGCTTCACAGAATATACTGTAAAGTGAATTGACTGTATATTTTTGAAGGAGAAACACGGCAGCTAATTGCACACAGCAGTATTCCACAAACAGTCATGGATTGACCAAATTGTTATTATTTAAGAAATGGAAAAATCTTATGTCAAATCCAATATAATTGACAAATTCAATATCGTACTAGCCAAAATTGACACAGTTGCATCCTGAAAAGCAAATCTAATCTAATAACTGTAACGTATAAGAATCTTAATGCAATCTGAAATGTCAAGCTATTCCCAATATGTTGGCCATGTTTTGCAGTCATGTGACCACATAAAACAGGACATCTGGCATGAATATCAGAGATTGAAGCATCCTGTCCTTTACCACATGATGCAGCTGCGCACAGTCTAAAATATGTTCTATAATTCCATCTTCTAATAATAATAATAATCCTTGCATTTGATATAATGCTTTTCACGTCTTCTAGATGTCTCAAAGCGCTTCACAAAATAAACTGTAAAGTGAATTGACTGTATATTTGTGGGCGAAATGCGGCAGCTAATTGCACACAGCAGCGTCCCACAAACAGTCATGGATTGAAATGACCAATTTATTATTTTTTTGAGGGATTATTATCAGGCGTGTGGAGTAAGGAAACTTGCCCAAGATTTCACCCTGCCGGGAATCGAAGCCAGGTCTCTTGCTTGCAAAGCGAATGCTCTAACCACTATATACAGTCAATTCACTTTACAGTGTGTTCTGTGAAGCGCTTTGGGACGTCCTCCCGACGTGAAAAGCGCTATATCAAATGCAAGGATTATTATTGTTATTATTATTATAGTCACACCACTTTACAGTGTAACCCACAAAGCACTTTGAATTTTGATTCTGCAGTTGCAAGCATTGATTCCACGCCTGAAACCACTTTCTGTGAAACAACAATTATTAGTGCTTCGGGGCAGCTTTGAATCTTCAATCAATATAAGATTTCTAGGAAACTATTTTTGTTCTGCATTTATAGTGTCAAATTGATTCTAAAGGTATAGTGTAAAAAGAACGTTGCAGGAGACAATCCTGGTACTGTAAAGTATTGAGAAATGACTTAAGGATTGCTAACTGGCATACTATGCTTGGATAAAGTTTAAAATTATTAAAACCACATGACTAATCCACTCTTTTCCAGTTTATCAACTTAGATTGATTCGAAAGATACAATGCAACAACATAGGCATTAGTATCATTGGAGAACCTTCTTGCAAAATGTCTAGTTTCTTGGGTCTGTCTGCTGGAGTCTGTTTTCTGAAACATAAATGTTTCCCCCTTTGCTTGTCAGTAGGACTGCTCCCTAATCTGAAGAGTTTGTCTTTACATTGATCTTACATTGTGCAGCCATTAATAATATAAGGTTGGGCCCTCTTTGCTCATACAGGTATTTAAATTTGGTCCATGCTCTTGATGATTGCACATGTTAGGCGCCTGGGGCACGGATGCAAAGACCTGAGGTGTGCAGATAGGACCAGACATCGTTCACATACTTCAGCAGTAATTGATGGCACATTAGTCATCTTGCCAAATTTAGGATAAATTGGACAATTAAATGATCTGACCAGAAATTTTGGAGCTGGACTCAGTTTGGCTGCAGAGTATCCAAGAAATACGTGATCATGTCTTAAGATAATTTATGTTTCAGTAATTTGTTGTGGAATTTTTAATCATATATAACATTCGGTGCCAATACCTGCCGGCATGAATTTTGCTGATTCGCCCTGCAACCCCCTCGACAGCACTCATTCAGCATCTTTTCGTTTTAATTCGGGAAATAAAGCATGAAAGATAATATAAGTTGTGTACATTATTTTAGCTGTGGGAGCAGTGCGACCCCACTGGAAAGTATAAACTTCATTGATGTGCATGGCCGGAGGAATTGTGTAATGGCTCACTGCCTGCATCTGTCTGTCTGATCCGCATGTCCGAGATCTTTTGGTATCCATGAAACCCAGACAGGGAGAAAAATGTTTTGGCAGCAATGAGTAAGCAATCTGCCTTAGCAAAATTCTTCTGAACTCTGATTGTGCCTGCTCCTCCATAGATGGTAAATGTTGTTTTGGGTGTGCTAAAAGATTTCATCATCTCCGAGCAAATGTGGGGCTTGCGCAGCACAGACAGATTATCCCATATATGGAGTTTTGCCCCTGGAGAATTGTTTGCTGCTCTTCCTCCAGAACCGTAGGATTAACCCTACGGGAAATCAAATTGGCCAAACCCACAACTAAGAAAAATGCCTGATCAAATGTTTATTCAAAATGATTACAGTGGCAGCTCCAGTACTGTAGTGGATAGAGCTGCAGCTTACGGTCCAGAAATACACTTGGTCTGCGCTGAGTTTACTGGTCTCTGCTGAGGTTGCTTGTAGAGCTAATTTGGCCCCAGACTTTACTAGGGTTAGGGAGGGGAAAACCAACCAGGGTTCCTTCTTCAGGGCCCTTTTCAGCACCCTCTACTGATGGCGCGTGTCAGCTGGGGGTGGGTTGAGGGCTGGGGGGTGGTTGGGCTCGTCTGTGATGCCCCTGCCGTCCGCCAATACTCATTGCATAGTCTCACGCGTGAACCATGACCATTTGGGTGGTGTTCTGCAAGGCAGTCAGTGCCCATGCAGTCTTTTATTATGAAGCTGGTTTTTTGGTCATTCTTTTAACAAAATAGGCTTCAAAGTTAAAACTGAATTAAAAAATTTGCCACGTTCTGCATGCTCAAAAATGGCACATTAATAGAGTATAACAACAACAACTTGCACTTATATAGCACCCTCCACGCAGGGTAGCGTCTCAGAGTGCTCACAGGGCTAGTACATCTAGCCCCAGATGGAATTTTATCTCCATTGGTATCAGATGTTCTGTAATTCTCTATGAATTTTCTCCCAAATGTAACCTCCACCTCAGCGCCCCTCAAACCCCCCACCACCTCCCGCACGAGAAATTGTTCCTCAGAACCACAAAACATTCCTGCGTGTGGAGCTTTGGATCCAATACAGCCAGAGCTGAATAATGGAGATATGGTGATGGATGAAGTGTTCTTGATTTTCACAACAATCTCTTTCTGTACATTTTTGTTTTTCAAAATTCACTATTTAGTCAATTTAGTGAATATCACAAACTAGACCTCAATGTCAGAAGGAAAGTCAGAAAAATGATATTAAGTTCTTTGAAAATGGTAAAAGCATTTGGAGCTCCTGTTAAGTTAGGGAACAGGGTGGGTAGATAAGCTGTGTGTGTGAGTGTGTATGCATGTTTTTGATGTGTGTGGGTATGTAGGCTGTTTGTTGATGTTTCTGGTGCGTGTGGGATGCGTGTTGGCATAAGTGTATGTGTGGATGTGTATGAATGTCCGTGGTGTGTGCGTATAGGGTGTGGCAGTATATGGGGTGTGTGTGCAGAGTGTGGCAGTATATGGGGTGTGTGTGGAGGATGTGGAGGTTTATGGAGTGTGTGTATGTTTGTGATGTGTGTACAATGGGTGTGAGTGTGTACTGACCTTTGTGGTGTGGGGTGTGTAGATGTGGATATGAGGACAAAAATGTGTGTTGTTTGTGTATTGATTTATGTCTATGATGATATTGATGGATTGTGTGTGGGGGGGATGTGGTTATGTGGGTGATGTATGCGGTGTGTGTGTTTCAAATGGTGCATGTGTTGTGTGTGTGTGGAGTACGTCTGATGTGTCGTTGTGGGGTGTATGTATTGTTTGTGTGGGAAGGGATGTGTGTGGTGTGTGTTTGAAAATGTGCGTGGTGTGTACATGGAGTATGTCTGGTGTGTAATTTTGGGGTGTGGTGTATAGTTGTGGGGTGATTGTGTGGGGGAGTGCGGCTTGTGTGTTTGTGGTTTGTGTGGGTTTGTTTGAATGATGACGATTTGGATCCCTTTCATAGCGTACTTAGTCATTCCTCTGAACCACTTATAATCATCACACCACCTCATTCACTTTTCCTGTAAATATATTCCCTGAAATATATTCAGTAGACAAAAAGTAATCCTGGTGCTTTTTTTAAGCAAGTGGGTTACTGATGTTAAGACTTTCTTAAATGGTATTTTCGCTTGCAACCCACACTTGTATGTGAGTAGGGGCCAATTTAAAAATGGTGACAGCCATGATCTTAATGTTTTGATCAGCTCAAAATCGTTGTTATTCTGATACATTTTGCAGATCTCCATGGCTATCAATTGCCATTCCAATTACAATCCACCAATTCTCCCCCCTTCCAACCCACAAACTGGTTCCTTGTTTATATATGAAATGTGTAAGCCAGAAATTCCTGAATGAATTTCTTCCCTGAAAAAATCTGTATAATATTTATAGAGCAGCAGTAAAACTCTCCCACTTTTTTTGACTTTTTTTGACTTTGTTTGATTCATTGTCAAGGAATGTAACCAGCTTTCTCCTTCCTTCATTCTTACTGTAAAAATCACATCAAATGCCGCATAGAGCAGATTATCGGAGGGAGGGAGGGAGGGAGGGAGGGAGGGAGAAAGACAACATCTTCAAATGTAGGGCTTCACACTGCAAGGGATGCAGTGAGTCTGTTTTAGGGTTGTGGTTAAGCAGACATCAAATGACTTGTGACAGAGGATGTTGCTGCAAGCAGTACAACATGATTTGTCAAGCAGCCCTCAATGACTGGGAAGGAGCTGGGCAGTGAGAAAGAATGCATCTGCAGCTCTTCAGCGTTGTTAGCTCTTGCCCAACAAGGAATGAAGTTAGGATTAGGATAGTCAACCCAAGTAACACACCTCCCCCTCTCCTATCCTGAAGATACTGAATCTAGTTAGATTGCAGGCACAAGGGGCTTCCTTCTGCGATTCATCCAAAATGCTTTCTCCTTACATCAGCTAGATAATGATTTTGAAAGGCCTCTTAACTTTGTGGGGCATTGTGGCTGAGCCTGGTGTTCCTCTCATTCATTGACTGTATAAACATACTTTCCAGCTTGACTCACTAAATGCAACAATTGATACTTACATAGTACCTTTCATCTCAAAGCAGTTGACAAAGACAGAGTGGGAGCCCGAGCTGGGAGGGACAGGGGGAATAGGGGAAGAGGTGGCTGAAGTTGCAGTTTAGGAGAAGTTTTTAGATGGGTTTTGAAAACAGTCAGAGAGGGAGGCTTAGAGAATTGAGGGAAAGAGATCCATAGAGTGGAGAAAAGTGGCTGAAAGCACAGTCTTTGATGATGGGGTGGATCAGATATGAGACATGGAGCTGCCCAGAGCTGGCAGAGTGAAGGGGTTGAGTGAGTAGGAGAGTCGGAACACAGGAGATAAAAGGGGTGGGGAATGGGGGGAGATGGTAGAGGTGTTTAAATGTCAAGCATCTTAAAGTTAGTCCACTGGAGGGTAGGAAATCAAATGGATCCTGGAGCCCGGATCGAAGCCTTGATCTGGAGCTTGTGAAGGATAGAGCTGGGAATTGGAGTGGTCAATCTGTGGTGACAAAGGCATGGACGAGGGCTTGGCTATTTTGGGTAGGGACAGAGGTGATGTTGAAAGTGACCTGGAGATCAGCAGTGGGGGTCTTTGCTGATTTTTACATTTGTGCTGAAATGTAGGGCTTCCCACTGCTGCTCCCAGCAGCACGCTGCCATGGCCCTCCCAGCCAAAATAATTTAATACAGCACAGACTATAAATCAAACATACAGTCTTGTGGTGTTCAGAGAAGCTTTAATACTTTACTTATCGGGCAATCTGAGAGATTCAGTGGGTCTGTTTTAATCGAAGGATGAAAACGTGAATGTATCTGGACACATGGGGAGAATAAAAAATGACAAATGGAGAATAAAAAATGACAAATGGTTTCAATACCTGATATGTGATTGGAGTGAACTGACTGTGCAGGTCACTTGGAAGCATTACATATTTGCGCTCGTGACTGCTCATCTCAAAGCTTGCTTATATGGAATACACAGCAGAACTCTCTTTCAGTGCTATGTTGGCTGTTGGCTTGAGAAAAGGCCTCTCAGTTTTTAAAAGCCTTGTATAGTTTATTGTACATCTGGTCATTGTTTTTGCCTGGTCTTATGCTTCCCCCTTAAGTGCCAATTGCAAAACTCTTCTTTGCAGCACCTGAAAAAAAAGTTCACAAAAAGTGCCCCAGATGTGCGATGTTTCATAAAGCTTTTGGCCACCTCATCACCATGTCTTCAATCACCAAAGCCGCAGCACTAAATCACAGCATGGGCATTTGATAAATATCGAAACATAGTACCAGATTGTTTTTAGAGAAAACTTTCTCTCGGTGTTGACAAATGATTGGTGGTTATCATGTTCTCATCATTTCATAATGTGAGGCTTGATTTTTAATGCCTTCTCTTCTCCCATTTCCTTTCCTCCTCTGCGGACAGCACAGACTGATTTATGTTAATGGTACCAGTCTTAAATCTTGAAGCAAAATCTCTATGTGTTCAAATTCTAAGTGATCCCAGAGATAAATAGCTCAAGCCCACCACATGAGACCTTTAGTTTTCTGATGACGTTCAGACAAACATTTGAGACACCAAATGATGTTGGCTTCTGGCCTTTGTTACACTACACTAGTATTCTGGGTATTATAGTCTATTTGCATATAACAATATAATAATCCTTGAATTTGATATAATGCCTAACACGTCTCCAAACACTTCACAGATAACTTCTGGCAACTGATGGTAGCAACTATGTATGTGTACAACAACAAAATACAACAACAAAATTACATTTGTAGAGCGCCTTTCACGTCGGGAAGGCGTGCCAAGGCACTGAAACAATAATAACAAGTGGAGTCCTGTAGCTCAATGGTTAGAGCACTCGCTTTGCAAGCGAGAGGCCTGAGTTCAATTCCAGGCAGGGCGAAACCTTGGGCAAGTTTCCTTACTCCACACTCCTAACAATAATCCCTCCAAAAAACCCCAAACAATAATAAAAATTGGTCATTTTCAATCTACGACTGTTTGTGGGACATTGCTGTGCGCAATTGGCTGCTGCGTTCGCCCACAAATATTCAGTCAATTCACTTTACAGTGTGTTCTGTGAAGCGCTTTGGGACGTCCTCCCGACGTGAAAAGCGCTATATCAAATGCAAGGATTATTATTATTATTATTATAAGTGTAGGCAAACAAGTAATCAATAATCAGAATAGGCGATGTGCCAGAAAAAAAATAGTGAGTCAATTCAAGTGCTGTCATAATTTATTAGGAATTTGTCTTATGATCTTGTGCTGTTTTTACACAGATGACTACGCTCAACTTTGTAATCTTCCCATTATGGGGAGACGGCAAGAATATGGCCAGGATGGACTGATAGCCTACCAGCCTGATTATTCCATCTCAGAGCCTGAGTACGATTCACACCATTCAGTTCCCGGACTTCTGCCTCTATTTGCAAATGAAGGAAGTAAGTGGAACTTTCATTGGTTGGGTAGTAAAATAATTAATTCATTGAAAGCACACACACAAGCATGAGACAATGAATGGCTAAAGGTTGCCATGTAAGATGTAAGTAAAATGAGGATGAGTAACATTGTCCATCTCATCCCAGTCAGATGGAAAATGTTGTCAAAACTGTTCTGTAAAATTTTTAACTTGAATTAATTCAATTTACTGTGTTTACCTTATCTATCTGTTCTGGTGGATCTTAAAGATCCCATGGCACTATTTGAAAAGATAAAGGAGTTTCTCCCGATGTCCTGACCAGCAATCCCCCAAAACAAAATTGGTCCTTCACTTCACGGCTGTTATTTATGATTTATTATTATTGAAGCTTGATCAGTGGAATCATTCAAAAAAGGAACTTGATAAACAACTGGGACAATAAAAACATTAGGGAAGAAAGCGGAAAATTGCATTGATAAAATAGGAAAATGATTAATGATACAGATAACAATGTGCAGATTAGATGGGCTGAATGGTCTTCTTCTATGCTGATACTTTCTATGTATCTATCACTTTTGGGACAGGATTTCAGAGAAAACACTCAGGTAGATAGATATTCATGCACTGCAACACACAACCACACACACACACACACACACATATATTGTAACACAGCTGTTTTTGCTTTAGCTTAAATGCTGTTACATTTTCCCAGCAGCAACAATCTCAGTGTTGCTGTCTGCACAATCTGATAATGATTAATGAGGTGCAAAGCATATAAAACTATGGAAAATATCAGTAAAACTATGGCAAATATCAGGTTGGTGTATTTTGTTTGGTGTATAATGACATTTCTTAGAAAGGATTGTACATTTATGGTTAGAGAAAAAAGTGATAAATATGACTTTATTATCTGAAAGGAGTCAATTTTGGCCAGGTCTGAGCACATAATGTTATTTTTCTGCCTGCATGGGTAGTTTTATGAAATCAAGGCAAGACAAAGTTCTGGAAAATAGAACATTATGGAATGTGTGTGTTTTTAAAAAAAATCCAAATGCTCTTCATCATTTAAAGTATTTATCTTCCTGGGTTATGTTTTCACAGTCTGTGTAAGAGATCACACAGTAATAAAAAATACACTACAGAAGAAAGACAGTCAGTCTATCAAACCTATGGTGGTGCTAACTCGCCTATTGGAGCTTACACTCCATTTCCAATTCTCCGCTCCTTTACATTGTTATATTGTGGAGTTGTGAAGTTTAGTGGTGAGAGGACATGGCTTGCAAGTAAGAGGACCTGAAAGGGTGGTAGGAGATGATTCAATAACAGCTTTTAAGAGAAAAGTAGATAATTATATGGGGAGGACAAATCTGCAGGGCTGTGGGGAGAGAGCGGGAGAGTGGGATTGAATTGGATAGCTCTTTTTAAAGAGCTCTATTTTGCGTCTGGTACATGCAGAAAACTATGCTTAAGAGTAACCAAGCAAAACTACTGAGAGTCCCACAAGTAGATACCGTAGAATTTAACAGCACAGAAAGCCATTCAGCCCATGTGTCTCTGTTGGATCTTTGAAAGAGCAATCTCTTCAGTTCCATTTACCTGCCTTTCTCCCTACGCAGCTGGTTGAATATTTCCATTCGTCTTTAAATATGTATTCAATTAAATTCTGTAATGGTCTTAGTTTCAATGGTTCCTTGCTACAAATGGTGTCCTTCAAAAACGATTGATTTTTATCAAGATGGAGTTGAGATGAGATGGAACTCAAACATGTAATTCATGCCATTACAAAAACAATTACGGTGATGATGTACACAATTTCCAAAATCAGCGGATTATGTCCAGACACAATCAATATCAAGTATTGCTTACAAAATAAACAGTCGCTATATGTCAAGAGCTTTGAGACGTCCTCCCAATGTGTAAAGTTATATGAAATGCAAGGATTAATATTAGTGTGAAAAATCTGTGAATATGGATAATCTAAAATAAACCACCAACTGCTGGAAATTAATAACAGCTCAATCAGACAGAAGAAAAATTCTCAAGCCCTGATTGGGATAATAATAATCTTTGCATGGGTTAGAGTTAGATTGCAATGTATTGTAAAGTTTGTTTTGTGGGCGAAATAATAATTATAACACAGAAGAGGGATTGTTGGCTAGAAGACCTGGAGAAGCGTCCTTCTCATAGGATCTTTAGCTTTCACCTGACTAGGCACATGAGACTTCAGTTTAACATTTCATCCTAAAGACTGCACCTCTGGTAATGCAGTGCTCCCCCTACACTGCATTCGAGTGTCAAATTTGACTGCAAGTTAGTTCAAAGTCCTGACATGGTACTGGAACTCCACAACTGTCAGACTCTGAGTTGAGTGAGAATGCTAACAATTGAGCTAGGCTGCTCCTGAATGTCAGGTAATGGAATCAGGAGAGCAATGGGACCAGTCCAAAAGCAAACTAAGACCACTCTTCCTTTTACAACAACTTGCATTCATATAGTATCCTTCACACAGGGTAGTGTCTCGGAGCGCATTACAGTGGCGGAGCCTGATGCTGAGTCGGGGGGAGGAATCAGGTGACCATAAACACAGTTGAAGAGGAAGGTCTTCAGGCGTGATCTGAAAATGGCGGAAGAGTGGGCAAGGCAGAGGGATTGAGGGAGAGAGTTCCAAAGTTTTGTGGCATAGTGGCTGAAAGCACGACCATCGATGGTAGAGTGGAGGGGTCGAGGGACAAGCAGAAGGCCGGAGCCAGCTGAGCAGAGGCGTAGGTAGTGGAGTAGGGAGTAAGCAGATCAGAGAGGTAGGAAGGTGCCAGGGCATGATTGGATTTGTGGACGAATGTGAGGACCTTGGTTGATCCATTCTGTGATAGGGAGCTAGTGGAACCTGGCAAGGATTGGTGTGATGAGGGTACGACGTTTGGAGTTGGTAAGTATATGTGTGGCAGAGTTTTGGATTAGTTGGAATTCATGTATAGTGGAGCTGGGGGCATCAGTGTGGAGGGCGTTGGAATAGTCAAGGTGGGAGGTGACAAAGCTGGACAAAGTATGTTCATGCTTTGGCTTGAGGGTTAATAGGAACTGAATGGGAAAAATCCCTGCTACCAGTCTGCCCTTCCAATTCCTGTCGATGAGCCAGGTTGGCTGCTCTGTCATCCTTGCTGCCCTAGAGTTCTGTGCACCTGGCTGTCTCAGACACTAGACTACAGAGACCACCACAAGGGTTGTCTGGATTCTGACATTCTGTTGCCAAGCATGTATCTTTGGAGCAGGCCCGCTTAGTTCCTGCCCAGAAAGATTGAAAAACATGGGTTGCTAGAGATTTTGAATATAAGCAAAAAAGGCTGGAAATGCACAAATGTTAAACAGAGGCCTAAAGGCAGGCCAAATCTTGGTGCCTATGCCCCTACCCTCAGGCACTAAGCCACCCACTGTGCATCTTTAGTATTCCTGTCCACACTTCAGGTTTAAAGCTACTAACGCCAATGTCAGGTCTGCCAATTGAAGGATGCCAAAGAAGACAATGAGATATTGTTCCTGAAGTTTTTACTTCATATTTACTGTACTTTCTACTTATCTGTGTGGATTTCATAAGATAGGGAATGAATAGCTGAGAGAATTCAATGAGCCTTTGAAAGAAAGGTAATAATCATTTACATTCATAGAGCACCTTTCACAATGCAATGAACATCTTGAAATGCTTTACAAAATACAGCAGATTAGAATGTTCTTCAAGTGGAGTCCTGTAGCTCAGTGGTTAGAGCACTCGCTTTGCAAGTGAGAGACCTGTGTTCAATTCCAGGCAGGGCGAAACCTTGGGCAAGTTTCCTTACTCCACACGCCTAATAATAATCCCTCCAAAACAAAAAAAACAATAATAAATTGGTCATTTTCAATCTACGACTGTTTGTGGGACATTGCTGTGCGCAATTGGCTGCCGCGTTTGCCCACAAATATACAGTCAATTCACTTTACAGTCTATTCTGTGAAGCGCTTTGGGATGTCCTCCCGACGTGAAAAGCGCTATATCAAATGCAAGGATTATTATTATTATTATTATAACAGACATACGTCCCAGCAACATCTATAAACAATGAGATGAGCAGCCTTTTCATTTGATACATGTGGGTAAATTTAGATTGGAGGAGGAGTAAACAAACAGGATGTAATCCAGGGTGTTCAGAAGGACAGTCATCAAAGTCGTTGTGGGAGATTTTTGTAAGTTTGAAGTAGATGTAGTAATAATAATAATAATAATACTTGCATTTGATATAGCGCTTTTCACGTCTTCTAGACGTCTCAAAGCGCTTCACAGAATATACTGTAAAGTGAGTTGACCGTATATTTGTGGGCAAAACGTGGCAGCCAATTGGGCGCAGCAGTGTCCCACAAACAGTCGTGGATTTAGTGACCAAATTATTATTATTTTTTTTCTTGAGGGATTATTATCAGGCATGAGGTGTAGGGAAACTTGCCCAAGGTTTCTCCCTGCTGGAAATCAAACCCAGGTCTCTCGCTTGCGAGGCGAGTGCTCTAACCACTGAGCTGCAGGACTCCTTGTAGACGTCTAGAAGGCGTGAAAAGTGCTATATCAAATGCAGATGTAGCTGGAAAACCCACTACCTGGGATGGAGAGGAAAATATTCAGAAAGGAAAGTCAATATAGTGGCAGTTTTTATGGGAATAAAACACAGAATTATTGGTTAGAGACGTTGGAAGCCTCAAATCATTTCAAACTCTATTCTGGACAAAGACCTCTAGTTTGTAATGTTCTGCACAGATGTAGATCCCAGTGCGCTTTATTGCCCAGCGTGCCTTCAGGACCATGCACAAGACAACGTCTCATTCAGCCACAAAGCTGGCATTCCTCTACTGTTCCACCAGCTCAGCACTTACTTCAGAGCCAAACAAGAGTATGCAGACCTGATTTACAACTCAAGGTTTACAATCCTTCTCAATGCCAAGTGCCGGTGTACATTGTTGAATGTTGGATTCTTAACACTGTTGGGGAGAGAAGGGGGGAGAAAAGGACATGGTGTACTTTCAACAGTGAAATTACACGTATGGTTTCAATTCAATTCTTGCTGAAAATATTAATCTTAGGGGGAAACTTCTTTTCACACCAACAGGCAGCTATCACCACCTGGTGGTCACATTCAGATGTGATTCCTATTGTTTAAAAATCAAATCCATATAATTTATCTGAGTACAAGGCATCCCCTTTATCATTGAAGCTAGACAACTGATAAGTAAACTTGACCTCCACTGGAAAGGGGAGGGGAAGAAAATACATTTATTCAAAAAAATATATATTTCAAGACCAACAAAATATGTAACAATTTTAAAGTGGATTTTCAATTGAATTTAGCCTACAGTATATCAGTACGACATTCTATGTTACTAATATAAAGCACAGGTAGATTTCACGGTATCAGGTTAGATCCTCTTTACCTCTTTGAGCTTTGACTCATAGCATTGAGGACATAATATCATAGATATTACAGCAAAGATGGAGGCCATTTGGCACATTAAGCATAAACTCTTCCACTATAATAATAACAACAACAAAATTACATTTGTATAGGGCCTTTCACGTCAGGAGGATGTCCCAGGGTGCTGAAATAATAATCCTTGCATTTGATATAGGGCCTTATCACATTGAGACATCTCAAAGCGCTTCACAGGATATACTGTAAAGTGGATTGACTGTATATTTCGTGGGCGAAACGCGGCAGCCAATTGCACACAGCAGTGTCCCACAAAAAGTCATGGATTGAGTGACCATGTTATTATTCAGAGCCACAAAGGACACAAAACAAGTTGATCAACTTCGAACAAACTCACTAGCTCTAACTACTATAATTTCAATTCCATGCCTTCTCACCGTACCATTTTACATTATTCCGGTTGAAAGATTTATCCCATTTCCTTTTAAATATTATTACAGTCTCAGCCTCAGTGGCTAATTGTGCTAAAGGAGCCATATTCTAACAACCCTCTGCATGACAATACTTCTAATCTTCTTTAACTCTTCTGAATCCATTGCCTGACATTACTGTTGTCAACTTGTCTCAGCCGGTAGCCCTCTCGCCTCTGATTCAGGTCGGAGGTGCCTTCCTTTGGATGAGACTTTAAACCAAGCTCCCATCTGCTTGTTCAGGTGGATGTTAAGCATCCCATAGCACTATTCAAACAGAGAAGGGAATGTATCCTGGTGTCCTGGCCAACAATCCCCCAAATAAAATTAACTTAATTGCTTTTTGTAGGACATTGGTGCCATGTGAAAATTGGCTGCCATGAACGCCTACACTCATCACAAGTTACAGTATATCCTCCCGATGCGAAAGACACTATATCAAATATAAGGATTATTATTATACTGCAGTGAATACAAACAAGAGTTAGACTCTAGGGGGCAGGATTGTATTGCAGAGCAAGAGGACTGATTTTCTGCCAAAATGATTTAAAATGAGAATGAAAAGGATATTAAAGGAAGAAAGTACTGTACTTTAACATTCAATGTTAGGAAAACAATCATTGTACCATATATACTACAGTAACAAACCTAACAAACCAACATCCATAATAGACTTCTTGGGATTCCAATAATTTTGAAATTAATGCCATCTCCCACTTTATTCCCACTTTATCCCACCGAATCAATGAACAACCTTGGCATCTGATTTCTGCTGCATTTCTTCACCTGCTGCTGCATTTCTTCACCTCTGCCACAAAATCTGCCTCTGCCCCTATCTCACTCTTAAATGCCACTGAACCCCTTATCCACCCTTTTTTTTTGCCTCCCACCTAGACTTTTCATATGAACTGCTTGCTGTGGCTGACTATGTCATTGTAAAGTACTCAGATATGTTCTCCTATATAAAGGGCACTATATAAATGCAGGTTATTGTTGTAAGCGCACATTATCAGAGTACACTAAACCAGCACACTGCATCATCTGCATAGTTTATTCTTGATTTCTGTGAATTATTGGGCAGGGACTACATAGTTCTCTCCTAACTATACACAATCTCAATCATATCACAAGTAATGATGCTTTACAGTGAAATAACTGGTAGACACACATCATGGAATCTTTAGGGAATGATATGTATTTAAAAAGTAGTACTGTGTCATCACAAGTGCATTATAACATAATCAGTTCCTGCTTAATGAATATTGAATCTAATTTGTCATTCCCACATATTTCAGTATGGCCACTAGGAAATGAAATTCCAACACAGATAAATAGGAGACACGAATATTTCTTAGGTGGGGATAGAACGTACCAATCGGGAAGGTAAAAAAATACCTCAGGGGTTAATTGACTCATCATTCATCATCATGTACAAACAATGTGAGTCACTATTAAACAAAGAAACAGGATCAATTGAGTTCACAAGTTCAGATTCCTGTTGTGCAGTGCTGGAGTATTCTGTTTGGGGTGATACAAGGGGGCTGCCCAGAACCCTACAACTGCACTGAGAGATCAGGACCTATCTGCTTTCAAAATCCGGTTCAGTTTCATTTCTAAATGGGTGCAGCAGCATCTGGAACACACTGAGGTTTTTACCTGCTGTATATAACTGCTCGCTTTGTTCCACAGATCCATTTCAGAGTTTCGAAGGGCTCCAGGCAGACGAATGCGGGATTCTGAAGGGTTGCGAGAATGGCCGGTGTGTCAGAGTTCAGGAAGGCTACACTTGCGATTGCTACGATGGTTACCAACTGGAAATGATAAAGATGGAGTGTGTTGGTAAGGGCACGGCCACAATAGGATTTAAAACAAAATCGCGAAATATTCTAACTGTACTATTAATGTGTGTACAACTTTTCAAACCAAAGGCAATTTCAGGGTGGATAATGGGTGACACTTCGTAAAATTAAAAGGGAGATTTGGATATAGAAGAATACCCACCCGCCTGTCCTCCCATCACGGCATCAAGCCGTTTTTTAAACGAGTAAATAAATAACTTTCCTGGTAATCTGTTCCTGTTGATAATTACTCTCTGGGTAAAGAAATGATCATGTTAATAGTTTATGGACAAATGAATGTCCAACGAGAGAAAGGTTTATTGCAATATCCAATATGGGTGGAACACCAACTTTCTGGGGCAGAATCTTATATTATATTATAACAGTAAAGATGTAACACGAAGACACAGCCTGTTAGGGTTTCAGTGTCTGGTAGGACTTTCCAATTTTGTTCTAGACGCTGTTTTGAGTGGGAAGTTGGGAATTTTCTATAAATGTAAACAAGACACCAAAAGTGAATATCCATTTTTACCTCTTCCGATGTGGAAGCATTGATAATTTGGGTCAATGCGATCTGTATTGAATCTCAGTCATCGTCAACGTGAACCTCAGAACTCAACCATGCAACCTCTTCTGATTTTGGACTTGCCCAAAGGTAGTAACCATATGTAGGTCGATGCTCACCTTTGGACATACTTTGGTGTCTAGATTGCAGGTTGGACTAATAGTCCACAGGTTAACCATGTTCAAACACATGAGTACCTGGCCTGATTCCCATAGAAAAGCAGAGAGTTTGAGGTGACGCAAATTAAATGTTCAGGATTGGCAAGGTTGATCCAGTGCAGGGATACATTTTCCACATTGGCTCTTATTAACAAAACCAATCCCCAGCTGCAGCTTGGTATCTGCCAGTACGTAACACAAGGTGATCAAATTCTATTCATCTATAAGGCTTCAAACGGGGGAATTGGATTTAACCCATTGTTCTGGGCTAAGTGTAAGACCACATCTGGGGTAGTGAAAGCAAAGTCTTGAAGTGGATGCCGACAGCTGTAAGACTTTGCCTCTGGAGTAAATTTAATTGAATGTGAAGATGATATTCTGTGCTCGCCGTATGTTCTGAAATATGGCAGCATATGTATTTCACGTCCTTGTCAAAATGTTCATCAAAAACTGTCAAAATAAAACAGTATGCACAGTACCGTGCAATAACATAAATCCTCAGAGGTATTTAATTCCCTGTTCTTCCCCTCTTCTCCCTCTCTCTGCAGATGTTGATGAATGTAATGAGCTGAATGACAAAATGTCATTGTGCCGGAATGCCAGATGTATCAACACGGATGGATCGTACAAGTGCCTGTGCCTGCGAGGCTACGTACCCTCAGAGCAGCTAAACTACTGCGTACCGTCAAAGACAGAGAAAGAATCAGAGCTGGAGTAATCTGGGAAGAAGTCAGCTGCCATCTGCTCTGCCCTCCGTAACAACTAGAACACGTCTCCACGCACTTCAACCAAATAAAAAAGAAAATAGTTGCTGTGAAGAATTCATATTCAGCAGCTGATTACTTCAAGGAAGACCTTGTGGGAGAACCACATCACTCTCCCAGAAAGGAATAAACCCACTTGTTTGCAACCAATAAATAGAAAGACCAAATGGATTCACTTTCTTTTTTGCACGACAAACTCTGCTTAATAAATTAATAGTCTGTAAGGACATGTAAAGTTCAGTGAGAAAGCAACGTATGGCTGCATTCATTCAAACAGAATACTCTTTGTTATTAGCACAAGGTTTACACTATGTATAACAGCGGTGAAAATATTTTGTATTACTGTTATAAGACGTATTTGATAATGTGCAGTATATTATACTACACAATTTTAGAGTTTTATGACAAATGTAAATTCTTTGATAGTAAGTAACTTGTAGTCTTTTTTTGTATTTTTTTAAAAGGTAAAAAAGGTTGTGCTATTCTGTGTCTGGAACATTGGTCAGTGACAGTTTTTACCTTGTTCATTGTCTGCCCTGTGGAGCAGGCATGTTGTTGCGATAAGGTTTTTTTAAAAAAAAAACTAATTATACAGCCGTGGAAATTTGAAGTTCTTGGTTATGTTCTCCTTACATACACTGCACTACAACCACATAAAACCAACTTACCAGGTCGCAAAGCTGCTACGGGACAGCCAGAGGATACATGATGTGTACATTTACACTGAAGAATTGAGAACCAGATTATGTATTGTAATTTGTAAATTGAAAAAAAAATCTCTTGTATGATCATCTTAAAAACATATTAAACTGTATTCTAAACATCTGTAAAACCTATAAATAAATCACTTCTGTAAGTGAATTGAGTTGCCTCTGATGAAGCAGTAGAATGAGTGAATGCAGTGGAATGAGTGTGTCGACTTGAGACACAATAAATTTACACTTATAGAGAATAGTTCAAGTCAGGGGGACATCTCAAAGTGTTTAACACAGCTGGTTGGTTACTTGAGCCAGAGAGGAGAGAGATGTAGAGGGTGGGAGGAAGAGCTGAAGAGGGTGGGTGGGAGAGGGGGCGAAAGATGACCAAAAGTTTGGTCAAAGAGGTAAGTCTTAAGGCGGATTTTAAAAAGTAGGGAGAGACAGGATGTGATAGAGGGTCTCCTGGTTTGAATTCCAGAGAATGGGAGGATACTAGCTGAAGGTTTGCCCACCGATAGGGCAGGGGACATGAAGCAGACCGGGGTCGCTGAGTGGAGGGTCAGTGGGGTTGCTGGAGATCAAAGGTAGAATGGGGTGAGGATGTGAAGGGTCTCTGAATGTGAGGATGAAGATGTTGAATTTGAATGTACAAACAATGGGACACATTCTAATGAAATTATGTTAACTTGATGCTACATGTGTTATTGACTTATTCGATGAATAAGTTGCTTACTATGAAACCCACTTTGTAAATTTGCTGTTGATGGTAAAGGTGACCATCTTCCTATTATGCTTCCTATTTTAGTGTGTCTATTTTACGTGCAGATATATTCTTACTTTTATTTGCACCTTTTTTTAAACAGGTGGCTGTTAAGTATGCAAAGCTCAGGCGGTCTGTAGAGTGATAGTGGTATGTTTCATATCACCACACTTTCAAATACCGAACGTAAACTGATGTTCTCTAGGATCATTATAATAATATATAATAATAATCCTTACATTTGATATAGCACCTTATCACATCTTCGAGACGTCTCAAAGTGCTTCACAGAATATACTATAAAGTGAATTGACTGTATATTTTGTGGGCGAAACGCAGCAGACAATTGCGCACTACATTTCCTTACACTTATAGGGTCAAGGAGGGTGGTTTTATGGTAACTAAAAGCATGTCACATGCCAGCTCAAGGGATGATCCTCTGTAAATAGCTTGAATTGGAGAAGCGTCCTGCAATCCAGTATCATGGATTTTACTCAGAAATACTGTAACGTTGACACCAAGGCCCTTCCTGGACAGAGAGTAGAGAGGAGTTTATTGGGTACTGAATGTTACTCTAGTTTATTGAGGATTTTGGTGAGTAGTGAGCTTTTGGGGTCAGGCTCCTCCACTGTTAAGCCTTCTGATATGCTGCCTAAATGAAGGCACTGTATGAATACAAGTTGTCATTGTTATTTTGGATCTACTCGTTTTCTCTGATGGTCAGAACTCCTACATTTCAGGCAGGGGTGAGAGTGCTACCAACTAAAGCAGGATGACAGATTACTTTGTTTTTTTGAGCTGGAAAAAAACAGCAATTGTGAATCAAAGCCTTGCAAAATAAGGCAGGAAATATGTTCTGAGAGAGTACAACAATAGGATTAGTATTAACATAAAACTTATCAGCATTCTCTTAAGAAGATCAAGTCACTCCCTCAACAAACCATGCCCCATTCACTGCTCCCTCCCTCTACAAACTGTGTCTCATTCATTGGTTACTCCCTCTGCAAACTATGTCCCATGCTAAAAAAGGTTCTGTATTATTTCACCCTCTATCCAAAAGATACAGTCAAACCTGTTCAAGCACAACCACCCATCAGCCACCACCCCATGTTAACAACCACCCTTAAACAAAATTCTACACCCACCAACAGACCCTTGCTCAGAGGTCACCCTTATATAATAATAATAATAATAATAATCCTTGCATTTGATATAGCGCTTTTCACGTCAGGAGGACGTCCCAAAGCGCTTCACAGAACACACTGTAAAGTGAATTGACTGTATATTTGTGGGCGAACGCGGCAGCCAATTGCGCACAGCAATGTCCCACAAACAGTCGTAGATTGAAAATGACCAATTTATTATTGTTTTTTTTTGGTTTTGGAGGATTATTATTAGGCGTGTGGAGTAAGGAAACTTGCCCAAGGTTTCGCCCTGACCTGCCTGGAATTGAACTCAGGTCTCTCGCTTGCAAAGTGAGTGCTCTAACCACTGAGCTACAGGACTCCATAAAGGCCACTTTGGCCCAGTTCGCTGACTGGTTATTAAAGGCAGGTTTGACTTTATGTGCTAAAACAGATTATCTATTTAGCTGTGTTACATGTCTTCATTGGCATCAGATGTAGGCCAGGAACCATCGTGTTTCACACAGCTTTTGACTACTTCCCTTATTTTTTCCGACTATTTACCATGTGACTTCTTGTTCTGAATACTTTTGACTTATTTTTCCTTCTCCTGGGGTGTACAGTAATTTCCCCTAATCTGAATCTGGATTTGGAATAGAAAGCTAATCTGTCACTGGCAGTGGCTGCAGTCTTTAACTCTGTCAAGGCAAACAAACCTCAGAATGGAAATTCAGTTGCCAAATAATATAAGGAAACCCGTTAGTAACATTTACCTCCAACCTCCAACAAAGCAGCTCTCCCTCGCTACTGCACTGAAGGTTATTTTAGGCTATTTGAGAACTTTTATTCCCTTACTATTTTACCAGAGTTTGACGGGAGGCTGTCACTTGTCATTGCAATGACAGAGCTTGCATTGGTAAGTGTCCCTCTATATTTCTACTTAGCATAGCTATGGTTTGCTATGGTGATGGAAGCAATCAGGCCTTTTTCCTCTTCTGAAATGCTAAGAACATAAGAAATGCTAGACGAAACAATACCAAAGTCCATCTAGTTCGCCTTCCACCTTCCTGGCGGTCGCATGCATATATGTCCCGAAATACCTATGTACTATATTCCATAATGTTAGTTCCTAAAAGAAAATTATCTAATCTGTGTTTGAAAGAATCAAAATTTCGTGCTTCAACCAACTCCCTAGGGAGTCTGTTCCACAGGTTCACTATTCACATACTGGAATAGTGCTTGCGTAGATTCGTTCTGAATTTACCCCCTTCAATCGCAAGCCGTGTCCTCTGGTTTTACTATTCAGGACAAGTGATGCTGATTCCCCTTTAAAATAGGGGATGGGAATGATTATGGGAATGATGCTGATTCAAAAAAAACAATAATAAATTGGTCACTTCAATCCACGACTGTTTGTGGGACACTGCTGTGCACAATTGGCTGCCGCATTTCACCCACAAATATACAGTCCATTTACTTTATAGTCTATTCTGTGAAGCGCATTGAGACATCTAGAAGACGTGAAAAGTGCAATGTCTATTGCAAGGAAATGCAAATGCAAACAGGAGATGGGAATGATTGTCGGAATGATGCTGATTCCCTTTGAAATGGGAGATGGGAATGATTCTGGAAATGATGCTGATTCTTCTTTAGAACAGAAAAAGAGAAAAACTAATGGAAATGCCCAGCCATCTGGTGAATCAGATTAAAGGGGAATGATTTATCAAGCAGCACAATTCTTTCTGATCCCAAGACAAGCAAAGTCTAGCCAACGTTTGATGCATGGCCTAAAGCATGGAATTCATTTTGGTGGCACTGCTAGGAATTCCCTGCTGGCAGTGACTCTAACAAAGCAGTTTCTGCAAATATTTCATATAGACTGACATCAATTAATTCTCCTTTGACAAGTGATTTCCAAGTTACGTGGATTTTGTGTGTTCTGAATTCTGTCTGAGAGCGTTGAATAAATCTAGTTCAGTGAAAGTGGCATCATTGTACTACTAGGAAGTAGAATTCTATGTAAGTGGAATTCTTAGTAGTTTGGTTTGCAAACTCTTAAGCATGGTGATGGATTTCTGTGGCAGACATCCGCTAGCAACAGAAAAAAAGAGACATTGGCGCTATACTCAAAATTTATGATTTTGTTAACATTTCCTATCAATCCACAATATCACAAAAGAGGTTTGGTTGATCCCGATGCCTCATCAGGTGGCGAATTCCATATGTCGTATGATAAAAATGCAACTTTCCACAAGCAGTTCTGTGAATAAACTATCAGGCCCACTTATAGATGTGAATAATGGGCTGATGGCTCCAATGGCTTTTGTAATGGGGCACTCAAAGCTGCATTTGATATAGCGCCTTATCACATCTTCAAGACGTCTCAAAGCATTTCACAGAATATACTGTAAAGTGAATTGACTATATTTTGTGAGAAAAACATGGCAGGCAATTGCGCACAGTGGTGTCCCACAAAGAGTTGTGGATTGAGTGACAAAATTATTATTATTATTATTTTGAAGGAATTATTAACCCCAGAAAAGTGATCCACCAATTGAATAACAACCGGGTTCCTACTTACTGCTAGGTAAACATAGGCGTATGGAATAAGGAAATGTGCCCTTTGTTTTACCCTGCCAGGAATCGAACCCAGGTCCTCTCGCTTGAGAGGCGAGTGCTCTAACCACTAAGCTACAGGACTCCACAATTTTTAATATCACTTTGTACTTTTGCATTCAATGCTCCATTACGGAAAACCTAGAATATCAGGTACCTTTTTATGATCTTTTCTACTGGACCCCCAATATGAAAGATTTCTATATTTACATATCTAGATTTATATATATAGATTTCCCTGCCCCTCAACATCATTAAGAATTTGCCATTGGGGTATACTTCCTTGTTTTGTTCTTTCACTCAAAATGCATTACTTCACACATTTTCAACATTAAACTGCTTGTGGCACCTATCTACGCAATGTACTAGGTTATCTATCTTCAATGCTGAATTTTTTGACTTTTAACTTTACAATGGCCTATGTCAAAATACTCAACAAATGAGGAATTTCTGCTTGTGTTTTGCTGTAGAGAAATAAGTAATGAGATCCCTATTTAGAACATGATTTACTCAATGTCTGGCTTTTCAAGGCAATACTTGTTAAGGGAGTAAGGGTGACACACAGGATAGTTTTGAGGAGTTCAGTTTACTGTCTAGGTATATATCCATTAAAGATTTGAAATGATTTACTGGGACAATACAAGTTGTAATAAATATTTTTGT